CATTAAAAAATAAAATTAATGAGGTCAAATAATTTTTTATTTTGAATCAATATTAGTTGATAAATTGTCATATAAAAAAATGTTTTTAAGCAAGCATTTATTTATCCATTTGAAAGTTAATAATGAAAAATAACTTTTTAGAAATAATAATAAAATCATTAAATTAATCATTTTTTTTCAATTTAAATATTATGAGTTGACACCAAAATATATTATAAAATAACTTTGTAATAAATAAAATACTGATTTAATACCAGAAGAGGAGTTACATATTTAATAATTATAATAATCTTATTAATAATTACAAGAAATTTTTATTTTTAAATAACTTGTAATGCTCTCGACAAGCTTTAAATCAATTAAAACTTAATTTAAAACTAATGGTTGCGGACAAAGATTAGGTTTTATTTGAGTAAAGTAATCTTGTATTAAGCAAGACGTTCATATCTTAGGAAGCATATTTTATTCACAAAAAATAAACATCTCTTCAATATTGTTTTAAAGTGTAATAGAATTTAATACTTTACCAAACTAAATGTATTTTAATTGTCGTTATTATTAACAAAAAATAATAAAAGGTGATAGAATGAAAGCAAAATAAAATTAAGTATAATTGCATTTTTTTACATAAATAGTTTAATTTTTCATACAATTTTTTTTGCCAAATGCTTTATTTTAACTTATTTAAAAACGATTTAAACATTTAACTCATGAGTGATTGTTATTTAAATATTCCAGCTGTAATAGCCATACTATGATAATAAATTATACCTTAAGCTTTATTAAATTAAAATTCCCACAATCATAAGGGCCAAAATTAAATTTAAATAAAAAATTTATAATTGAAGGGCAAGAAAAAAAGAAATGAATGACAGAAAATATAACAATCAATATATTAGACAGCCCAAAGCAGGGGTAGGGAACTAAACTTATAAAAGCAAATAAAATAATTACATTGAAATTGTAAGTATTTTTGAGCTTTTTAAAACAAGGGTTTTCTCCCTTGAGCAGGACAATATTTCTAATCAAATCTGCAAATTTTGTTTAATAAGAAATATTTTGGTAACAGAAACTCTTTCTTTTTGTACTGTTATTAAAACACTAGTTATAAAAAAACACCACAATTTCAATGAAAGAATTTTTAAAAATTTCAAAGATAAAATTTTCTAGAATTGTTTTAATTTAAAATATAAATTACCATAAATAGAAGTCGCAAATAAAATGCAACTTGATCCTCATCGAAGTTGTCGCAAACAATTAATAATTGATAGAATGATTCTATAAAAAACTTCAAAGGCAGTTTTTTGTCATATTTGTCAGCAATTGATAAAAGATATACAATAAAATACAAATTACAAGAACAGTTATATTAATGACTTCTATAGCTACCAATAGATTTTATTTATTTAAAAATATTAAAGGAAATTTTGTTTAAATATCTATTTACATAAAACTACGTTTTTGTTAATATTTTTACCTTATTTTACAAAACGTTAAATAATTGCCAAGATATGGCAATAAAATTTATCAGATTTCTGTAATAGACCAAATTTTGTGATTTATTGTTAAAGGTCTTGAAAAAATGATAAATTGAAAGGTTCGGGTTTAAATATTTAACTTTTACATTAGTTTGAAGTTTATAAAGCAGATTGTTAATTTGTGTAAAAAAAATTGTTTTCATTTGTAAAATGAAATCGAGAGGATTGAGAAGGAAAAACTTAAAATTAAATTATTGATGATTTTGCGAATAAGAAAAATAAAGAATTCGTTACTCTGGCAAAAGAAAGAATGTATGAATATGTCAGATGTTATAATAAGGTTTGTTATTTGACTGGAATAAAATATAGACCTAAAAAGATTCTATATCTGCTGATATTTAACTTTCAAAAATTACGTTTATAGAATAATAGAGCTGTGGCTAGCAAAATCTATCATAACTTTAATAACATTTATTCTACGATCTTTAAGACTTTCTGTGTATAAAAATTAAAAAGTTATTGTAAAGCAATTAGTAAAAAATATTGTTAAAACATATTCAATGTAGGAAACGAAAATCAAATTTTTAAAATTGGTGAATTAAAGATAAATTTAAGTAAAAGTAAAAATATATCCTGTAGAGATGCTTAAATTTTTGGGCTTGTTATGCGAGAAATTAACAAGCGAATTTTATTGTTACTAAAATATCATGTGAATAAAGGTATAGCACCTATTTATATATTTATAGCGATTGCTAGAAAGCTATATTTATTTAAGAGGGGCTAATGTAAAACATTTAACTGTACATTATTATAAATTTTTAAAAGATTTATATACGAGTGTTTTAGTAAGCACTCAAGAAAAATACTTATTTGCTTTTAAAAAATATATTTATTATATGTATGCTTTAAAGCTTTCAATTCCCTTTTAGTAAGATTAAAATAAAACAATTATTGGATTAGCACTTAAACAGTTTTATTTTTAATATTAACATTTTATTGTGCTTAATCTTAGAAATTTCATTTTTAAGAATAAAAAAATTTATGGCCACCTTTTAGTTAATCTGCTTTACATTGTACATTCTTCTGCTCTGATTATATAAATATTTTTACTTTAAAGTAGATTTTAATGCACTAATTATTTAATATCTATCAAAATACAAATGTGTTACAAGTTTACAGAAGTTATAAATAAATTCACTTGCTGAGAATGTTTATCTATTAATTAAATTAAACTTTTTGAAAAATATTTTCAAATTTTAATTAATTAAATCTTCAAATTATATAAAAATATTTTAGAAGAAGCTATAAAATTAAGAAATTGCAAAATATGACTATAGGCAATACAATTAAGAACAAATAGTGTCAAATAGTAGGCATACTAATAATGTGGCTTAAAAAAATATTTTACATGCCAAAAATTTATTTAAAACTTTTCAACTGAATATGAAAATTTTTGCAAATAAATTTTTAATTTTTTTAATTTATTTTGATGAAATTTTTAATGAAAGTGAAAATACCCCAAAATAATGATGAATTTAATTTATTTATTTTCTACTATTTATGGACTTTTATTAAGAGTAGAATACACAAAAGAATTAACTAAACAATCTAAAACATTTAAAATAGATTCATTAGTAGGACTTGGGGATGAAAAGATGAAGGAATTGATAAATTTTGTAACGGAAGGGAAAAGAACTAAAAGCTTCGAAACAAATTTGCATTTTTTAAACACAGATACAATATTTAATTTTAAAAGCTTTCTTTACAATGCAGATGAAGTTAAAAAAGTAAAAATTTCTGCAACAATTGATAATAAAGTTGTTAAAGATAAATATTTTCCAATGTTAAAAATGTTGTTACGAATAAATTTGATTGTAAATAAAGATTGGAAAGTTTTTGATCAACTTGATCAAAAAATTGAAAAATTTAAAAATTTAGAAAATTGTAAGTACTATTGCTCTTGTAAATTTTCTACAAAAGATTTAGAAAATTGTGTGGATTTTCGAATTATATTGAAATTTTTAGAACAAAGTACAAATAAATCACTGTTTTATTTGACTAAGCAATTTATTATTTTTTATGGTGAAGAATATGATCTTGCTTTTAACAAGGAGCTCGAAGAATTTATAGAGTTAGAAGAAGAAAAAATATTTGAATGTCATGATAATATTATTTTATTATTAGAAAATATTGATTTTAACAATTATGATAAATTAATATTTACGAAAGAAGAGATAAAATTTTTAGAACTTATTAATTAAAATATTTTTTTTTATATTGCAGTTTTAAATCATATTTTGAAATTTTTAGGTCAATATAAATTTGCTAGACTCTTTTCAAGTAAAGATAAAGAAAGTTTAAAATTTTTCTATACTCCTGTCTTTGTATAAAAAAGTGTATAAAACTTTACAATTCTTTAAAAACATTCTGATTTTTATTTTTTGTTTAACAAGGATATTTAATTTATCGTACCAATGTAACGTTTAACACTTATTTGTGCTTACAAATCTAATAACTGTTTTTCAAGGTCGAAATTCTGTAGTAAATGGATTTTAATTATCTTTAAACTTGCTTTGAGATATATTAGTATTTTTTACAAAGTAAAAGCTTTTACGTTATTCAACGAATTATTTCAGTACAGCCTAAAGAATAAATTAATTTATAACAATTTTTATTTTGTTTGTGCAGAAATTTTTAATTCAACTATTGTTACAATTCCTTTGATGACTCATTAATTTTGCGTCACTTTAAATTGAATAATATTAAATTTAAAAAGAAGTAAAAGAACATAGAATTTTAAAATGTAGTGGATTTAAGAAATTTTTTAATTTACTTTGCGAATTAAAAGAATGACTATTTATAGACTACAAATAATAAGATGTTAAGGCAAAAACGTTTAATAGTAATTAAATATTATAACGTTTAAATTTGTTAATTGTTTTGACTAAAATGTCAACACAAACGTAATCATAAAATATCAGTTCTTTTAAGTAGCATTTTTATGCAATGTAAATAATTCATTTTTGAACTAATAAGTTATTATATAGTTAATTACAAAGTTGGTTTCAATAGATACTAAAAATAAATATAAAAGAAAACATATTTAATATTTATATATGAAAAATATATTGAGGTGTGATAAATTATAAATATTTTAATTATTTCATAAACTTATTAAACAATAGGATAATATTTAAAAATAATGATTACTTTTTTTAACTTTTTCTTTTAGAAAACATTATTTAAAAAAAGAGTGTTTAAGATAATATTGAATAAATACCAAGAAATAATATTTTAATTTGGCCTGTTTACATTTGATATAATTTTTCTTAAGTTTTTACAAATAATATATTATTGTTACCCCCATGTTTCAAAATGCAGAGAGACTACTGGCTGAACAACAAAATCTTAGAAAAAATAGAAAGTATATGTTCTACGCAATTCCCGTTTTTACAAAAAAAAATAATGTAACTTGGGAATGTGGATTTCCTGGTCCCGATTCTGATTTATTTAAAGGGTCTTATTATACAGTTGAACTGAAATTTCTGCCAAAATATCCTTTAGAGCCCCCACGTGTCAAATTTAAAAATCCAGTTTATCATCCAAATGTGTATCAGGATGGTAATGTCTGTCTTGATATTATATCGTCAAAATGGAAACCTTCTATGAATGTTATGAGTATATTATCGGGTTTGCAACATTTTTTAGAAAATCCTAATATTAAAAGTCCTGCTAATGTTGACGCGGGTGTTTTATTTAGGAAAAATAAATTGTCCTACGATAAAAATGTTAGAGAAAATATACTGATGCATCATAGCAGTCCAAATTTTAGAAAAATGTAATTTGTATCCCCTAAAACCATGTTACAGAAAATCGAAAAAAATAAAGAAGATTTAGTTGATTTAATTTTGAATCCACATGTACATGCAATAGAAGATACACTGAAAGAAATTTATTCTGATTGTTCTATAGATCGTAAAAATCAGTTAATTGATGAATTAACTTTGATTTTTACTAAAGATGATATTTTGTACAATGCTAAAATTCAAGCTAAGTTTCCAGATCTAATAAATTTATTAAAAGAACAAGATCTTTACAATAACACATGTGTGCTTTTGAGCGATATTGTACGTCATAAACCTGTTATACAAGATATTTTTTATCTTCTAAAAATATTTGATTACATAAATTTTGATAATTATAATCCTACAATTTCACTTATCTTTAGTATGTGCTATGGAAATAAAAAGCTGACAGATTTTTATTTTGAAAAAATTTATCAAGAGGATAGGGACGGGAATAATGATCTTATAAAAATATTGGCTGATAATTAAATAATAAATATTTTTATAAAATTTTTTTTATTTAGCGATAACACTGTATAATTTTTTGATAAATTAATTCACTTACATACAACTATAAATTTAACGTAAATCCATTTAAAAATTTTATAAAAATTCATTCTACTTTATTGAAATTCTGCAGGACGATTTTTAGTCTCCTTAAAAAGACAAACAACAATAACTAAAAATACAGCCATAAATAAACTATTCACTAAAAATATATAGCTCCCAATCATAGTATACAAAGGCATATTAATAAAAGATAATAAAAAAGCAGACATCCAATTTACGCCAACTGTTAATCTCATCGCAGGCATACAATATTCTGGTGTAAAAATCTCATTCGTAATAAACCAAGGTATAGAACTTAAACCTATATTGTAACCAAATACATATAAATAACAGATAAAAAGTTTAAGCTGCCCAAAACCCATTATTAGAGTAGATATAAGAACTATCGCTGTACTAATACACATAAATATCTTTCTACCTACTTTATCTATAAAGCAACAGCTAATAACAGAAACCAGTGCAGAAAAAGCTAATGTAAAAGCACCCTGAATTTCCGCATCTGGCTGTTGCGACAAAATCTCCTCTATAAAAATCGTAAAAAAGTCTATACCACACGCGTGCTGAGCAATGTGAAAACAAACAGCCAAAAAAGTAGATCTAATAGCCCGCCTATTTTTTAAAAGCTGAGGAATTGTCGTATGATCAAATTCACCAGAAGACGATGGACACTTTTTAATTACAAATAACCCTATTGTGTGAATTATCACAAGTAGAGTAATAAAAGTATATACAGAATCCCAAGCGGCGGAAGTATAGGTTATACAGAACACTTTACCTATTACTAGTCCAAGTACTATTCCTATTGAGTGAAAAGACATATAAAATCCTCTATTTCTATCATCAGTTATACTAAACACGTAACTAGGAACAATACAACACGAGATACCTGCTCCCAGTCCAATAATAAATCTAGACATAAGTAAAATATAAATATCTTCAAAAAATAAGGTCAAACCACTTCCCAATAAATATGTCAGATTATTGATTATCAAGACAATCTTTCTATCCAAATCGTTTACAAGAAACACAAAATAGCTCGATATGAACGCACCTAAAAATACAATACTCGCAAAAAGGCTTTTATACACACCAAAACCAAAATAGAAATTTTGAAGTTTAAAGTTGTCTTCTAGCCTAGGGTACAATACACTCTCAGATGTAAGGAATAATCCAAAAAGAAATGATGATAATGCTGCTATAATAGAATAATAAAAAAGTTTTAGTTTTTCTTTCATTTGTCTAAGGGGTAAAAATATTTTTTTTAAAGAATCAATAATTTTTAATTAATTCGTTAAGCGTTTTAATTCGACATCACAACGTAAGAGTTTTAAAAAATATAATTAGTTAATACACTGCAAATTAAATGCATAACGAATATAACAAATAATTAAATGTTTTTTAATTTCAAGTAAGATTGTTTATAAATTAAAGTGGTGTTTATTTAAATAATTTATTAAAGTAAAATTTATTTTTTATAAAAAAATACTAAAAAACATGTACATTGTAGATCAAAACTATTATTTTTGCTGAATTTTTAATGATAAATTTGTTTATTGTACTATAAGCAAATCTTATAGGTTTGTGATTATTAATTTTGTATTGTAATGTTTTAATCAGTGAAAATTCCCCTAATAATTTTTCCTAGTTTAAAGAAAGTGCCTCTTGTTACATTTAAAAAAAGTCAACTAGCTCTAATTAAGAATAGCAAAAGTGCATCCTTTAAAGTTTTATCTAAAGCTAAATAAAGCATTTATTTTATTGTCTAAAAAATTAATTATGTTTTTTTTAACATTTCACAATTTTTGTATGAGATTATTTGTTATCAAAGACTGAATCCATAATATTAACTTTTGACATTTAAATATTAAATATTGTTCTATTAAATTTGACAGTAGTATCTTATTAAATTATTAACACAAACGCTTATTATTAATGTTTAATGATTTAAATTTACGAAAAATTGAATTTATAAAAAAATGCCTTTTTTAAACTTTTATTTAAAAAAAAAGATAAATATTAAAAATATCAAAAACACGATTGTCTAAAAAATAGATGTATTTTTTTAGTAATCGGGTATTAAAACTTTTCTGGAAAAGTAAATATATCTTGGATTTATTATAATTTATTAAATTGTGTGTTTTTAAAAGTTTGACGGTTAAACATGATTTACCATATAAGGTAAAAATTTATCTATTTACTAAATAAAAAATTTCTTACACAAATTAATATAAACTTTTTTTTAAAACATGACGTTGAGTAACAATAAAATTGATGCACAGATACAAAGATTTATCTATTTAATCGTGTACATCAAATAATTTTATAATTGGTTTATATTACCCCTTTAACACTACTCTAATAAAAAATATTATTATGAACATGACCCAATTATTATAGCTAAATCAACACGTTTTAAAATTCTTTTTATTTTTTTTAAAAATCATAAACCTATAAATAAACACAAAATTAAAATCTAAACTGCAGATAATTTTTATTCTCCAATAAAACACAAATATGGTATCAATATTCTACTAGTATTAACTTATTGGTTTAAAAAAAATCAAAAAACTATTTAAAAAAAAAATTTGTAAACTCACATGAAATTAAATGTTGCTCTTATACTTGTAGTAAAATACATAGTCGCAGATAACTCTCAAGAGACATGTGAAAATGAGAAGAAAAAAATGGAAAAATCCTCATTTTTTGGTTTTTTTAGCAAAGGTGATTCAAAGGATTCAAATAAATTATCTTCAGAAACAACATCAACCTGTAATCTTACAAAAGAAGATGCAGTGATGTCTGTTTCAGAAAACCCTAAAACAGAAATGCCTATGACTTCATTACAAGAAGAATCTGAAAGTGAAAGTAAGCAAGAGTTATTTGGAAGTAGCAAGCCAGTAAGTTCAAGTGAACTTTGCGGTGGTTCAGAACCAGAGTCAAAATCTGAAACTTCAAGTAAATTATTTGGTAGTTCGGAGTCAAAGCCAGTAACCACAAATAAACTTTGCGGTGGTTCAGAACCAGAGTCAAAACCTGAAACTTCAAGTAAATTATTTGGTGGTTCGGAGTCAAATCCTACAACATCAAGTAAACTTTGTGGTGGTTCGGAGCCAGAGTCAAAACCTATGAGTGAATCAAAACCTGAAACTTCAAGTAAATTATTTGGAGGTTCAGATTCTAAATCAAAACCTAAATCATCGAGTGATCTCTGCGGGGGTTCGGAGCCAGAATCAAAACCTATGACTGAATCCAATCCTGAAACTTCGAGTAAATTATTTGGCGGTTCAGATTCTAAATCAAAACCTAAATCATCGAGTGATCTCTGCGGGGGTTCGGAGCCAGAATCAAAACCTGTAAGTGAATCAAAACCTGAAACTTCAAGTAAATTATTTGGAGGTTCAGATTCTAAATCGAAATCTAAATCATCGAGTGATCTCTGCGGGGGTTCGAAGCCAGAATCAAAACCTGTAAGTGAATCTAATCCGGTAACATCAAGTAAATTGTGTGGCGGTTCAGAACCCGAGCCAACACCAGAAGGTAAGTCTACTACTTTGTTTGGAAGTTCCACCACTGCTAAACCATCAGATAGGCCATCCGAAAAAGAACAGTCATTAGAAGAAAAAGATAAATCGTTATTATTCGAAAAGTCAAATGCGAAACTTACGAGTGATGCAGAAGAGGAGCTTACCGAGAAATCTGCTGAAAGTTCTGAAGAAGATATTGCGGAAGAAAAAGGTTTATTCTTGTGGGGAAATAAAACTGAGACAGAAAACAAGAAAAAAAATCCTGTCTAGACATAGAATAAATGTTTATATTTAAGTATTATTATTTTTATTTAGGTTATATTAATTTTAAAAATTAAGTATTCTTTATTAAAATAGCACTTAAGATTCTTAATTTAAATTTATTGTGTGATTTAAATTAATTCTAATAAACCAAATGTTCCTTAATTCTAATTTTTATTTTTATATTCATTGTAAATACATTAAAAAATAGTTGATTAATTTCTTAATGTACTGTATTGTAATTTTATTTTTTGCTAGTTAATTGGAAATGCTTTTTTTCAAACAATGTGCAAAGTTACCTAGAAAGTTAATTAATTACATTTTAATTTTTATACCAACATAAAAAAAATATATATATTTTTTTAAACATATAGAAATTTTCTTGTTTCATTTATCACAAGCCGTCCTCGAAACTTTCAAACCGAGCCCGTCATCTTAAATTTTACCTTTTAAATACTTACTTCTAGCTCCAAATAAGCATCGGATCTTCGGCGGCTGGCGATAGTTAGGCTTTCCAGTGTCATCTTGAAGACTCTTATTTGTATATATGCCTCGGTTTGGATTCTAATCCTAGGTCGTTTGCATATAGGCGATGGTAATTTGTTACTATACCATTCCACGCCATTACAAAAGGGATAATTTTAACTTATAATTTTACATTGAGGCTGTATGATTTGCTAAAAGATCGTATTCATGTTTTTTCTCCGTTTCAACAGTGTGGTATATTAATATAATATATATTATTTTAAAATCGCTAAATATAAAAATAATCATGCCCAATTAAAATCTTTAATTATATTTAAGTCAATTTACTTTAAGTTTTATTATAAATAAACCTTAAATTTTCAATTATTAATAAAAAAATATTTTTTATTCCCCTTTATGGGAGACCACCACACAAACCCCGATTTGCAAAAAAATAAAGAACGAAATGAAAACTGTGATATAATCTCTGAAAAGCATAAACGTGCAGATATAGAAAACAAAATAGAAACACTACAAAGTTTAGAAACCAAAGACACAAAAACAAGTAAAGATGAACCATCTTCTGACAAAGTTGCACAATCGATTGATGATACTGTTTTTACCGAATACAGTTCAAAAAAAGAAAAACAAAGTAATGAAGCTTTGAAAAATGTCAAGAATTCAGACTTACCTTCGGAAGATCCTGTTACAAGTAGTAAAATTTCCGATGAGTGTGTTTCTACCGCAATTGGTACAAAAGCATCAGAAGAAGAAAACATGAATTATGATACATCTTTGAGAATTTCTAAAACTAATGTAACTGAAGACGATAAAAAGTTAATAAATGGAAAAAGTTCTAATCTTTTTGGAGGAGATGTAAAAAAAGTCAAACTGTCAATAGATATTAATCAACCAGCAGATAATATTTTTATGAAAAATAAACCCAAATCAAAAGCAGTAACAAACTCCTCTTTTCTTACAAATGTTATAAAAAAAGAAGACATAGCAGAAAATATAGAAGTAGATAAAAGCCTTTTAGGTACATTACTTTTCGAATCAAAATCTTTATTTTATAAATTTACCAATAAAAAATGGGAGAAAATAGGTACTGGCCACATATATATTTATAAAACACAAGAGCTAAGACTCATTTTTGTAAGAGACGGTCTTATGACTGTTTCATTTGACTTTTATAAAATTTTTGATATAAAGCCATCTGTAAAAGATAAAGGTGTACTATTTAAAATTCCTACGGGAGAATTGGTGTTATTAATGTTTGAAAAAGAAGATGAAAAAACAAAGTTCTTCGAGTTAATTAAATAACTTTATACATCAAAACGCGTAAAGTTTTTATAATAAATTTATTTTTTTACTTATTTTTATTATAAATAGTAACGAATCGTAAGTTTAAACTTACTAAGTATTTACCCTTTATGGCAATTGTAAAAATTAAAGATTTAAAAATTTTTATAAAGAATGTTGATGTAGAATTTATAATCTTAAAACTACTAGAAACTACTCTAACCAAAGACAATGATAAAATATACACTTATTTAGTAGCCGACGAATCTGGTTCTATTGAAGCTTCTATTTGGAATATATTACTTGACATTGGAGATATAATTTACATTTACGATGCGTATGTGTCATCTTTTAAAGAACGAAAAAGAATATTTAAGAGTGGTAATGGATATATTAGAAGAATTGGTGAGATAAAAAAGGAATTTATTCTTAATGAAGAACACAAGAAATTATTTTCTTTTAGCTAAACTACAAGGTAAAGTTATAAATTATCTGTAAATTATAATTTATTTGTAAAATTATGTTTCTATACAAGTAATCAAATACAAATTTTTGTTTTAACTTTTATTTAATCATATTTGTTATTACGCGCTTTTTAATACGAAACATCTGATCATTTTAATGCATCAAATAAAAAAATTTTAATTTTCCTTTTTTTATCATTGGTTTTTCCCCTTTAAATTAAATATAAAAATACTTGTTACTAACCCCGTATGAAAAATTATATATTAAACACAAAACTTATTTACTATGCATCAAGACTTAATGAAAAGGATGCCCACGCCGCATTTTTAGGTGCACAATATAAAAAATCAGGCAGTCCTAATAAGTCATCAAAAATTGATCTTCAATATGAAAAGGTAACAGATTCAATAAATTTGTATATGAAACCTAGGTGTTATGTTAATAATTATATTTACGATAAAAATGCGATATATGTTGGTGTTCTTGATACAGATTGGACGATAAAAGAATCGGATTACGATTATATCAAAAAAATATGCGAAAAACACAATATTATACCCATATTTAACGGTCCTGGTGATTTTAGTCAACTAATTACTGATATCTTAGATGCTAATACTTTTACTTACACGCATTCCAAATTAAATCATGCTGAGTTATATGACTTATATTGCAAATTTAACAACCAGGTATTAAAGGAATTAGGAGATGTTAAAGATACTGATATTGTATGGGCACAAGATTATAACTTTATACACACACTTGCGCACTTTAAAAATACTATTTTAACAATTTCTAGATTTAATGAATTATGGAAATGTATACCATTCTACAATTTGTTACTGGATGATATTTTAAAAGTTAAAATATTAGATTTCTGCTGTAAAAATGAAATAAAAGATTTTAAAACGTTTGTGTCGTACACCTATTTTACTGAAAAGCATGGTAATCCTGAACTTGTTTCTATTGATAAAGGAATAGACAAAGATTTTATTGATAGAACCTTTCTTAAAGATATACATATTGAAAAAAATACAATTGTAATCCCTTATGATTCTCTACATCATTTAATATGTATTGACAAGTATATTAATAAATATGATGTGCCTTTACAAGTAAATTTATTAAACATAAATAACAAGAAAGTAAGCCAAGATGTATTAAATTACGTAAATTATTTACAACTAAAAACTGAAGTAAAAGTATGTACACCCAAATCAAACGAGGATTTCTTAAAAATTTTAAGTCGGTGTCATATAGGATTTTATAAGTCTTTAGAAAATTATTTTAGTTATTTTAATCGTCACGTCGTAGCAAGTAGCGTTTATGATTACGAAAGCGTCGCAGATGAAATTTATAAAAAATTACATTTCGTTGAACAAAATAACGAATGTGTACCTGATTTAAAAGATTATGTAACAGAATTATTTAGCAAAATACAAAGTAGAAGTGAAGTTGAATATAAAAACAAAACTGTTGATTTTTCTAATATAAGCAATTTAAGTACACCGCGCATCAAAAGACAGATTATTTTTGACAAAAACAGTGATAAGGGACCATCTGACAGTACAACTAGTCAATCTATTAATACCATTTTGTATAAAGATCTGCCTTTGGAGGATGTCTGTGCAATCATTTTAGATTATGATGGTACACTTGTGCCTGTATGTGATGATCCAAAAGATGCTATACTTCCCGACTCCCACAAAGAAATACTTCTTAATCTAAATAAAAAAATAAAAGTTGTTATAAGTTCTGGACGATCGCGCGAAGACATGGACAGATTTGTTCCTTCAAATTTAGAAGTGTTTTCAGAACATTGCACATTTGTACGCATTAATAACGAATGGCGCAGACTACTTCCTAAGATAAACTTTGATCTTGAGTACCGAATAGCAAGATTTTACGAGGAGAGAACACCAGGAAGTTTTATAGAAAAAAAAAGTAATGGATTTGTATTTCATTACAGAAGTTGTGAGCCATCTTTAGGATTTTCACAGGCACAAAAACTTTATACTGATTTAATTAAGATTTCCCCACACATTAAATTAGGCAAAAAAATCGTTGAGTACAAAGTTGGAAACAAAAATGATATTTTTAAATATTATCGTAAGAATTTAATAATTTGTGGAGATGACGTTACTGATGAAGATATGTTTGATAATAGCAGAGGATTGACTATAAGGGTGGGATATTGTGAGAAAACGAATGCAGATTATTACGTAAATGATGTTGATGAAATGATACATTTATTGCAGCAATTGGCAACATCAAAATAAATCTTTATTTTTTTCTTTTCACTTTTAAAACCGTAAAAAAAGAAGATTCTACGCTTTTTTTCGATCTATCAAATTCTTTAAGTGCAAATGGTTCTAAATTTAATATTTTTACTAAAGCTTTACTAGAATTTTCAATATGTTTAGGAGTTTTAAAAGAAAGTTTACGCAACAGTTCTTGTAAATTATCTGTCAATTTAGTATTTACATTTTCTTTGTCAACATGTGCCAAGTTTTGTTCACTACACCTGCGTATTGTTTCATTATTATTACAATAAAGAATTGTTTTATTATTGTTCGTATTTTTTTTGATTTTATTTACACCAATTTCCGCATATTTAGTATGTTTAAATAAGTTATCTGTATCCTTAAAATCTTCTTTTGTTTCGTTATTAAACTCTATTTGTAAATTATTATTGTTTTCTCGGTTCATACTAAATATTATACAACCTTTTATAAAATCTGCTCTACAACATAAAATTGTAAATAACTTATCAAGATCAATATCCCCTACTTTATTTAAAATTTTTGATATCGGTTCATCTTCAAATCTAACTATTTCGTAACTTGACGTAAAAATATCTTTTAAATAATTTTTACTATTAGATTTTAAAACGTATATTATATTTCTAGAGTTTAGGATAGAAAATATATCATTCCAATAAGACTCAAGATCTTTTAGTACTTTTTTAATATCACTATTAAATACGTAAAATCTTTTAGATATACCAAAACAATATATTAATTTACATTGATTACAATATTCACTTAATATTGTAAGAATAAAATCCTTACTTTTACAACTATTTGAATATCCTGTGCTATCTAATTTATCAATATAACAAGTATTATCTTTGATATAAAATGATAGAAAATAAATAGCGATTTTATTTTCAAACAACACAAACGAATGTAAAAAACAGTTGTCAATTTTCCTAGCTTCTTTGTAAATTTCCATATGAAAGGGATGCAAAAAATTGAGAACAATTTTATGACAACTGTACTTTGGTAGTTAAACTTTATATGTAAGTTATAAAAATTGTAAAAAGCATTTAGTTAAAAAAATAATTACAATGTAAAAGATTTTAATAAATTTTTAAAGCAGGATTTACACAATCCTTTGCTTTAAAACCAAGAATTGACGAAAACAAATAAGTGTTATATAAAAGAAATTTTATACAAATTTTCAATTTATTTCGATTAGGCCAATTTATAAAAAATATCACTATAAAGGTTTTTGCTAATTTTAAATCCCAATGATTCCCGTATGCTAGTAAAATTAAGTAAATTTACTAAAGCTATATTAATTGACTTATTTTATAAAATTATAAAGAAAAGATTTTAAAGCCTAATTAATTAGATGTAAGGATAAAAGGAAAGGGATGATTGTAAAAACTACAATATCCAATTTATTATAGTTATGTACTAAAAACAAATTTTATATAATTTCTCTTAAACTTTACTGCATTTGATACACTTACTAACTTTTACTATTTTTTTACCCTTGTATGAACAGTAGATCTATTAATAAATTTATAAAAGACAAAAATTTTAGAAAACTTTCCGTTACCTTTAAACCTTTTATCCCCAAACATAATTATTATGATATTACTCCACCTTTCGACCATATTATCAATAAACATGTTTTTTATACAAAAAATAAAAATTTTAATAATGCGGTGGAAGTTCTTAAAACAGCTTGTGTCCTTTTTGACTGCCAATGCAGAGATGAGGCATCTGTTATTTTTAAGTACATTATAAAAAATTGTATATTTCATATTGAGACAGATGAAGATATTAGATCACTTATAAAAATTACATTAGAAATATATAAGCATACTAAATACCACACACTTGCCAATATTCTGTTTAAATTATATTTTAGGATTCAAAATCTAGAATTGGCGTATAATTTTCTTCTTATTACCAGTAATAACCGTATACATAAAAAGGACTATTATATTTATAATTTGTATAAAGGATTACTACTATTTTATAAGGGAGATCTAGAAGAGTCGAGTAAATGTATTAATTTGTCTTTTAAAAGTAAAAAAATACGTAAAGAAGGGTTTTTATTATTTTTTATTATTAATTTAATTAATAATAAATATATTAAAACTGAAGATGAAATGTTGTTAAATCTGAAAATTATTGTAAGAGAGGGGCTGTTTACACATATTTATAACATCTTAGATGAGTTAGAAGGATTTTTTGTAAAATTTAATATATCCTTAATAGTAAGAAATTATCTACCACAGTTATGTTTTGCGAATCTTATAAAAAGAATATTTTATTTAAAAAACGAGGATTATAAATTAAATTTAGAGTATCTTTTAGAAGTTATAGATCTAGATTATGAAGAATTAATAAGTATGGTGTGTTGTGTTATAGAAAGTAATTTAGTAAAAGGATACATTAGTGTTAATAAGAACATGATGGTATTTAGTAGAAGAGATCCTTTTCCGCTAAAATTTTTTTAATAAATTTTATACATATTTTTTGTAATTGGATTTATTTAACATTTTTTGCGTCTCAAAGTTCTGATAAGTTTTATACAAGTCAGTATTTATACATAGTGGTTGACATTAAAATATTAGCACTATTTTACTTTTAACTTATTTTTATTATCTGTAAATTATAAAAATACAAAATTTTTACAATGAATAAAATATATCAACATTAGAAATTGATATACAGTTATTTTAAAATAAAAAAAAGTGTAAATTTGTAAAAAAGATGTAATACTTTTTAAGTCAAAAACTTTTTTTTTACCCTCATATGGAAATTTACAAATACAATGAAAATAAAGCAGAAATAAACAGAAGGAAGCTACTTAAACCATTTGGTAACACCAAACAAATAACTATTACAGACAAAGTTACAAATTTTCCATTTACACGTTGTACAAATGAAAAAATCGAAATTAAAACACCGGTTGAACAAGATTTTGTAGCTTATGTACCAAATATTTCTATTAAGCCTAAAGAACAGACTTCTAGCTCTACTGCTTATGTTCCTCCTGTCAGTCATGTTTCTTCTGATGTTATTAGCGTTAAAATATCTAATTACGATATAAATATTAAGAAAGACGAGCTGTATAAAATTATTTGTCGGCACACTAATGTTAAATTTGGAAAATTTCATATGGTTTTTGATAGAGAAACGGGAATTAGCAGGGGATATTGCTTTGTCAGTGTAAATAGTAAAGAGGAAGCGAATCAATTACTTAATGACCTTAAGGTAGTCATTATAGACAATTTACGCTTATGTGTAGAATTAGCAAAAAATAAAACGTAAATTTATTCTTTTTAGCTTTTTTGATTTTTAAAGATCACGTGTCTAAGGAATTTATACGTTTACTTCTCAACTGAATACTCGTAAATTTTTTTTTGCTATCAGTTTTATTACTGTAGTATACAAATACAAAACATATCACTCAATAAAGTTTATTTAGCTATTTTACTTGAAATAAAGAAATTTTTAACACTTTTGTTGAAATAAAATATCGTAACAAACAATATCACAATTTTCAATAAAGAAATCCTAAACACAAGCTTAGAAATATAATTATATAACATAAGATACTTGGCTTCGTCTTTTTCTCCCGCTTTCTCCATCTCAAAGTTCTGTCTTGCAAATGAAAGCAATTCCTCGACTTTTTGTGTTAAGACAGTCATCTGGTAATCAACACCCGACACAATCTCTTCGCTTTTAGGATTTCCTTCAAATATCTCCACCTTAAGACCATAAAAATCTGGAACTTTAATATCTACATTAAATATAAAGGAATAGAATCCCGCACCTTTGTAAGAGGTAAAAAAGAATACATTATGTGAATCATACTTTCTATCATGAAAAAGCTCTTCTTTTTTATTGCCAGAAAGTCCATCCATTTTAAAAATAGTCAAAGATGTTTCAAAGGGCACATTAGACTCAACTTCACTCCATTGGAGTCTTTCCACATTTTTTACCATTAGTGTTGTTTTAACAAGTACAACTGTCTTTTCTTCCAAATTCTTGCAGATTTCTAAATCTTCTTTTGGATTTATTAAAAAAATACTAGCATAAAGTGGTGAGAGTAACAAAAATAGATTCATGGGGTTAAAAATAAAATAATTTTAAAAAGTGAAAAATTGCTTAAATTATAATAAGATAATATAGTAAATGTAATATTTCTGGAGTTAGTTAAAAACATGTTTATTGATAAAAGAATTCTTTTATATTTATTGTAGAATAATAATCTGTGAGGTTCCGATGTATCAAATACAGAATACTTATAGTATTAATCAGAACCGTTTGCACAAAAGTTGTGTTGTTCTACTAAATTATTTTCTTTTCGATTTGACACATATTGATCCAAACAATATGTTATACCCGAATGAATAATTTAATATAAACACAACAAATAAAGAACATAGAAATATTATAACAGCATTTAATACCAATACAAGTATTATTAAAACTTATATTTAATTATCATTTATACGCTTTTTTATACTAGCCATATAAAATAAAACTAAAAAAACGACAATGCCTGTGTTTAATGACAAATAAACTCTTATTAAATTCAATTAAAATAATAAAAATTTATTTTTTCTTTATCGCAGATTCCCAGTTTTCATCTAACATATCTAAATTATCTTCTGCCCATTTAAAACTAGTAAATTTGTATACATTATCTTTATTTATTTTATATCTTCTTTTTCTTTCCTTTTTTGGCATCTCTAAGGCTTCCTTTAACCCTTCACATATGCTTTCTGTATTCCAAGGATTGACACTCACACATCCAGGCAAGGTAGAAGATACACCTGTAAATTCACTCAGTACTAATATTCCTTGTGTATCATAAGAACAGCTTATATATTCTAAAGCTACTAAATTCATACCATCCCTTAAACTTGTAATTAACAGTGCATCAGAGATATAATATAATGCGCAAAGTGTATTAAAATCAACAGAATTATTTAATAAATAGATATTTGTACTGTCTACATCTCCTATTGTACTATTTGTACCAGATACAAGATTATTTATACAGTTTACATATCCTTTATATTCAACAACCCCCATTCTACTGGGAACACTAATCTGTAAAAATACAGTATTATTTTTGTAGTCGGGATATTTCTCTAGAAATCTTTTAAATCCTGCTACACGGTTAGGAATTCCTTTAATATAATCAGATCTATCTACTCCCAGTATAATAGTCTTATTTTTAAATTTATCTTTAAAATATTCTATACGTTCTTTTGTTTTATCTTCTTTAAGACACTTGGTAAATATATTAGGATCAATACCTATTGGTATAGCATCTACTTTACTATTACAAGAAAGACCATTGGCTTTACAACATTCAATAAAATTCGCTACATATTCATGACTGTGAAATGAAATTAAATTTGCAGCCAACATACCTTCTAATAATTCTTTTCTACAGCCCAATTTATTAAAACTAATACTACTTGGAAATGTTGTGTGAAGAAAAAACATTATCTTAATATTTTTTTTATATTCTCTAATTATTTCAGGTAGTAACATTAAATGGTAGTCGTGAACCCAAATAATATCATCATCTTCTGCTTCTTTAAGTATTGCTTGACAAAATATTTTATTATAAGTTTTATACGCTTCGTAGTATTTATCGACTACCACCATGTCGTCGCAAAAATAGTGTAACATCGGCCATAAAATTCCGTTGCAAAATTTGTTATACGTTTTTTCATTTAGTTCTGGATCAATAAAAATGGGATAAAAGTTATATTTTGTTCTGCAATCATTGTAAATAGTATCTTTATCTTTGTCACTTAGTCCTTTACTGCTCAAATTACCGAACCATTTAAATTTAATCCTACTATTTATTGATTGCAAGCCAGTTACTAATCCACCAGCACTATGTATATAATCAAAACCGTTATCTGTACGTTTTAAAGTTATAGGTAGTCTATTGCTCACAACTATAAGTTTCATTTTTAAGGGAAAGTAAAGTTCTTTTATATAAAAAAAGGGGTTAAATGATTATTATTGATAAATTAATAAGAAAGGGGCAAGATAACAAGAATTAAATGTGATATAAAGTGATGAAATAAAAATTGGTGTAAATTAAAAGAATAAAATGGCATAAAATGTTGTTATTTAATTAAATACTTTGTATCCTTTATAAATCGCAACAATACTACTTAATAAATAATCAAAACGCACGATGAAAGTGCTAAGTAAATTCAGTAAGTTCGTTATAAGAAAGTTACAATAAAATAACCCACTAAGCGATTTTAAACCCATTAAATATGTCAGGTTATACAATAAGCTATTAATAATTCCTAGAATAAGTAGATTAAATGTACGTACACTAAGCTTTTTAAAAATATACAGACTTAAAAAATTAGCAAATAATAAGAAAGAATTGTTATAATTGCATGTCTGTATGTATAAAATCTTATCTCTTAAACTATAATTCTTCCCTATCATATTTCTAATAACTTCTAAGGTGGAGATCATAACAATTAAATATGTAAGAAAAATAAAAAGAAAAATACCTTTATCATCTGATACATTAATAATTGTATTTTTGTAAACTATCTCAGAAAATTTACGAATTAAAGGAGTATCTAGTAAATAAAAAATCATAAAAAGTGATACTAATGATGTAAATTGTGCTATGATAATTTGTCCAAACTCCATTTTAAGGGGTAAAAAAAAGTTAAATAGAAAACATGTATCAAATAAAATGTATATTTTATATACATATTTACTGTTAAAATTTTAATACACTTGAGAGCACTTACATGAATTATAGGAAGTGCAATAATTAAAAAATAATGAAAGAATTATAAAAAAATACTTAGACTTACTTTAAATAAAATATTTTTGTAATATAAATTTGTTTAAATTACAAGAATTTAAAAACTTTTATAAATTTAAATTTAATTTCTGTGAAACCAAAAATTGCTGTATATGAAATATACAGGACAACAAATATCGATATGATAAATTAATACATATTGTCAAAGGGTTTATTATTTTGCACTTATATATATCTTATTGGTTCAAATAAAGCTTTGTCATGCACATTTAATTTGTAAATAATTTTATAGGTTACTTTTTTAATGTAAGTAAATACAGGATTACATTAAGAGTTAGATATATACTTATTATAAAGAAATTATAGCTTATAAATAAATTATTCTATATTTTTATATACATTAATTGTTTAAATATGTATTTTACCTGTGTCTTTAAAATAAATAGAATTCATTATATGTTTTACAATTCTAAAAATAGTAGCAGTAATTATTTTACTTAAAAATTTATCTTTATTTTAAAATATTCTAATTTACTTATTTTTGTTTAAAGGCATTCCTTGCTAAAAAATTAAAATAATTTTTTTAACTTGTAAACACATGTAAAAAATTTATATCTTTAAAATAATTTTGTCTTTATATATTTCTTTATATTGAAATTTATATTTGTTTTATTTTTGATATTTTTGACATTTTTAAAGTTTATTTTGAGGGGATTATATTAATTAAAAGTAAAATTTGTATAATTAATTAGTAACATTTTACAATAAAAACACAAGCATATTATATAAATTCCATAAATTTAATTTTTTGTTTTGTGTTTGCTTAAATAAACATTTGTTATTCAACATGAAACATATTACTATATATTAGTTCTTAGTATAAATATATTTATCAAACTTATTTAATATGTTATGTTTGTTTATAAACAATACAATATTTAGATAAAAATCAATACACCTTATTTCTATGAAAAAAGGCGGGAAACTTTTTAATTTAAATATAAGTAGTCCTATTGAGGGTGTAGATAAATATTTCTCTTCTAAAATGTCCTGTAAAAATATTTCCGAATCTTTAAAATGTAAATCGCTTTTAGAATATAAAGGTCTATTATGTGCTATATCTCCTAATAATAAATCTAAAGCGGTTTCGTCAAAAGAATACTTTTACAACAAAAAAATACAGCTTTATAAGACAGAAATATGTAGAAGTCATTCAGAGACGGGATATTGTAAATATGAATCAAAATGCCAATTTGCGCACGATGTAAACGAATTGCGCATTGTAAATAGACATCCACGTTATAAAACAGAAACCTGCCGCACTTTTTGGGAAGAAGGAAGTTGTCCGTATGGAAAACGATGCTGTTTTATACACATAAAAAATAAATCTTTAGAAAAAGAAAGAAGTAGTTTAGAATCTTCCTTATTCGTGGCGGAAAATGTAAATACAATTATAAAAGATATTAATTGTACAAGCAATTTTTTAAAATTACCAACAAAATCATTTTTACAACTAAATTACGAAGAATTGGATACTAAAAGTGCTGATAATCAAATTAATATAAGTACAGACCAAAGAAAAAAAAGTTCAAAAAAAAACTGTGATGATTTAAATGAAAACAATCCAAGTATATTTCAAAATGAAGATTTATTTGACGATATGATGTTTTCGTCTATTGACCAATTAAATTATAAAAATACATCCGAAATTAAAAAACAAAGTTCAGATTTAAACACCAAAAATAAAATAACATTAGATTTTAAAAATCTTGTATTTGAAGATTATGAATTTGATAGAGAAAGACAAATCGATGAAAAACTTTATTCATCTGATGTATCTCCTAAAGAAAATGTTATATTTGACACCTTAATTTTTTCACAGCGAAAATCTTTTTGGGAAAATAATGAAAATCTACTATGGACTTTATCACCTTTATTTTATGCTAATAATAATCACATATGGAATAGAAAATAAAATTGTTATATTCAAATAAATATTTGTATATAAAATATAGCTAGTTTTACAAAATAAAAAATAGTGAATTAATTCTAATTTAAAAAATAAAATTTATTTTTTTGTAGACTTTTTATATTTAAATGTACACATTACATCATAAAAATACATTTTATCTTCGTCAATTTTACATATCATATATTCGTTATTTGTAAACTGTATTCCTTCATATATTGCTCCTTCTTTCTCACCGACTAAATATTTGTGCAAATCGCTCTGAGAAAAATCTTCAACCTTAAAAATTTTTTCTTCTAATTCCAAATCATCAGATTGTAAAACGCAGTATTTATCTTCATCACCTCCATAAAAAACGTCGTAAACACTTTTGACTTTTACATTTTTGTCAAGTGGATGCTCGTATTCATAAACAGTGTCGAATGACTCTAAAATGTATGTTTCAAAATCGTATTCCTTTTCGTAAATTTTATTTTTTTTTGTTCCTAGATCTTCAATGTTTCCACAAAGATCGTCAAGAACAATTTTCATAAGATTAACATCAAGTAGTTCAAAAGGATCAGTATAAATTGTAGGAGGTAAAAATGTCTCAAGTGAATTATCATGATCTTTAAAATCAGTATTTAAAGATGGTTCTATGTAACACAATCCTGGTAAAGGAAGAGGAATATCATTTACCCATTTGAATTTTTTATCAGACATAAAAAGGGTATTAAACTAAAAAAATAAATAAAATTACATCTTATTACAAAATATCAAAATTATTTTTTTTTAGTAGATTTCAATTCTATTATTTTAAATCCTACCTTTTTTTCTGGTTGTCTAACAGAATTTGTACGTGTATCAACACTTTTACTTTCAAATTTAGGAAATTTAATCTGCTTCTCTAAAATTTTATAATAAGCAGTCATTTCAATCTGTACATCTTCAAAATACAATTCTTTAAGTAATTTTAATAAAATTGTTTCATTCATTAAAAGTTTAAGATCTGAACATCCATCTTTAACAGATAGTCGTTTATTAATAATTTTTTCAATAATTTCAATAACTTCATCCTGATTTTTTACTATTAGCCTTTTAATTATAGAACTACGTATTGATTGCTTTCTTTTCATTTCTAAAATTTTAGACCTGTCTAAAAAATTTGGTAAATCTTTCTTTGTAATATTACTAGCAAATTCATTTGTAGAAAAATTTATTGCTGGATTATTCAAAACGTAACTCTTAATATTATTTTGAGAACTAAGATAATATGGATCAAAAAACGGGACAGTACAAGATTTATATGATGGTATATCGCTAAGTTTAGTGCTCTGTTTATGAAATTTAAGTAAATGTTCTAACAATTCTGTTTTATATGGAAAGGCATAAGCTTTGATATTTATACAGTACTGATAAGTACAGCAATAATGTCCATTTTTAAAATGTAATTCTAAATCTCCAAAATTATTGTAGTATCTATTTTTATATCCAAGAATATCGCATATTGTACATGATAGATGAAATTGATTACAATGCTGTTTAGCACTGATCTCATCATATAAATATATATTACAAAAAGGACAATATATATGACCTTTAAACCCGCTTTCATTAAGTTTACCATTTTTATGATGTCTTAAAGTACTAACACTGTACAATTCGTGCTCAAACCAAAATTGCTTTTTATTGTCTGTGCATTCAAAACATAGCAAAAAAGCATGAGTTTCTCGATAATGAGATCTAAGCTCGTAAGTATTTTTAAGTATTAAATGACATTTTTTACATTTATGTAACAATAAGTTATAGCATTTATTTCTACAGTCTTCATTTTGATAAACAATATCTTCCTCTCTGATATTTTCTTTGATTTTAGAACGCAAATTTTTAATACAAAATATTTTTGATTTTTGTTTACACAACGGACAATCAGTATTTTCATATAATTTTAGCAATCGTACACCACATGAAATACAAACTGTGTGTTTGCACTCGTATTCTACTATATAATAAGATTTAGAAATACAAATAACACATTCTAAAGTCATAGGGGTGGTAAAATCGAAGATTTTATAAATCTAAATTTTTGATATAAAATATGTAAAGCATAGAATTTGCGAAAATTTTAGATGTAACGTAAATTTAATATCAAAATTTATAAAAAATAAGTCAAGCGTGAAGTTTACGAAAATAAAAACGTAAATTTAATAGTGGCTTTAATAAAAAAGTATTCTATGTCTAAAACAATATAAATGTAACGTAAATTTAATAATAGAATCTATGTAAAATGTTCTATTTTAGATAAAATTTCTGATTAAAAACAGGCCAGATCAACAAAAAAATAGCATTTTAAATATTTCACTACATACCATCTTTTCTATATGGACTCTGACCAGAAATTTTTCTTACTTTAATACGATTTCTGGCATTTTCATTCTTATGATATGTTGCTATATACAAATGATACCAAAATTTACCAGCTTCTTCATAACAAATTTTTATATATTTTGTTTCTCCTGATGTGTAATTCTTAGTATATGCACATTTAAAAGCTGCTTCGTAAGGCAACTTGGCTCTATAAATAACTTTTTCTCCCATTTTGCAAACTGGGTTATTATTCTGATCCACTTCCCACCAATCTTGCTTAGATCTTTTTTGATATGTCGTTTGTTTTTCTAATATTCTAACTTTATCACTTAAGTCTTTCATACGACGATTTGGATTTAAATCGTCTTTAAACGAATCTAGTATCTGTTTCCAATGTCCTTTACCATACTTTTTTAGACCTTCAACCAAAATTTCTTCTTCTTCGGGAGTCCATACTATTCCTTTACGTTTATCAGCATATGCCAAAATGTCTCTAAAATCGTCTTCTGGTCGACAAGCAATATGAAGTTCGAGTTTTTCTATTTTTTCATCATCTGAATTATTCATGTAAGGGTTACAAAACTGACCTCTTTATATTTATAGCTTAAAAGTATTAAGAAACGTTTGTAGCTAAAAGTATGCAATAAAGTAAAAATTGAATAAAAATAAATCGATCAAAAAATTAAGACAAAAATTAAAACAATATAATGAATGGCAAATATCCCTGTAATAAAATTTTACAAAAGTATTTATTTCTTAGAATAATCAATTTCTGGATGATTGCCCACACCATCGCACATATCATAGACAAGTTGAGCTACTTTAAGAGCTAATACATCAGCATCTCGTTGATTTACACATTCTGCAAAAACTCGTACAACATCTTCTGTCCCTGATGGTCGAATAAACGCTCTTCCTTCAAATTTTGTAAGTTCTTCGTTAATTTTATCTTGCAAAGCTTTTGGTGTTGTTACCTCGTTTTTATCATTTGTAATAATAGACCTCTTATTTTGTATTTTAACAACTAAGTTTCTTGATCCATTCTCTTTGTATTCTTTTAATTTATCAGTAGAACTTAATATACATTTGAAGATCAAAAGATTAGCAAGTGCATCTCCAATATTGGGATCAAAAAGCTTAGACAAAACTTCTAAAATTTTATGTTCATTTGTTTTATCTGATGTAAATGCTTGTATGGCAACATTAGAAAACATTACACTCCCGTGACCATTTGGTTCAAAATAAATACCAATATCATATTTTTTTGCAGCTTTAGCAAAATTTTTAACTCCTGTCTGCACCATTTCAGTTTTAAAATTTTTTAAAGCACTAAAACAGCCACTGTTAGTGTAAAAAGATAAAATAACACCTATTTGCAAATCAATTTCTAATTTTTGTAATACTCTGTGAAAATAATTTGCAATTAATACGGCTTGCGCATCGCCATCCAACATAAGAAATCCATTTTGAAGAGTAAAAAGGATAAGTCGATCGGCATCGCCATCAAAACTAGCAAATAAAGTGCTATCATTATTATTTTTAAAATTATATTGCAATAGAGGAAGAGCGCTATGAGTTTTAACATAATCTGCACCACAGTCATTGTTTATAATACCATTTTTATCGTTAATTATAGTTATATTAAATTCATCAACTATATTTTTCTCAATAATACCATTAGCAGTATCTACAAAAACTGGTAAATCGCACTGTGTCAAATCTTTTAATGTACGAAAATTACTAACAAGATGTTGAATATATATTTTCTTATCTACTAAACAATTTGCCATATTTGAATGGCGAATTAAAAAATGCATTTGTGGCGTGCTTACTTCGCCATAGTCTTCTACAATACAGTCAACCTGTAATAAAACAGATTTAATATGTTCTACAAGGGCCTCCCCCGATTTTCGTGTATCTCTACCGATTACAACATGTCCCGTAATGCCGTCATTTATATCGCAAATATTACTGTTTTTTCTTAAAATTTTATTCAGCATATTATGAAAATCTTTGTCTTCGCAATTTACTAAATCATCACTACATTTTTCCCAAGATTTATCAAGTATGTTTCCGTTGTGATCAATAAATTTTATTCCATTGTAGCTTACAGGATTATGACTAGCAGTAATCATCAACCCTATACGTTTACCTGCAAAAGATGCCGATCTTAAATATGCGATGAACGAAGCCCTGCATATTATATTTGTAAGATCGTCTGTATTGCTTCTGTATCCGGCTGTACCATAAAAAGCTTTATTTAATGGTTTTTTTAGATTATCTGTTATTTTTATTTTTTTGTTCATAATAAGGGTATTTAAAAAAATTAATATATAAACATAGTTGTTAAATAGTTTGTTTAGGATTTAAAAAATAGCCTATTAAAAACTGTTGTAAAATAATTTATCAAAAAAAACAAACATCAATAAAAAACAAAAAAACAAATTTGTATTTTTAAAAATTTTATAGCAAAAAAAGTTACTTTTACATTTAAACTAACATTACAAATAAATAATAACAAACATAATTAAAGAGATCCATAGTGTAGTACATTTACTTAAAAAATATAATGAAGCATTTTTAACAGACTTTAAAATTAGAAAAAACCACAAACTTTTATAAAAGATGTAAAATTTTTTTAATTTAAAAATAAAAAACACATTTTAATAATTAATAATAAAATTAATTCATATTATTAAATTTAATTTGTCCAAGGATTTTCTTCTTCAATTTTAATAACACGTCCTTTGCCTGTACTACATGGCAATTGTTTTGTTAATTCTTGTTCACATTCAAATGTTTGTGTTTCAATTTTCTCTTGCATTGCAAAATAAATATCATAGCAACTACCTAACGAGAACATTTTAATTTTTAACATATTAATACCAAAAATGCTTGATATACCGTTTTGTGACTTTTCATCAACTGTAATAATATTTCTATCTTTGTCTATTTTTATACTTTTATCTTGTAAATTAATGCTTATGTAAATCTTATTAATTAATTTATCAATATTATCGCAAACATCTTTTGCAAGAAGCATAATATTTTTTTCATCATTTTGATTTAAAAACTTTCTTTTTGCATCAAAAAGTCCAATAAATGATTTATTATTAGACATCTTTAGCTTTTTAATAATTGACGAGTGCTTTTGAATTAATTTTGGAATATTTTGGAAATCAAAAAAATGAATAAATCTTGATCTAGTTACAGAAATAAATAATAAAATCCAATCACCTGTAATTCCTTTCTTTAATTTGCATATACCGAACTTTATAGGTTCAATATTTTTATAAATATTTATATTTTTTTTAATTAACTCGTTACTTAAATTAGTTATAATCCCTTCATAAGCATTTATGACTTTTGCTTCTATAATTTCCTTTTTTGTGTCCGAAACCGCATCGAAAAATTTATCTTTTTCTGTAAATGTATTAATTTTTACGTGTGATACATCGTACAAGTTGTTAAATAGTATTTTTTGCGATTTGCAAAACTTTGTAATTATCTGTAAGTATAAATCTTGGGTATTAAGAAATTTATCATTGTAAATTGATATCATATTAGAAATTATAGAAGTGTTATTTTTTTCGTATGTATACATATTTTTTATAGCCATTTTTAGGCGAATGTCTGTCAACCATGGATCTTTATTTTTCATCCAGCTGTGTAAATGGGCTTTTTTGGCTTCATCTAATTCTTTTAGCTGTTGTTCATTTTGTTTAATTACTTCTGATAAATTGATTTCAATAATAGAAATTTCTTCATTTATTTGATACATTAAATCTTTAAGATCATTTGAAATGTTATTATGCATTAACAAAGATTGTTCATACGTGTCTCTTTGTTTTTCGCCACCTTCTATTAGCGAAATTAAATTCATGTCATTCCACGATGAATCTCGAGGTATTTGAATAGCTTGAGTTAATATTTCCGTTGACTTTTTCGCAATTGTACTAATAAGTTCGAAATAATTTGATATAAATTCTGCTTTGTCTTTTAGTATTTTATAAAATACTAAAATTTGTCTAAGCTCATCCATATTGATAAATTAAAAAAGTATTCTATGTATACAAATTTGAAACAAATATGAAACAATTTAAAAGTGTTTTTTTTTCTGATTTAAATGGTCAATTGGTTATATTATTCAACAGTTAACATTTACAGTGTAATTTTTAAAAGTTGTGGTATTATAACCACTGAAGATATTGTAAGACAATGATTTATGAGACATGAAGTTTCTTTTCTGTAATTTTGATTTTAAAAATAACTGACATGCTGTAGATAATACCACAAAGTGCTAAGAAAAATAGCAAACCCTTGTAATATATAAAAAATATGTTCTATTTACATTTATATTTTTTTAAAATTTCTAAGCGTAACAGCTTTATTACATTTTAAGTTAAACGTGTGTCAGTAAAAATTTAATAAATAAAGAACACTTACGGTTTAAAGAAGATTACAAAAAATGTAATATTTTTAATTGTACACTATTTTCCTCCCAAACAACTTTTGATAATTTCAATACACTCTTCTCTAAGCTCATTATCAAATTTTATTGTTTGATAATTTCTTAAACATTCAACTGTTTCTCCGTTACATGTAATAATTATCCTAATTTTATTAGTAAAATCAAAAATTAGTGTACTGTCTGCCATCACAAAAAGCAGGCCTCCTTTAATTTTTCTAATTTTCATTATAAAAGACGGTTTACAATCTGAATATTCAAAATCGTGTAAAAATGTATCTATAAAATAATTAAGTACCCTGTAAGATGGCATTAAATCTTCAGGAATATTTTCTTTAAAATGTTCCTCTTTCAAAAAAGTTTTTTTACCATCTATTACATCTGTCTGTATAAAAATTACACTATGTTTTGTTAACATTATATTTTTTTTATCATTAAAATAAAATCCGCGAATTCCTGATTTTAATACATAACCTATTCCTTTTAATTTACTGACAGGTAAACTAAATAGAACGTAATCTGATTCTACAACAGATTCTGTATATTTGTGTGTGACAATATTTTTATAAATTCGCAATAAAAAATGTTCTCTTTTATTTAAAAACTTGTGCTCTTTAATTTCTTCTAGACCTGGTCTTTCCATTGGATCAAGTGTAAGAATGGAAGATATTAAGTCTATGGCTTCACTTGATAAATCACAATCTTCAGGAAAAATATAATTATTTTTTTTAATTTCTTTGTAAATTTCTTCTACATTCTTTTTTTGGAAAGGCGGAACACCAACTAGAAGCGTATAAATGATTACACCAAGTGACCAGATATCTACTTCGTATGAATGTCCTCCATCTTTACCAAATAAAATTTCAGGCGCAATGTAATTCGGCGTACCACACATTGTAACTTTTCGCTCACCTTCTTTTATTTTTGCAGATAATCCAAAATCACCAATCTTTACATTCATTTTCGAGTCTAAAAACAAATTTCCAAGTTTTAAATCTCTATGTACAACATGAACATCATTGTGTAAATAAAGTAATCCATTGATAATTTGTTTAACAAAATTAATTACATATTTTTCTTTTAATTTCCCATTACGTTTTAGTAAAGCATCAAGCCCTCCTCGCTCACACAATTCCAAAATCATAAAAATGTAATCTTCGTTGCGAAAATGCTTGTACATTTTTACAATATTTGGATGATCGAGCCCTTTGTGTATTTCAATCTCAGATTTTAGTTTTTCGTGTACTTTTTTGCTTTTTATATCTTTTAATTTAATTATTTTCATAGCATAATTTTCACCATTATCATTTTCTATAAGATAGCATTGAGCATAAGCCCCTCTTCCTAATAATTTTTTAAGAGAGTAGTTAGTTTGGTTTTCAGGATCTAATATCTTTGTATTTAATTGAAAATATAATTCAACTTTAGAGGCCATCTAAGGGATACCTTTTTTGAAAATTTTATTAAAAAAACATTAAAATTTTATTGGTACTCTTTTGATCTAAAAAGTAGAATGTTTTTGAATTTACTAATTTTTTCATTTTAAATATTTATTTTGTAATTTTTTAATCCTTATGACTTTCTTTTCAAAAGATTATTTTTTAAAATTATTGAAAGAATTAACAATTGCCGATGAACAAATAAAATCTTTAGGAGTGTATGTGATTTCATTTAAAGAGGAATATGATAATATTTTAGAAGCTTATTCTTTTCTGTACAAGGATTCTAGTATACATCATAAACTTGTTTTGCTATATTTAGCAAATCAAATATTGCAGAGTGTTAAAGGCAATGATGATAGCATTTCTGGTTTGCAAAACGGGTTTAAAAAGTTTATTATTGAAAACTTTTTTAAGTCTAAGAGGGAAGCTTTGCCATATAGTACTATTTGTGAGAAATTTAATGATTTGGAAAGAGTCTGGAAAGAGAGAGGTGTTGTAAAATTGCAATAAAAGTTTTGTTAAAAATTTTAAGTTCATGAAATTTCTGACTACTTACATTTAAAGTTTTTTATTTATTTAAAAAGTTCAGCATCTAACAAAATTAAATTATTTTTTAAGTACTATTTTAGTAGTGTTTGAACTGATTTATACTTTAATTATGTATATTGCATTAACTACTGTATTTAATACATAAATTTTCTAAAACAGATATACTTTATTTTATTTATTAGATAATTAACAAAGTAACAGTTTTTTAGTGCATTTTTTTCATCAATTTCGTTCAACATAAATTTTTGTTCAAAAACATTTACGATCTTTTTTTGTTCTGTTTCTAAGCAGAATGTTTATTTATGCCCGTTCTATAACTTCAATAGTATTAGTATGTACATTTTATTTTTTATTTCCACATTCTTTGCTATGATTAACTGTTTTATAAGCAAAAAAAATGTTCTTTAATTAACTACGTGCTTTTCATCAATCAGAATAAACAATGACATATAAATTACTTTAAACTTTTGAATTTTACAATATTCTCTTTTTAACAGTAATTTAAAATTATCTTTTTTTTTTACACTACCAAAAATCTATATTCTTTTAAAGTAATTTCCTTTGTGTACATTATTTGTTTAATTTTCTCTTACCTATTTTAATAACGTTGCATATTCCTCCAAACTAAAAAATACAAAGTAAATAGCATAAATAAAGATACTAAACATATAAATAATATCCTTCCCTTATTCATTGAGAATCCGATTATATATGTATAAATTTGTATGAAATATTATTAAGCAACTAAAAATTTAAATACTGTGCTCAATAAAAAGGTTTTCAAATAAAAAAAAATATTTTTACAAATTTTAATTCAAAAGGATATTTTAGACTGAAGCCTTATGATATTTTTTTATATTATTTTATCATTATTAAGTATTATAAATAGTGTTTAAAACGATCTATAAACAGTAAAGCACTTTTGTATCTAAAATACAGCTAGCTAAATTTTTGTATGTTTATGATTTCATAAATGAACTAGCTTAACTTGACATAAATATCTTTATTTTTTTACAAATTATTTCTCAATCGATGTAAAAAAGGCTTTTTACATTTCATGTACTTTTGCGTCATATTTTTATTAATAGCATCGAAATGATGTTTTTTTGCAATCTTTTTTTGTGTGCAAAATTTTAAAAATAAGGAAATAAAGAAGGGGCAATTAAATTTTTGTAATTTTGAGGTTCAATATTTGAAAAGTTTTATATGGACAAATCTTACAGAAAGATTTAATTTATATAATTTATTTAAGTAAATAATAAATATTTAGATATTTATATTTTTATTATGAAAAATTAGAATAAATTTTTCTATTTTTTAAGTTTTATCCCTTATGTCAAACTTTTACGAACTTAAACACGAAACAATTGTAGATGTTCATAGGGCACAAACACGAACTTTTAACGAAATGATGGAAAATATAAAATTAGACATAATTAAGAAAGAACATCTTGTTTTAGAATTCGATCTAGTTGGTGTAGATTGCTCTGTTGCTAATGCATTGAGACGAATATTGATTAATGAAATTCCTACATTTGCAATCGAAAATGTTTTTATTTTTGATAATACAAGTGTTCTTCCTGATGAATTTTTAGCTCATCGTCTTGGTCTTATTCCTCTTGATATCTGTCCAGATTTAGAAGTAGGAGATTTCCATTTTGAATTAAAGAAGACTAATACCAGTTCTGAAGTTATGACAGTTACTTCTAATGACATTAAATATATTAAAAAAGATGGGCAACCAGATATAGAAATATCTAAGGACATTCCTATTGCTAAACTAGCACCTAAACAAGCTTTAATAATTGAAATGGTTGCGTGCAAAAATGTTGGTCGTGTGCATGCAAAGTGGAGCCCCGTTTGCACTGCTGCGTATCGCCTTATGCCGATTATTAAGATTGAAGATTTTTATGATGAAGAAGCAGAGAAGTTACAAAAATGTTTTAGCCCTGGTGTCATATCTTTAGTAAAAGAAGGAGAAAGTTATAAAGCTATTGTATCTGAGCCTAGAAAAGATACAGTTAGTAGAGAAGTTTTTAGACATAAAGAATTTGAAAATAAGGTATTTTTAGGTAGAAAGAATGACCATTTTATTTTTACTGTTGAAAGTCTAGTTCTTGACCCAATATATCTTGTAAAAAAAGCCTTACAAATTATAAATAAAAAATTAGACCATTTAAAAGGAGAATTGCGTGAATTTCAAAACACCAATTAAAGTATATTTAAGTTATATTTATTAATTTATGTTTTTTTAATTGCATATGACCTTTTTGTTTTTTTAAAAAAGCTACAATCAACTTATTTTTAAATTAATAATAAAACTTCTAATTTAATTATATTAATTGACTAAATCTTTTATATCAATAAATTACAATTATGTGATAAATCAATTAGTTATTAAAAAGTATTGTTTAAAAAAAATATCGCTCTATAAGTCATTAATAAAAGTAATATATAACAATTATATTTTATCAAATGTTATGTTCTGTAATTAAGATTAATATTAAAATTGATTTAAGAAAGGAGCGATAAAATTAAAAACACTTTAGATATAATTGATCTTATTATAAATGTATTTAAAGCTAAAGTTGTACTTATTGATCAAAAATAATACTGTAATAATAATAAATTAATATAAATAAATTAATGACATTTAAAAAAAATTAATATTTATTTACAGACATTCTTGTTTAGATAAAAATAATATAAACAAACAAATGGCTTTTTTATTTTAATTAAATTTTGTATTATAAAAAATTGATAAAAAAGGGTAAGCAAAATGCATTTTGAAGAATCTTATCCATTAAATAATAAAAGTCTACAAAAATATAGCAATAAAGAAATTAGGTGTGTTTTTGTAAAAGAAAAAAATTATTTTGACAGAATGAGGGAAGTTGTATATTTTTTTTTAGCTTGTTTATCTTTACTGTTTATTGGAGGTCTTTATTCTGTTATTAAATCTTTTACAACTCAGAAAGAAAATCAAATTGATTTGTTTCTTCCTGTGACTGCTGATGTTTTTAAAAATGAAGAATATTTTGGTAAAGATCAATTGTTTGAAGAAACAATTTCTGATATGACAAAAATTATTAAGCTTACAGAAACTAAATCTGAAAAAGAACTTAAAACGTATGTTAAAGCATCTTCTAGGAATTATTTACTTAGTGGTCCAGCAGGTACAGGGAAAACGCAATTTGTTAAATGTTTGATTTACAAACTTGACAGGCATTTGGCAGAAATTTACCAAAATTTGTCAAAAAATTATGTACGTGCGTTTTTTATAACGCCAAGTTCGCTTGAAGATAAATATATTGGCGAAACAGAAAAAAAAATTAAAGAACTTTTTAATATTGCTAGAGATGGTAAGGATTGTATGGCAACTATTTTGTTTTTAGATGAAATTGATGGGTATTTTGGTACAAGAACACACAATGAACATCAGCACTATACAAAAAGTAAAACAGAATTTTTAAATTTTATGAGTGGAATTAATGAGAATTTAATGAGTAACGTTTTTATATTCGGGGCTACGAATCTTATAAAAAATATTGATAGTGCATTTATTAGGCGAATGGGTTCCCAAATTGAATTTTCTTTGCCTGATCAAGTTGAATTAACTTGGATGATAGAAAAGATTACAAATTCTTGGCCTAAAGTGAAAGGATCTAATTCTGATCTATTAATTAAAGAATGCGCTATAATACTTTCTAGACATAAATGTACTCAAGCTTATGTTACAGAACTTCTTGCAAGGATCAGACTTAAATTCTGCGATACTTTAGCTGATAATCCTTCAATTGATCTTATTAGAGAGTTTTATGACATTGTTCGAAGATTGTAATGCGGAAATTTACCGCACTTTCAATGGATTTTTTATATTAAATTTTAATAAACTTTTTGATGCTTAATTGATTTTTAATTTATTTTTTTGAAAAAAGTATGTAAGAGATATTTATTCTTATTTGTAAAATTTTATTATAACAATGAATGTTAAAACTTTAATGCACACAGAATTAGAAAGAATGTATTTAACAGAGACAGAATCTCAAATATAAAACTTAACAGCTGTTTATACTGCTCTTTATAAATTACAACATACACAATATAATAAATGCTAAAGCAGCTAAATATTGTATTAACAATACAGAAAGCAAGTATAGTTTTTTTTAAGTTATTTATATATTTTCTAAATGCCTCGACAATTAATAAAACTGGCAATTTTACAAACGAATAAATCGCGTAGAAATCGGTAGAAAATGTTTGTAGAGTTGAAATGATGCGCAACCCCAAGAAAACTTTAGTGGCATTTGTAATGGCGTAAACTAATTGTAAAAGAACAAAATAAAATATAACGTCGGGGTCTAAACTTACTTGTTTGTTGTACCTCGTATAAATTAAACTATGCTCAAGGCGTGCGAGGTAACCTATTAACATCCACGCGACAAACGAAAGAGCGAAATAAACTATAAAAATCGAATTGAATCCAAATTGGGCTGCCAAAAGCAACCAAATTATTAAATCTATTAATTTAACTATTAATACTTGGAACACGTTATTTATATCTTTGGTGAAAAAAAAATTTGATACATACGAAATTTCTAGAAGAGTTATTAGTTTTGTGTATAAGACTTGGTATCTGTATGTTGCTAGTTCAATATCTGTTTGAGGAGATTTCTCAAAGCTTTTTAAAACATAAAGCGAAAGAATCATCTCCATAATTATATTCGCTATGGCATAAAATATGTATAAATACAATATACAGGTTTTTAATTTTATTTTAATATTCATTATAAGGGATTAAAAATTTAATTTATATAAATTAAAAAAAGATCTTTTATCTATCAATATAAAGAATGTTTACATAACAGTTCAAACTTTACTTATTTTGTAAATAGACACATAAAATGATTCATATTAAAATAAACAAAAAAACATTTAATTAATTTAGATGTAAAAAAGAAACTTTAAAAAACATCTTGTTTTGATTAAATTTAAAGCTTTTAATTTATTTTCGTCCTTCTTAATCATCCACGCATTTCTATTAAACAAAATATTAATTAATATAAATAATGTTATAATTTTATTTGGGTGTATGAGTGATATGAGTTTTGCATTCTTATAAACAATTGATTTTTAAACAATATATTTTTATTTAAGAAGTATTGTATGGTGATAAATAAATTTAAAAAAAATATTACATGCTCATAATTTGATAAATGAAAATAATTTAAATCGAAATATCTTTGTTTGATTAACGAATGACTTATTAAATGATTTTTTATTTTTATATTAGAATACTTAGGACAATACAAAATTTAGAATACACAATTTTAAGCAAATTTTAGGTATGCTAGACAAAAAGATATAATTTACATAATTTGACTTTGTTGTAAACGTATACATTCTCAAATTACTTCTTATATTTTTAATTTGACAAAGCGTAATCATCAAATCTAAATATTTAAAAATAAGATTAATGTAATATTTATATAACATTTTAAATATTTTTAAAAATATCGAATATAAAAAATAGTCTATTAAAACCTTATGAACAAAAACCTCTTTTAAATTACAAGAGAGTGATTAAGAAAAATATAATTTATTATTTGAGATTTTAAAAATTACAAACTGCGACATTCAAGAACCAATATAATAGTAAAACTTGTTTTCTGAAGCGCATTTTTCACAGTTGAATGTGTCTGAAAAAAATTTAACAATATTTATATTTAAGCAGATTACAAGATTTAGTAGCTTAAAAAATTTTGGTTGAAAAATATTAATTTTAATCATATTTTAATTTATAAAAGAAACAAATTTTAAACTTTTTGTAAAACTAGAATTAAATTTATAAAAATTTTATCAAACTAGTTAACGTTGGAATATAAAAAAATTATTTACATTTAATTTACAAAATTGAGCACACTTTTTAAATTCTAGACAGTCCTTTTCTTTTACTAATAAATAAATAAATCATACATAATACCATATCAGTAAGTGTTAACCATTCTATTAAAAAAGAAACTAATTTTTGAAAAAATATTTTTTGTATAAGCACATAAGATATATAGAAAATCCCAAATATATTAATAATCAATAAGAGTACTGTTAATATTAAAATTTTCATAAAATTTCTTGGTTCACGCCTTGTAAAAACATCATATCCTAGTAAACATATAAATTTTACCATTGTATATATAAAGTTAAGATTTACATCTTTAAAAAGTGTTTGGAACAGAATACGCAAGGTTAAAAATATTCTTATGGCATTTAAAAGTGCGGTTATAATTTGATTAATAATATGTAAAGTTATAATATCCGGATCCATGCTTATCTGATGATTATATTTTCTATAAATTATACTATGGGCGTGTTCCGTTATAAACCCTAATAATATAAATTGAGATACAGAGCATATTGCAAAACATATATATTCGGATCCAAAATAATATCTGATAGCTAAAAAAAGCCATATTGATATTCTTATAAGCTTAATAACTATTATCTGATAAATTGAATTTTTAGTTTTTGCAAAAATGAAATTTGTAAGAAAAAATACTTCTAACAGTTGAAGTAATTTTGGGTATAAGACTTCATAAATAAGGTAAGCGGGGATACTAGAGGAGTTGTTTGATTTGAAAAAATCTTCTAAAATTTGTTTTGTCAAAAAAACTTCTAGTACTAAATTTACAACATACAGAACACTGTAAAGTGCAATTATCGAATTAAATGAAATTGAAAACTTATTCATGGGGTTAATTTAAAAAAAATAATATATAAAAAAATATAAACGTTTAAATTTGAAATTTGTTAAATGCAAAAATTAATATTGATTTGTTTTTTTGTTGTGCAATGTCGATGATTACTTTCGTCACTTTAAATGCAAACAAAAAATAAATTAAAACTTAAAAAACGAAAAATAAATATATTTAAAGATAAACAAAGATTTAGACTTTTTATAACAGGAATTAAAACAAAAAAGAATAATTTTATGCTTATAACTACCATAACCTAAAATTTAATAATGTATAAAAAATATCATTATTATACTATTCTAATATCCAAAATTAGTTATTTTTGATCTTTAATGTTAGTTTCATGCAATTTTTATAATAAATGATTTATATCATACAATCTTTTTAAAACTTTTATTCGAAATTAAATTGCACCTTGTTATATACGTAAAAATTTAAAGCCTTTTGTCAACATTTTTAGTTTCAATTTTTCCACATTAAATTCATAAATTGTATACATAACGGTGTATTAAGCTATTTGTCACGAATATTTGACATATATTAATGTTGTATAGATAGATTAGTGTTTCATAACTTGATAAATTGGCTTTAAGTATAAATTAAATACAAGTAGTCGTTAAAATAATATATTTGTAATTAAATTGTTTATAAGTATTTTATTAAATAATTTATTTTTATAATTTTTGATGAACTTTTTGCCTTATATATGTTTGATTTTGCAAAAATAAAATTAATATATTTTATGGCATGAAATATCCATTTAAATGCACAGTTAAAGATAAACTCTTTTAGAATTAGTTTATTAATCAGTTAAATTTTTTTAATATTAAAATAACCTTCTTAGTATTTGTCTTACTGTACTCTTTTATAAAGTTCGAGATAAAATTTAAATTTTAAAAAAAGATTTTTTCGACATGTGGTATCTAATTGGTTAAAAAACATTTTTTAGATTCTTTTTTAATAATGTAATAAAAATATACTAAAAATTAAACTTTTAATTTTAAATCAATTTCATAAATTGTTATTGTTAATATTCTATTTATTTATATGATAATTTTCCCTAATTTTTGGAAATAAGCAAATAAGGAAAGAAACAACCCTTTGAAAATAAAAGTTATTTCTTTTTCTTTTACATCATATGCTTTTTATATATAAAATATTTTTAAGATTCTGTGTCGCAAAAATATCTACATTTTTATAATGATTTACTATGTAATTTCGTAAATATAATGCAATTTTTTTAAAAGATTAGATTAAAAATTTATTTTTTATTTTTAATATAATTGAATCCACAAAAAAATAAGAGAATGTACTTACGTATTGTGTACATTTATACTTTTGCTTGTACTTTTGAAAAAAATTTACTTGAGCTAAATTATTTTTACAAAAAGAATTAAGTATTATGAGTTTTGCCTGTTTTGTTATTGGAAATAAATGTCATTAAAGTGTCAGTACATTTAATTTATAATAAAACTAGTAAATAGCTATTAATATACACAAAAACATCAAGAGTTTTTTTTAAAAAAAATATATTGTAATACTTTATTACATGTTTATCAATATAATATAAATTTTAAAGTTTGTAAATTTGTGAATACTTAATGTCAGCCGACGATAAGGCACGCAATAAAACTGATAATCAAAAGTCAGGAACAGTTAAAAAACTGGTCAGCCGGCTTGGATACCAGCCAAAACATTTTAAAGTATTCAGCAGGAAAAGAATGATTTTGAGTAATCAAAAAAATACTAATCCTGGAAAAAGAAGTGCAAAAAAATATTATTTAGCTATTTCATATTATTTTTATCTAAATCAAATCTATTTAAGTCAAACTTTTACAACCCAGAATAAAAAAAGCAACAATAAAGTAAAAGAAGCTATAACTTGACTAAAAAGAAATAATTACAAACAAACAATATTAGTTATAATGATTTATTCACTCCTGCTCATACTATAATATTTATTTATTTTTTGTTTCAAAATTTAGTAGCTAAATTAAACTATGTAATTATTACTTTCTTATTTAATACAGTTCTATAATACAATAAGATCACAATTGTAGTGAAGCAAGATTCTAAAACAAATAAAACACTTGTTTTCTCAAGGCCAAATTTTATCGTTAGTGGCACAATTACTAGTATACCAAAAAACCACATTGTTCCCATTAACATATTTGTCCATTGAAAAAATGACAACCTGTCTAAATGACTTTTATAGAGCAAGTAATCAATATATAAAACTAAGAATTTTAGAATATGAAAAACACAGAATGGATTTCGGCCAGTTGAAAAAAAATCTGTCATTATTAAAAATACTGACCATATTAAGGAAGCATTTTTACATGAATTTATCATTTCATCCACCACATGTAGTTTTATTTTTAAGTAATCTATTCCTATTTTTCTATTGTAACTGTGAAAAATAATATCGTTTCTATTTTCCATAGAAAATATTAAAAAAAATAAAGTTATAATTTGTAATATAATATGAAAAATAATAAAATTACAATATTCATACATAAAACCTAGATACAAACTAAAGATTATAGAAAAAATTCGAGTTATTTTTATCTGTTGTTGAAATGCAATGCTTTTGTAAAAAAAATGCTTAGAATACAAACTTACCTCCATAATTAGCAAAACTTTTGTAAAAGTAAGGATATATTTATAAAGCACTATTTTTTTTGAGCATTCTGGAAGTGTCTCTACACAATCTAACACGCATCTAGTGACAAGCAGTTCCATTATAGTATTAGATAAGTATAAAATAAAATAGATTACATGTTTTGTATGAAAATTCATTGAGGGATTAATACAACACAAAAATTATATATTAGAATAAATTAAATATTGTATAAAACATATTGGATAATACAAAAAAAATAAATACAAATTTACTGTTATTGTTTATAAACAACAATTTGAATCTTAAAGTAATTTGTTTAAACTTAATATTAAGATATATTTATTGTTAAATTACATTAAAAATTAATTAAAAATATTATTTATTTGTGTAAACAAACATCAAACATTCATTTAAATACTAATCTTGAATAAACGCTTTAAAATAATGAATAAAGTAATAAAACGAAAAATTAAAAAAAGTATTAATAAATTTTTTGCAAATATTTGATTTATAAGTTTAATTTTAAATTTGTATCAAAATTTTGTCCACAGTTATTTTTATAAAAATCAATGTCGAGAAAAAATTTAGTGAAAAATTTATATGTCTTTAATTTATCAAATCACAAGGTAAAACAAAATTAAATGACAGTTTTTGAGGAATATTTTAAATAAGTAAACGTAGTGAAAAAATTTACCTATACACAAATGTTTCATTTTATAAATTCAGATAGAATTTTTTTTTGGTTTACTTTTCAAAAGTTATGTTTAGCGTAAATTGTGTATTTAATAACTATAAACTTTATAAGATTGTTTAAAAGAGCTAATAAGATAAAAAAGATATAATTTTTAATCATCTTATAGCAAAAGAATTTTTATACTTTTTATCTAAAATACTAAATATAATTTTTATAATTTATTTATATCCTTAAATAAGACAATGTTAGTGTGGCTAATGCTTTATTAAGAAAATAATTTAATAGAATCAAAAAAAGATTTATACTTTCAGCTTTACAAAAAGCTATACTTTTTTAACTTATTATAAAAAATGAATTGTACTAACAATTAATTGATAAAGTGATTTTAAAGTTGAAAAAAAATTTATTAATATTTGATATTTATACTTAAATTTAACAAAATCTAGAAATCTATATTCAAAATTAATATATTTTATATAAAAATAAAAGATTAAATATATAGGTATATATAAATTTAAATTATAATAATAATGTTGATGGTAAAAAAGAATAAATTTTGGCACTAGGTTAAATTAATACCGATAAATATTTTTTATCTGTAAACACCTTACAAAGCAAATTATATAATTAATTACAAAAAACAAAAAAATAATTCTTATACCATTTTATGCACAAAGAAATGTACATGCATAATTTAAATATTATTAAATATATATTTAATGAATCTTTTGGGTGGAACATGTGACTACTTAATGCGTTATAATGCTTGCACATGATTATATGAGACGTATAATGGAGTTCTACAGTGTATTCATTTACAATTATGTATAAATTATAACTTAAATCTTGTAGAAGATCAAGAACCATACCTCAGGAGATTATTGCAAATAAAGATATCAAAATAGGGGATTATAGTAGAATCTAGGCAAATATGGTAATCAAATATAATAAGCCAGATATATTTATTGTGGATACAATTAAGAAAGAAATTACAATAGCAGAAGTTGAAATTATTGTATTTAAAAACCTTCTACACTGTTGAAACGAAGAAGAAACATAAAAACGATCTTCTTTCGAATCATAGAGCCTCAATTTATAAGTATAAGTCTAAAATTATCCCTTATGTAATGACGTGGGATAGTATAGTAACAAATTACCACCGCCCATATGCAAATGACTAGGATTGGGGTTCCGAACTGAGGCATATGTACAAACAAGAGTTCTCAAAATGGAATTGGAAAGCCTAACTATCGCCAATCGCCGAAGCCTTGATGCTTACCTGGAGCTAGAAGTAAGTATTGAAAAGGGAAGCTTTAAGATGATGGATTTGATTTTGGAAGCTTTGAAGACTGCATGTAATGAATAAAGAAGAAAACTTTTTATATACCCTAATAAATATATTTAATTACCTTAAAATATAAAAAAAGAGCTCATTAATGTAGTAAATATCACAATTTGTTACAAGAATAACACTTTTACTTTATATTTTAAATACAGTGCTTGATTTTTTTACAAAAAAATTGCAAACCACCCCTCAAATGAATATTTGGTTCTTTATACTTGTAGTATTTTCATTAAATTTATCAACAAGTTGTTATCGAAGCAACGAGTTAAAAGATAGGAGAGAAATTGTGAGCGAATTATCAAAAAAAATTAAAACTCTACATATGCTTAATGATTTGTATAAAATAAACGAGGTTGAATTTGAAAAAAGACTATTAGCTTTAATTCATTCAGTTTCAGTATTAAATTGTTGCTGTATTAATAATTGTGAATATAATTCTTTGGTGACTGGTATTGTCAAAGAACAAGGTAAATATCTTAATAAGGTTTTTTATTAAAAATATTTATAATAAATTTTTTACAAGATCTATTATCCCATCGCTTTTTATTACAAAAATTGTAATACTTAAATAACATAGATTACACTTTATTAAAAATTTTTATATATGCTGTCTAAAGTATTTAAAAACATTAAGGGTTTAAAAACGATAAATTTTACAAAATAATTAGCACATTTTCAAAGAAGACTACCTGTTGTTTTTGTTTTATAATTATTTTAAAAAACACTAAAGACAAAGGAGACTTGTGATCTGATAATAGAAGGCCATAATACCTTTTTTACAAAAAATAAATGACGTTAATGTCTTCAAAAATAATTCTAAAAATTAAATATTGAAAAAAAAACATTAAGAGGCAAATTTATATTTGTTTTATGAGTTTAAATGAAAGCATATGCATGTAACAGTATTGGCAAAGTTCTGGCCAGTATTGAAAGGACAATTGTAATAATTTAACCTTAGAACAAAAAGATTTAATAATTGTAAAAATAGATTTGTTTGACTAATACATTGATTAGATCATTCGAGAAGAGACCAAATGCTTTTTGACTGTTATAAACCAGGAATTGTTAGCTTTATCTATTTTTAAAAAATGTTTGTAAAAATTTCATCAAAAAAAAATATAAAATAAGCTATCTTATACAAGGAGTTTGTGTTTTTGGCTTTGTCGAAAGAAAAAATAAAAAGGTGTACCTTTTTTTTGGTTTTTTAATATTTCTACATTTACATTTACAATTTTTCATTAAAGGTATGTAGAGCGAGAAACTACAATCTATAGGGATTTAAGAAAAAAATTTATAAAAATTAACATAAATTTAATTACGAGACTGCTCACCTCAGTGGATTCCTTAAAAGGTTGAATACAAATCACTAACCTATACCTGGTAAGATATATGTTGTTAATAATTTTGCTAATTGATATGAGCCCAAAGAACCTGTAATGTCATTAAGTTGTCCTTTAGCATAATTGTCGTAATACAATTTAAGTTGATTCTATGTTTTTGACTTGTATTGTTTCTAAATGTTTTGGTCTTCTGGTGTTGCAAGATAAATATTTTTGAAACATAATAATTTTATTATTAAAACAGTCTGTGCTGTTTCGTTAAAACGAGAGAAGAAAATTAATGTACACTAAAATGCTTTTTTGAATTGTATGTTGCATCTTTGCGTGTGTATATATTGTTTTATTTTAAATTCTAGACTTTTTTAATTGAAAAAATCTGCAATATCGCACATTTTGAATCAAAATTTATGATTAAAACTTATAAAAAATTTACAAATAATGTATGTTTATAGAGAATTGTCTCATGCTATACATTACTGTTTTAAAAAGAAAATTGAAACAGAATTTTTAAATTTAAAAAAAAAATTTAAAAATAAAAAAATGTTAAAATTCAAACTTTTTATAATAATTTGATTGATGACTAGCTTAAGCTATCCCGTTTATAATAGGATGATAATAGGTTATCCTATCCCATTTAAAACAAAATTACAAATATTACGTGTGATCTTTCGTTATCCATGTGTGTTACCTCTTTTGAGCTTGTATGTATTGTTTTAAATTACAAGAAAGTCTTATTTTTATAAATTAAAATTTGTACCATTACACATTTTTCAATTTTAATAACTGAATAAAATTAAAGAAACATACACAAATATATTGTGCCGCGCTTATAGAAATAACTTTACGAAAATGTTACTCCTTTTGTATTGAAAATACAAAGAAGCTTTTAAATTAAAAAAATGAAGAGCTAAAAAATAAAACAATATACAAATTCAAACTTTTGGATCAGGTCTATTAGACGGTTTGATTTTAATTCAGGTCCATTAGGCACCCCGTAAAAAGAAAAAAAATCAAAACTTAAATAATTTTATAATAGATGTAAATTTATCATTTGCACGAAGATCCTAAACATAAACTTTTGTAAAAATGCTTTTCTTTGTTCTAAGGTTAAAACTATCAATTTTTTAATGGTATTTTCTTTGTTCGAAGGGTAAATTCATCATTTTTTTAGTGGCCAATTTCAGTTTATTGTTACAAAACTCCACATTTTGAGTATTTGTGCCAGTATTACGATCAACAAAGCAATATTTATGACAAACTGTTTGATGCTGATATATATTTAATTCATTTAGTGATGAATAAGACTTCCATTCATCTGTTACTATAATACTCCTAGGAATTACAATCTGATTTATTATATATAGTAATACTTCTGCAGAACGATTTTCAACAATAACAGAATAACCCAAAGCTAAAACAAAAAAAGTACCAACAAATACTTAAGCCCAGCACGCAGGTATGTGTCGACTATGATGATTTTTCGCATTAAAATTTAATTTTGTCTCGTCAATTTTCACGATAATGTTTGGACTGCTAAGTTTATTAAGATGATCTACAAAATATTGTTTAATCATTAAGGCTATAATTTTTTTAAAGCTAATAACAGCCCTTTTTTAATTTGGACTAGCCCTATAATAGCTGTAAACATAAGGCCTAATGAAAAATAATAGACGCCTTTAAAATAGTTTTAAGATAAATTCTAAATGACGAAAGAATAGAACTATATCTTATAGACAGAGTGGTTTGATATTTAATATATGCATATTGTATGTATCTCCACCCAAATTCATCTATATGCCGTTTACTAATCTTGAAGGCAATGTTTATATTGAAATAAATGCAAAGCTGCTGGTTTTTTAATATGTTATATCTAAATAACATTATTATGATTTCGTAGTTGCTCATCAAGGCAATTTTGTCTCCTATATTTCGATTCATTTAAAGGTTAAAAGATATGCAAAAAAGTAAAAAATAGCAGATCCATTAGACGCTCCAATGGGATCGATTATTAATCCGACCTAAAATTTTTTATTATTGATGAATTAAGTTTTGCTTTTAATAGGACTAAAACTGCAAAATGCTCATGTGCTTTTTCTTATTTCAATTGTATGTTACAGGTTTAGAGCAAAATCTCATGTAATATTTTTTATTCCTTCTTTTTATACTATTAAAATTTGTTATGGCACACTTCTTTCAATTAACTTATTAATTTTAACCATATTTAAATACAGACAAATTTGTTTTGTGCATAAAATGATAAATATTTTAATAATACTACCATTTTTAAATTAAAAAATAAAAATTCTTAAAAAAGGGGTTAAAAATTAAATCAAATTTTTCTTATCTTTTTAATATATAAAATAAATTGCATTTTAGAGCTTTGTCTTCTTTAAATGCACCAATTATATTTTTAAATTATAAAACATGATAAACTTAATATTTCTTTTTTATAAAGGCCAATCTAATTCAAATAATTATTTTATTTGGTAGTATTTCACATAAATTTACCAAATATTAAGAACCAAAATAAAATTTAAGTAAAAATTTTATACTTTTTAATAAATATTTTCTTAAACAATTAACATTAATTCTGATACTGTTTATTTGCATATTAAAAAATAAGTTCATTTTTACATTATATTTTAAATATAATGCGTAGTATTTTTACAAATAAAGTTACAAATCACCCCTTGTATGAATATTTGGTTCTTTATAATTACAGTATCCTCATTAAATCTACCGACAAGTTGATATCAGGGCAACGAGTTGGAAACCAAAAGAGAAATTGTAGAGGATATTTTGATTGAAATTCACTTTTTGATTTTTCTATATGACGATTACAAAGTGGACGAGGATGAATTTAAAATAAGACTATTGTGTTTAATTCATTCAGTCTCGGCAGCAAATTGTTGCTGCATTGATAATTGCGAATATAATTCTTTTGTGACAGATATTGTAGAGGAACACAGTGAATATCTTAATAAAATTTTTTATTAAAAATCTTTTACTTAATTTTTTTAATTAAGCATTTTTACAAAGTTTAACAAAAATTTGTGATTTTTATAATTAACTTAGATTATAATTAATTTATTAGAAGTTTTAAAGACTCTGTATCCTGTATTAAATAAAGACAATGAAAGAAAGTATTTTTAATTTTATTTAACTAAACTTTTTATCTATTAAAGTTTTTCTAATAATCTTAATATTTGTGAATTTGAAATTTTTTTAATTATTCAACCCACCTATTTACAAAACTTTATTAATTTCTTATTTTTTATTTAAGTTTGGTATTTCTAAAAAATTGGTAGGATTTCTTAGAATTAATGCCAACTTATTTCACACTGTACTTTTAAAATTCAATATAGATTATTAAAAAAATAAAAACAGGTTCTCCCAGTCCCCCGTAAAAACAACAATTTAAATAATTATATAAAAGACAAAAATTTTTCACTAGTATGCCGCTCTCTAAACATAAATTCTAATAAAATCGCCTTTCTTTAAGCTCTAGCTAATCCATTTCTTGCTTTAATTTGAGCCTTAAGCCTGTTATTATAAGAAACTACGCCTGAGTATGCACGCCAGTAATAGGATCTACAAAAAAATTGTATTTATGACAAACAGTGTAATATTCATAATCAACTGAGTTAGATAAGTTTTTATAAGCTTTCCATTCATCGTAGGGTATAATACCGCCGGCCTTAACAACAGAATTTATTATAGAAATAAGAACGGTTGCAAATATAGATTTTACAATAATAGCATATCCCAGTGCAGATTAAATGATGTATCTACGGTGCAAAAACACCAAAAGGCCTGTGAAGAGTTATTTTTATGACCAAAAACATCATAATTCAACTTGGTTTCATCTATTTGCACAAAAATATAAGGACATTCTAGTTTAATAGAATTGTTTGTGAAAAATACGGCATTTCGTTCGATATAATTTTGCTGCTTGATTAAAGGGGTTTTCCCGAAGCCTAAAAGTTTAATGATTTTATAATAATTTTTACCATACGCACAGTAATTGATTGATTTACGTATTTTTTTAATATCATTTTAAAATAGTAGAGCTAAGAATTGGAACACAGAAAGTGGTTGTCTGGTAGTTCTTACAAGCATATAAGGAGCATCTCCACTCAAACTTGTCAGGAATTTTAGAACTATGCATTAGGCGCATATTTTTATGGCAAAACTTACAAGTCTATTCACATCTGATTAAACTTCATTTAAAAATAAAGTTTACATTTCGCTTTCACCTGCTTTAATAATTTAATCTAATTCTGCTTTTTCAACGCATAAAAAGTATAAAATTTGAAAATTTAATATGATATAATATTTTTCGCTAGTCTTCGACGGTGAATTGGTAAGACTTGATCCATTAAATATCGAGCAACAACTAGCTGTTTTGTTAGTCTGCTTTAATTTTTTAAAAAGTGTTTAGGAAAAGTACTTTTTTTTATAACGTAAGTTTTACAATGAAATACAACGAAAGTATTCTAAGTCTTATCATATTTCAATGGATATGCTAATGGGATATTTGCAATTTTGAAGTATGTAAAAACATGCTTTATCTTTAAATCACAATTCTCAAAAGTAACACAGCCATTTTCAAGTTTAACTTTTGTAAGGATTTTTCTAAATTCTTGTTTAATTATTATTATTTAAGTTTACTTATTTTTTTAGAATTTTGTTTATTTTTTAAAAATTCATGCCATTTTTACTTTTTATTAAATTTGTGATTTTAATTAAATTTTTATAATGTAAAAGTCAAAAAAATTTGCTAACAGATATAAAATAAAATAAAATAAACAAATACATATTTACTGATAAATCATATGCTAGATTGTATCATGCCACTAAGATTATTATTATAAATCATAAACGTTTATTCTATTTTATTTTTAAAAATTTTATTTAGCTAATTATAGATTTTTAGAAAGATTTTTAAATATACCCCTCAAAATGTTTAAATTCTTTTACTTTTTTACAGGCATATGTACCTCAACAAATAATGAATCGATCAATACTACGGAATCTGTTGCAAGTGATATAAATGAAAATATCAAAAAAATAAATATCAATATAATCAAATTCTAAAGGGAAACGATAGCACAAATCAATTTTTAGGACAAGAGAACTGTAAGCTGGGGAAAACAAATGGAAATACCTTAGATTTAGAAAAAGAAATACAATTTAACAATAGAATAAGCTCTACCGCAGATAATCCCATTTTTTATACAATGAATTTTAAGTGCTTTCAAGATAATAACAACACTACAAATAATGAACCTGTTGAAAACCCTAACATGAAAAAACGTAAATTAGATGGTAATAGTAAATTTGTAACGCTTGAAAATAAAGAACATCCATTACAAATTTTTCAAAATAGTCCAAAGATATACTATGGTAGTACATCTAACTGTTTTAAATCTCAAAAACAGTATGATGGATTATTAAACTCTGATAAAGCGATAAATGACCAAAGTGAAAATAAAAATTGTATAGATATTATAATATATAAAGATAACAATGATTTACTGAATAAGATTTATAATTATTATACTGAAATATTTAATATGTATCTAATTTCTATAAAAAATTTAAATAACAATCCTGTATTTCAAAATGAAAGAGTACAATTTAATAACCAACAATTGACAAATTTAGATATATTTTTGGATTTTTTTAAAGAGATTCTAGGTCATGGTAAATCTTTATTTGACAAAGCCAAAAATGAGAAAATTTCAATTCCAAAAAAAGATTTCTTTTTTGGAAATATAGACAAAAAATTTCTATCTGAATTATCAAAGCTTAAAACCCTATATGATTCGAAGGGAAGAACCATAAACAATAGCATTGAACGTCATATAAAAAATATAGAAGAGAATTCTTTTTTTAAAGAATCTTCATGTGAGTCCATTAAAAGATTAATAATAGAATGCAATATGTTTATAAAAGAGGTAGTAAAGCATTTCATGTATTTTAAATCGGCTGTTTACTTGAATGAGAAAAATTTAAGTTTAATTTATTATGAATGTAAAGATATCTCACAAAGATTTGCAGTTATTTCACGAGATGTACATCTAGAATGTATTGTTGTAATTATAAAAATGCTAATTGAAAGATTAGAACACTTTCGAGATTTTTTAGGTAAGATAAATCGTAATTTAATTATGTTTTTTAATTCTGTGGCATGTTTGTCTACAGATATTAAATGGTTAATTTCCTCTTTAAAAGACATTATGGATAGTATTGATAAAAAATATGAATGTAGAGAGCTTAACTAATATATTTTATAAATATTAAATTTATTAGACGTTTTTATATTATGTTAAAAAAATATCTTTGCATTATTTTACAATTAATAAAAAAAATTATCATTCTTATGCATATATTCAGTCTAAAGTACTTAAGATGACAGTGTAAAGCTTAACTGTGGAAAACCCGAGGAAAATTCAACTAAAAAAGGTGTTTAGATATAAATGAGTGAACAAAAAAAAGAAGTTGAACCAATTGATAGGCAGGTACTTACTGAACATTATGTGTATATAATAAAAAATTAATATTATTATATCTAAAGTAAATTATTTTTATACTTTCATTAGTATTGCTATTAGAATAGTAAATTACAACTTAGAAAGAACAAATAAATCACAGTAAGATAAGGCTTATTGAAAATTTTCATAGTAAATATAATAAAAAATGTATTGCAGTATACAATAATTTATGTATTATAACTTAACTTTCTTTTAATAAAAAATTTTACAAATTTTAAATAGAAAGGTCAAAAAATAAATAAATGTTCAGATTCAAACTTTTTATATATATTGACTAGCTTGGCTATACCATTTTAATGTGATGAAAAAACGATAAATCTCTTTTTCTTAGTTTACGTTATGTCTTTGAGCTTGTATGTATTGTTCAATAGTATAAAATGCACTCTTAATCAATAATTTACCTTTACAATAGTCACTGTTCTATGATTTAAATTTTTTGATAAAATTAAAGGAGATGCACAAAAATATTGTGCTGTGCTTACAGAAATAAACTTAACGCTAGCTGCCTTTTTCACTAAATTATTTTTGTACCCCTAAGATGAAAATCAACCTTAGTAAAAATATTATAAAAAGCATAAGAGATGGATTAAAAATTGGATATGAAAGCTATTTTTATAATTTTTTAATCATTTTTTTTTAACTTTAATAGATGGAGATGTTATAAAAGAAGTTGTAAATCTTAGGTGCTAAGTAACCTATAAAATTAACCTATATCTCTATCTGAGCATAACCATTTGGCTAATGAAAATAAAATTTTATAAACTATAATATTAGAAGAAGCACTCATATTACGTGTTTAGAATCGTCAAAGGATATTATTTTTAATGTTTTATAAAAAAATGATGAAAGTGAAATAGAAATCAAATACAAATATTAAATAGATAAAATTATTAAATTTGGAAAATTTAATAATTTTTCACTATCTTCTGATTATGATATTCCAAAAGGATTATTATACACAGTAAGTGGCAAGCCATTTTTGCTTTTTGATACCGGGATGGATGATTCTGAAAGAATTTAAATCTTCTTGGCAAATGAAAATATTGAACATCTCAAAAACAACACTATTATATGTTGTGATGGGACTTTTAAGACTGCTCCAACTAGCTTTGAACAAATATTTACTTTTCAATGTAGATTTTTAATGAATTTAAGTCTTTGGTATATTGTATTATGAAGAGAAGAATTACAGCTTGTTATATTAAAACTTTGACATAGTTAAGAGATGTTAAACTGACAGATAAACATAACATAATTTTGGACTTTAAACAAAATTCGTTAAAAGCCTTTTAATTAATTTTTACTAATAATCAATGTATGGACGTGTACTTCATCTAGGCCAAATTTTTGAAAAAAAATCACGCAGGCGGGTATGCAAGTAAATATAAAAGCGACAAAAGTTTTCGTTTAAATATAAAAATGCTTCTGTCGTTGACGTTTGTATCACCTTCTTTTGTATTGTTAGAGACTATAAGGCTTAAAAATTATTTTTGACTGAAAAATGCAGTTTATCATTGAAAATTTTTGACTAGTTTTATAATTTGTATCTTTTTAATGATGCAAATACAAACAATTGCATTGGCTTTTGCAATGCTTATAAAAGAACTATAAACAATACTCCTAAAACAAATAGTTTACGAGGATTTCAAAGACAATTGAATTCATTTACTAATAGTTAAGATTCAGTAATTTCGCTATTTTTCTAAAACTTTAAAAAAAGAAATTTTAGCAGAAAATTTTTTCATTACTTTCTTGTACAAATGAGATAGGAAAAAAAGACAAAATGCATGCTATAGTCTGTGATTATGAAAAATATTTCGGAAATGATTGCTTAAAATGCATTGCTTTAAACTTTAATTCAACTGAACTATTTAATTTTATGAAACATTATTTAAACTTTTAAAATTGAATTATTTGCCAGGAATGCGGCCAATGGAGAGGTAGATCTCATCACATTAAGTATACGTGGGCCTATTCCTGACGTTCCGTAAGATTTGAAATTGGAATGAGAAATAGTATATTTTAAATGATATCTATTTACATTTCTCCGAGATGTTCTTTGAGGACTATCTTTTCTAAATCTTTCGGTTTGACCGACTCATTGATTATCTCCTTGTGTATACATAGTATTAAGGGTAAATTTCTTTTTATAATTTTATTTGTTGACACAACAAACATACATAAAGAAGAAACATATGGTAGAAAAAATTACTACAAAAATATAAAAAGGGCATCATTTTTAATAAAAATTGCTCCCAAAATTCTCCACCATAAAAATTCTTTTTTTATAACAAAGAAGTACAAAAATTATTTAGTTAAAAAAGCGGCAAGCCTAAACTTCACAATAATCCTAAGTTGTATTTTACTTTTTTAAATATAAAATTAAGTTAGAATTTGACAAAATTTTAATAAAAAGATTAAAAAATTAACTTAATATTATAATTCAAACTGTAATATATACTAGCTTATAATTTTCAGTATAAACAAAATTTAATAAAATGTTTGCTTTCTTTTATTTCAATTGTATGTTACAGGTTTAGAGCAAAATCTCATGTAATATTTTTTATTCCTTCTTTTTATACTATTAAAATTTGTTATGGCACACTTCTTTCAATTAACTTATTAATTTTAACCATATTTAAATACAGACAAATTTGTTTTGTGCACAAAATGATAAATATTTTAATAATACTACCATTTTTAAATTAAAAAATAAAAATTCTTAAAAAAGGGGTTAAAAATTAAATCAAATTTTTCTTATCTTTTTAATATATAAAATAAATTGCATTTTAGAGCTTTGTCTTCTTTAAATGCACCAATTATATTTTTAAATTATAAAACATGATAAACTTAATATTTCTTTTTTATAAAGGCCAATCTAATTCAAATAATTATTTTATTTGGTAGTATTTCACATAAATTTACCAAATATTAAGAACCAAAATAAAATTTAAGTAAAAATTTTATACTTTTTAATAAATATTTTCTTAAACAATTAACATTAATTCTGATACTGTTTATTTGCATATTAAAAAATAAGTTCATTTTTACATTATATTTTAAATATAATGCGTAGTATTTTTACAAATAAAGTTACAAATCACCCCCTTGTATGAATATTTGGTTCTTTATAATTACAGTATCCTCATTAAATCTACCGACAAGTTGTTATCAGGGCAGCGAGTTGGAAACTAAAAGAGAAATTGTGAAAGAATTTGTGGTTGAGATTCGCAAATTGTATGCTTTATATGAGGATTACAAAGTGGACGAGGATGAATTTAAAAAAAGACTATTGTGTTTAGTTAATTCAATCTCGGCAGCAAATTGCTGCTGCATTGATAATTGCGAATATTATTCTTTTGTGCGAACTAATATCGAGGAACACATTGAATATCTTGAAGAAGTTTTTTATTAAAAATTTTTTACTTAATTTTTTTAATTAAGCATTTTTACAAAGTTTAACAAAAATTTGTAATTTTTATAATTATCTCAGATTTTAATTTATTAAAAATTTAATTAAGTCTGTGTTCTGCATTGAAGACCATAAAAGTACTTTATATTTAGATAAAAAAATCATAACATGCTTACTTGTATTAATTGGTGAAATTAGAAACTATTTTACAAATATAAAACTTATTAAACATTAATCTTAAAAAGTAATTGGTGCGTTTTTATTTTTTTTAGATTTATCTAAAACAGAAGCTACAAATAGATAAAAAATTATTTAAATATGAAATAAAATAAACAATTAAATAGTCTTTAAACTTTATTAGTTTGGTCATGTACTCCCTAAAGAATAATTCTCTGCATGATATTTCCGTCAAAATTATATTCAACTAAACTCTTTAATATTGTCGCGAGCCACGCTGATGACGCTTGGAGATTTGGCTGGAACTGGTTCTAGAAAAGTTGAACACGCTTTTCTAAAAAATTTAAATATAATTATTTGCAAAAAGTTTTGAAAGATCTATCTCTTTTAGACGCACTAGAAGACCCCGTAGACCAGATACATTTTAAATTTATAATTAAAAGAAGAATTTAGCAAAAATAGTTTAAATTTTTTTGTTTATGTTTATATGCATTTATTTTGTGATAATAATTGAATAAATTGAAAATTATATAATTTAGTACTATATCTAATTTCTCTAATTTATGTTATACTAAAAAAATAATATAACTATACACCTATTCAAAAAATAAATCTAAAAAATTAGCAATATATATTGTCGCGCGCACAGAGCGCGACCATGCTTTTTTTTATTTTTTTAAAACTCAAAATTTACATTTTTGTATCGATTTGAACTTTCGTATTATATATCTTATATTATTTATATTGATTATTCTTATGTAGGTGATAATGTCATATAGAAATTCGCTTTCCTATATTAATTACGATTTTAAATGTATTACACACCACATAAACAAACTAATCAATACAGATAGATACATATATAATATATATATGTATTCTACAGAATTACTACCCGTCAGCTTTTTACGAACGCAAGACACAATTTCCTTCAGGGATTTAAATAAAGGCTTGTCTATACGCCTTTGCAGGCCACCGTGCGAATTGAACATATACAACAACAAGGTCTAAGTTTTTTTGAAATAACAACTTGACCATAGTTACTGCTAATTTGATTTGGATTTTATAAAAAATAATACACAAGGAAATTTTTTAAATTATTCTTATGAGGCCTACGATCAAACCACAAGAAGAATACGATAACATCGTAAATATTCTTAAGGCGAAAATACGACAGTAGATGGCAACAAACATACTAAGTATTGTTTGAAAAGGAAGGCCGAGCTGTTTATCTTGATAGATAATTTACTTTATCTGAAAGATACAGAAAATGGTCATAAACGGGTGTTTAAGAAGAAGCAGTAATTTTTATAAAAACAGAAGTACAAAAACTGCACAATCAAAACCATTATGGTCATAATCGTCTTTAATAGTTGTGCAAAGAATTTTACTTTTCAATTCCTAGATGTGCTGTTAGAAAGGTTTGTAATGAGTGTAATATCTACTTACAAGCTAAGCCACTGAAGATAAAGGAGAAGTTTAAGCATATTTTGGCTAAGAAACCCTTTGAGAGATTAATCATTGATCTTGTTGATATAAGGACTTACGCAGAACAAAATAATTTTTTTAGTTGAATACTTATAAGTATAACTGTATATTCTAAATATACAATTACTTATGCCATCAAAAGTAAGACTGCAGCTAAGGTTCTTTCAAATCTTAACATGACTTTTTATAAACTTGATGATCCTCAAATAATTCATTGTGATAACGGAAAAGAATTTAGAAACTCTTGTTTGATTGATTTTTGTAAGGAAAAAAACATTATTCTGATACATGTAAGGCCGAGACATTCACAAGGTCAAATCGAACGATTTAACCAAACACTTACACGTTATTTGCAAAAGCATCTGTGTAATGGCGTGTTTGCTACCGGTAAAAATTGGACTGCGCTTTTGGATAAGGTGTTTTATGAGTATAATATAGCTATACATTCTGCAACTAATAAGTCACCTTTCAATCCATTTTTGATAGAAATGGGTTCAATACTGTAACATGTCCTATAGATAGTAGCATTGTTGATTCGGATAAGAATCATATTGATATACAAGTTAAAATATTGAAGAGGATAATAATAAGGACATTAGTACAGTTGGAACAAAACATGGGTTTATTTATTATAAAATATTTACAGAAGACAAATCAAATGTCTCACAGTGCAGAATAATTATTTGACAGCTAAGTATTCCTACAATATCTTCTTCTTATAATTTACACAGAACTTAGGAAACAGATTTATGTCCCTTGAGCGATTGTGATCTACCTAGCCACTGGCCTTATTCCTGACATTTACTTTGCTTTTATATCTAAGCTTCTATTACAGCCAAGAGTAAATATCATGGGAGGTTACATTATTTTCCTCTTTAATATTCTAATGAAGAACTATTACGAATCTTCTTGCAGATAATCAAGTTATTCCAAATTTTGAGTTCTTTTTTAAATTGTAATGACATAAAAGACTATACCATTTTATGTTACTATATATTGAAACTTCTTTGTTTACACTATAATTTAATAATAATAATTATAATATTTAAATTTTAATAATATATTAAAAAAAATATTTCAAAAAGAAAAGTAATGAACTTTTAAAGAAATCCTAAAATTTATTAAATAAATAATATTGTCGTATTTATGGTAAAGCAATTCCTATTTAAAAAAATCCCTGAGTAAATTCTTTATTAATGGTTCTCTATGGCTTTATTTACCAGATTGGTTCTTGTAATTAATGTTACTAATTTTACTATTAAAATGCTCTTCTAATACTTTCTTTTTTTTTGTCGGATATAAAATAAAAATTTATTTTTCTAGAAAATTCATAATTTTTTAAGCATTAAAAATTAAATTTTGTTGCATGTGAAAAAATACCACAAATATGAATAAAAATAATTTAACTAAAACAAAAATTTACAATAAAAGCCTTTTAAAGCTTTTATTAAAAAATGGCCATGTTTCTTTTTGACTTTGTGATAATAAATTACTAATATTTAATATTTGTTAAAATTATATATATAAGATTTTTTGCCATTAACGGTGTGTTATACTTAGATACTTAATTATTTTTATTGTTTACATAACACTAAACGTAATATTTATCTTACTCAATATTACAATTATTATTATAGCTTAAGGTAAATTTTCTTAATTAATGTATCAAACCATTGTTTATTTGTGTATTTAAAATATTAATAAGTTTGCAATGGATACCCAGAAGATATTCATATGAAAAGCTACAAAAACTATCAAAATAAACAAAATTCTTTAAAAGCTTTTAAAATCTAGCACTATGTAAGTATTATTTAAAAAATTTATTATTTATACCTTTATTTTTAATTGAATGAGTGATAATTGCGCAATAAAGATTTTGAAATAAACAACATTTAAAAGCAACTTTTACTTTATTTATATTAACATTTTATTAACTAAACTGATAAAGTTTATTTGACAACTAAACAATTAATGAAATTTTATACGAAAAACAAGCTTTTTACATTATTTTTTATAATTGACTTAATTTAAAATTTTAAAAAATGTTATAAGAAAAGTTGGCTTTTTACTAATAACAAACCAATTCTAACTATCAATAAAAAGATTTTAATTGTTTATGCAAATCTGATCTAGTAAAGTTGCATCATTTTAACAACAAAAGTCAAGTTTAATTTAAAATTTGTAGACTTCTTAATTTAATTTCTTTTTAAATTAATTTTTTATTTATTTAGTTTTTTTTCGCATATGTTTTAAAATATCACTTTTGCGTCATATTATAAATACGGAGTGTGATTCTTACAATAAAAGTTAAAAATTACCCCTCTTATGAACATTTGGTTATTTATAATTACCGTATCCTCATTAAATTTGCCAGAAAGTTGTTATCAAGGCGACGAGTTAGATGCCAAAATCGAACTAATAACAGGTTTAGTAATTGAAATTAATTTATTACAAGTTCTAAATGCGAAACAGGAAGTAGGCGAGGTTGAATATAAGAAAACAATTTTACAATTAATCCAATCAATATCAGCAGAAAATTGCTGTTGCATTGATGCTTGTGAATATAATTATTTTGTTAATGACGTAATCAAAAAACATAGCAGTCTTCTTGATAAAATTTTTTATTAAAGAATTTTTAACTTAAATTTTATAATTAAGCATTTTTAGCAAAGTAAATCACATCAATTTTTTTACAAAAAACTGTAATACTTCATGATTAGCAAAGGTAACAATTCATTAAAAATTTTAATTATGTTTGTCTTGTATTGAAGAACATGTAAGTAAATTTAATTTATTCAACTAAACTTTTTATTTTATTTAAGTTTTCTTGATAATGCTAATATTTGTAAATTTACTGTTTTTTAATTAAACATCTCTCAATTTTACAAAAATTAATTTATTTCTTACAATGTTACATCCATCCATTAAAAACAGGATGTTAAATATGCTTAGATAATTTATGTGGTTGTTTTTTTTTAAATGTATAGTATTTTGTTGTAGCAACCCCTTTTTGTATTAAATTTGAAAGTTTACTTTCTTTTACTATAAATTAATTCTACGATTCTTGTACTCTTTACAATTTAAAAATTTGAATAATCGAAAAAAAAGTAAGAAAAATACTTAATTTTTTGTGCCGTACATGAAATAATTAACTTAAAAAACTTTTTCTTATTTTAAAATGTAAGATTGATACAAATTTAAAAAGGATAGGTTAAAGAATAAATGTTCAAATTCAAACTTTTTAATCAAGATTATACTATTTTTAGTATTTAATAGAAGCATATTGACGTGAGTCTTAGAGATAGCATTTATCCTTAAATACTCCTATAACACACTAATCATAATTGTGTTGATAGATGGCCTGTTCCGACAGTTTAATAATTTCTTCTGAGTTTTTTAGTTTTACCTAAAAAGAATTTTTTTTAATGAACATGTTTTATTTATCAATTTTTTAGATAGTCTTACTACCTTTAAGTAAACAATCATTTTTAAAAAAGTCCTGTCATTATTACGTATTAAAGATTTTAAATTATTGTGCTAAAATTTAATTAAATTTCTTTATAATCTTTCGACCATCACATTGTATTATACCGCACGTATACAGTGTTAGCATTAGCAAAATTCTGGCCAGTATTGAAGAAATCATTTAAAATACTTACATTTTTAGATAAAAAAGACCTGCTTCTTGTAAACAGAGATTTATTAGACTACCCCTTTAATTCAATCTTACAAATGATTAAGTGCTTTTTGATTGCTATTAAGTCATGCATCGTTAATTGTTTCTATTTGTAAAAATCGTTGATTTAAATTTTGACAAAAGATATTTATATAAAATGTTTGTGTTTTTGGCCTTGTCGAAAGTAAAAAGAATATACTTCTTTTTTAATTTTTTACAATTTTTGATTAAAGTTGTGTGGCGTAAAAGAATCCAATCTAAAAAGATTGGTGGAAGATTATTTAAATATACATTAATTAATCACAAAACTGCTTACCACTGTGATTCTTTACAGAATAGAACAGAACTTATCAATATATACTTGATAAGATATATGTTATAAAAAAATTGTGCTAATTACCATTCAATGTACAACTGCATGAATCTTCTAAAAAAATTTACAAAAATTTTATTAAAAAAGTTATTTTTTTTTATTTTTACATTTCAACATTATTTTTTGAATAATAAATTAATTATTGATTAATTCTTATTACAATACTTCACTTCATTAGATTTATTTTAAGCACAACATAATTTTCAGGTTATGTTACACATCATAGTTTTTATTTTTTAGAAAATTTCGTGTACTTTATAATTTGTAAGACTGGGAAATCGCACCATGATAAAGTTCAAATCAAAACATTGCTCTAGAAAAAAAAAATAATTTTGTTACATTTCTGCTACCTATAATTTTAAGTGCACAAATATTCCCTACTGCAAAATATAATTGTAGTAAAGAGATACATTTTATGTGGCTTTAATATTATAACTTCCATTTCAACCAAGAATGAATGTTATGAGTAGTTTAACTTAACACTTATTTTTACTTAAATCGATAAAATTTTAAAAAATCAAACAATTGAGAAAAAATTTTATAGTAAAATAAAAGCTTTTGTGTTGTCTATAAATATTTATACAAATTGAGGTTTTTTAAAAATGTTAAAAAGGAAAATTCGTTTTTTCAAACAGCAAGTCATATTTTTTTATCAAAAAAAAGTTTTACTTGTTTATTAAATTAAATTTTTAAATTTATTATATTGTGACAGCAAAAATCAATTTTTTATTAAAAATACAATACTGTCAAATTTATTTTCACTATAAACACTAAAATTAATTCTAAGATGGTTTTTTGCACATGGAACACAATATTAACGCTTTTACTTTATATTTTAAATATTTTATACCTTTTTAGATTAAAATATTATTTTTTTACAAGTAAAATTGTAAATACCCTCTTAAATGAACATTTGGTTTTTTATAATAACAGTATCTTCATTAAATTTGTCAAAAAGTTGTTATCAAGAAAACAAGCTTCAAGAAAAAAAACAAATTGTGACAAATTTATTGTTTGAAATTCATGATTTAATTACTTCATATAATTTAAGCAAAATTGAAAGAAATGAACTTGATAAAGTCCTATTTTCTTATATTAATTTAATATCATCATTCAATTGCTGTTGTATTGACGATTGTGAATATAATTCTTTTATAACTGGTATTGTTAAAGGCCTAGGAGGATATTTTAGTAAAATTTTTTATTAAAGATTCTTGTTTTAAATTTTTTAATTAAGCCTTTTTTTTAGATTTAATTTATTTTTTTAAATTTAAAAATTAAGATACTTTACGATTGGTAAATATTAAAATGTAATGAATCAAATACACTTATGTAGACTGTTTGATCATCACCGGTGTTTATATAAACAAACCACAAGGAGTATATGTAGTCTTATCGTTTATAATACTCTTTAATTATTAAAATAATCTTTATCTTTTTTATTCGTTTGTTTAAATCGATTTACAATACTATATAAATAAATTTGTACGCTAAGAAGTTATAAATCGCAGATGAAGAATAGAAAAAACTAAATAAATTGTATTTATATTACCACTTTTCTTTAAACTCAGCATCAAATAATTATACTTAATATGCAATGTAAAATGTTAAAAAAAACTAGCGATTTTAGAAAATGTAAAACAGAAAAAAATGATAAATTTTTAACAAGTGTGAGAACTTGTTTGTGTTTATTTTCTAATATAAAAGCTTACATGATATCAAAAAACTTTTTAAATAGTAAAAATTAAACTTATTTTTTTTTTAATTGTATATAAGCTTAAATTTTAAGTACACAGATATTCTTTCCCATAAAATTAGATGAATAAGAAAATTATTTTAAAGTTCAGTTTTATGTAATTTTCATATTTAGGTTTAATTGCAATTAAAATAAATGTTATAAGTAATTTGTTCTTCTTTATATTTCTCCAATAAACATCTTACAAATTTTTGTGATCATCATTTTTATCTGTGACTTTAAATATTTTTCTGTATTTTAAACAGCATATTGAACTTTACAACTTCGTTTAAGCATTTAGTAACTTATCTTTATAGTATATTTTAATTAAATAGTATAATAAATTATATTAAATTTAACTTGACAATTTTATTAATATTGAATATAGTTGTAATTTAAATACCTAAAAATTAACTTTATAGCGTCTTGTGTGAAGGCTATATTAAAAAAAAAATTAATATTTTTTTAATAAACATGGCATTAGACAACTCCACCAGCCTGTTTTTTAGATTTAAAAAAGCTTTATAAAAAATTTCTGCACTTACACTACAAGCTAAAGTTAATGCAAAATATTTTTAAAACATAGTTATCTAGCAATTGCAAAAAATTAAATGATTTTTAAATACATTAAAAATTCTCAAATTATTACTTTATTTTAGTTTTTATGTTGCCTTAAAAATATGAAAAATATTAAATAACATAATAATTGAAAATGTCGGGATTGAGGCCCGGTAGTCTAGCGGTATGATATCTGCTTTGGGAGCAGAAGGTCCCGGGTTCGATCCCCGGCCGGGCCCGTTTATCTTTTTTATTTTTAAACAATTAAAGCATTATTTATAATTAAATTTTGCCTATACAGCAAAATTGTATAGTTCAAAAATACAAAATAATTACTATAACCTTTAATTAATTTACTATCCTTCCTACTAATATTTTATATATCCTCTCAAATGTTTGCTTAACATAAATATCAGTCTCTTCATTATTAAATTTGACAAATTCAAAGTGGTCGTGGATATTTCCAGTAAACATTTGCTTAACAGTATCTAGTTCAGGATTATCAAGGTATGATCCTCTACAAAGAACTGTAACAATATCATTTTTAGTTCTTACTTCAGATTCCTCAACATATTCTCGTATTGCACCAATCGATTCTTTACTATCCGCATCCATAGAGTAAATAACTGCTGATTCAACAGAAGAATGCAATCCAATAAGAGTTTTTATCATTGGAGTAATAATATGAGCATGAATGATTAATTCTATGTCATAAAAAGTAATAACATATTCAGAAAACTTAGTAAGCTTTATTTCTTTATCAAACCCCGATACAATATGAACAAGTACATTCTTAATATCTTCTTCCAATCCTACAACTGAGATAATATATTTTGGAATATCTTTTTGCAAACAAGAACAAATATTTCCCATTAAGGGTAAAAATATTAACGAAATAAAAGCATAAATTAAAATAAATACAACACTGTGTAAAAATGCAATAGATATTTGACTCAATGTTTATAAAAGATTTGTGTAAACAAATATAACGAATAAATTTTATTTAAGACATATTTTATTTTTGTAAAAACGTAAGTTTGCAAAATTTACATCAAATTTATTCAAAATAAATTCCTTATTCATAAACACAAAACTAAGAAATTTACGAATTTATGTTAACAGTTTTAACTAATAGTTTTATTTATTAAGCGTGTTAAATGCTTTATTCAAGTCGTTTTTTTTATTCTAAACATATCCATATTTAGGTTAGTATAAAAAAATTATTCTAAATAAATTTTGTATTGTAATTTTTACCAACTAATACATTTCATATTGTAAGAACTTTAATTTTTTGTTTGCCTTTAGTTCAAAACTACATTTTTTTATTAATCGTATTTAAATTTTTATAATAAAAATTAAAGTTAGTAATTGATGCATCTAAAGCTATAGGATTGTATTTTTAAACTGAATGATGGTTTTTAAGAAAAATTAATATGTAAATATTTTTTTGTACAAATACTGCATTCTAACTTTAAATGTTAACATTATAAATATAATAAGCTATTAGCGTATCATATCTTTCTTTTTAAACACCAAAAAATAAAATATTTTTTACTAGAAATAAATAATATTTAAATTACTTTTGTTTTAATAGAATAAGAAATTTATATTATTTAAATTTATGTTTTAAAGATTTTAAACTTTGTAAATTTTCTAAATTTACAATATTAAAGAATGAATTGTAAAATTACAAGAATAATCAAGATATTAAGACAATTTTAACTTATAAAAATTATTGTATTTATTACCTTTTTAGATTTAAGAAACAAAATCACAGTAAATTATTAAAATAAATACATTAGATAAATCTATATAATATTCACTTCATTCTTAAAAACCTGGTCAAGTAAAAATGTCTTAAAAAATATTTTTTAACTATGAATTATTAAATGTCACTATTTTCTAAATGTAATAATTCCTCTCTCTTTATCGTAACTAACAATCCCATTGTTTGTCATTCCATATACAATCTTAAGTAAAGTTACTTGATCTAGTTTGTATTTTCTCTCAATATCTTCTATTTTTAATGTATATTGACATATTAAATCCAAAAATAATTTAGCCAATAAATTATTACTTCTCTCCATTTGACGAATTAACGCGCATTTTTCGATAATTTTTTCGTATTTATCGTTTTTTTTTACGAAATAAAACATATTTAGAATATTTTTATTAACAGGCTCCTGATTTATAAAAGCGTATGCCTGATTGAGTAAATGATAATGTTTTGTTTCGAACTGCTTATCATTAAAAGCATGGTTTAAAGAAAGCAATTCGGTTTCTAAATCTTGTTTTTTTAAAGATGAAATTTCATCGTATTCAACTTTTATATTCGCAAGTGATATCTCTAAAACGTCGCATTCTTTTTCTAATTTTTTAAGATTATTAATCCTGTCAACTGATTCTATTAATTCTTCAAGGAGAATAACGGTTTGATTGTTGTTAAGTTTAAATAGCACTTCTTTGATTTGTAGAAGTTCACACTTCTCACCCTTTTTTAAACTTAAAGGAGGAAAATCTATGAAATCTAATATGTTTTTTATATCACTATGAGATAAATTTGTTAAATCATGTAGAGGTGGTATATCTTTTAAACTAGTAACCTCAATTTTTGGGTACTGATTGTTAGGCGAAGAAGTTGACATGAAAGGGTAAAATTTAAAAATACTCTGAAAAGTGTACAATTTTTTATACAATTCTATAAAAAGTGAAATATTTTAAAGAACAAAGATAACTAAACTTTAATTTATAGTCATATAATAAAATAAAAGGGTTGTTGTAAGTTAAACAAAATCGAAATAAAAAATTCTGTTTATTTTTATAACGCTATAAAACAAAAAGAACGCGATTTAAAAAGTTATTTATCAAAAACATTTATTTAGTAATAAGTTGGTTCAATTTCATCTCCTTCTAAAATTATTCCGTGTCCTATAAGTCGCCAATGATTGTTAATCTTTCGACTTATAGCAATTCTTTCATTTAAATCACAGCACGTAGGTTTAATAAGTTCAAAAAAAGCGTTATTCTTTTCAACGCTTTTAATAATCCCGCCCGTTATTGTACTACCGATATTTAACTGCAAATGTTCACCAACTTTCAAATCTTGTTTGTCCTGCGACATAATTTTCTGAAATAATTCGTAATTTACCATTATTTCTGTTCTTATAGGTGGCAGAGATCCTAAAAGTCCCATTACTTGTCCAACAAGTCTATCTGATTTGCAAAAACTAGGATCAATTTTAGTTCCTACACCAATAAGACCACCAGGATAGGCTTTTGTTAATTTGTTATTTTCAGCTTTTAGTGATAGTATTTTTGAAATAAAAGGACGACATATAAACTTTTTATCTATTTTAGTAATATGCCCTGGTCTAATTTCTACCTCGTCGCCTACATTTAGCACACCTTTCACTAAGCTGCCGCCTATAACACCTCCACATAATTCTTCAATAGTAGCACCAGGTCGATTAACATCAAAACTCCTAATAATAATCATTTTTGGATTATCAGAATCATTACGTTGTGGCTGCGGGATGTAATTTACAATATAATCTAAAATGGCTGATACATTTACTCCTAACTGTGCAGCGGTAGGTATAATAGGACCAGATGCCTTAGATTTGGTCAAAAATTCCTGTATTTGATCATGTTGTTCTAGTGCTTGTTCCCGAGAAATCAAATCTATTTTATTTTGCACAATAATAATTTTTTTTAGATTCATAACTTCTACCGCACAAAGATGTTCAGTTGTTTGCGGTTGTGGACACGGCTCATTAGCTGCTATTAGTAACAGAGCTGCGTCCATAATAGCCGTACCACTTAACATAGTGGCCATTAATACGTCGTGACCAGGACAATCTACAAAAGATACATGTCTTACAAGAAGAAGTGTACCATTGCAAGATTTACATTTTTTATCTAAAGGTGCGGCAGAACCAAATGCTTGATAGCAATCCGGTCTTTTACATGTTCCTTGGCATTTGTAAATTTTAGCATTAGCGTATCCAAGTTTTATGGTAATATTTCTTTCCAGTTCTGCTTTAAATTTTATTGTTGAAACACCACTAATTGCCTGAACTAGAGTAGATTTTCCGTGTGCTACATGTCCAATAGTTCCTATATTTACAGTGGCTTGATTTTTTATTATTTCTAAATCGTTGTTCATAAGGGAGAAAAAATAACAGTAAAAAGAAAATTAAAATATTTCAATTTACAATATGTAAGCTTTTACTAAACTATTATATTTTAATGTTAGTAACAAAACCGTCATGATTTTTAATGTTAGTAATAAAAATGTCATGATTTTTAACGTCAGTAATAAAAATGTAAATAATGTAAAATTTTCATACTAAAAAAAAAGAATTTTTTACTGCAAATGTTTTGAGTTTTTAATAAGCTATCGAACACTTTATTTATTTAGTATTTAAATCTATTTTCATTTCTATCAAAAATTAACACCTCTTTTAAAATTATTTTACAATGAATAAGTTATTCGTACAGTTTATAATTTAATTTGCTTATAAAGATTATTTGTATATTTTATTTGTTATAATATTCATATATAAAAAAATAGGTTAGTTATAATATTTATATATTAAATTTGTTGTTAATAAGTTTATTATTCATTTAATGCATAAATATATGAAAAAAAATGAGTTACATAAAAATGCATTATACGATTCAGAAGATGACTCTCAACTTATCTTTAAAAACTATACAAAAGAACAATATTTGAATAGCCATACAAAAGAACAACATTTTAATAAATATACACAGAACTTACAAAAAATAAACAGTAATAATATTCAAAAAAATAAATCATTTTACACAAATCTAAGTTGTCCTGTTCTGACACAACAAGAAATTAATCTTCTAGAAAGAGAATTTATTCTTAGGAGACTAAAATTTAATAAATCTAACGTAAGAAAACTTGCTAAAGATCTTGGACTGCCTCATAAAAAAAGTATAAACTATTTTATGTCGAAAGTTAGAAATGCGGGAGAAGAGCTTAATAGTGAAAAATACATAAGAGATATTAAAAATATTATGAATAGCATTAATAAGTCATGGAATAAATTTGTAGATGGATGTTATAGATACAATATGTAATAATATTTTATATACAGACAATATTTTAAAATGTATATTGTAAATTAAAATACATTTATAAAGTGTATAAAAAATAAGCTTCTTTATCACTATTCACTCACATCATAATTAATAACATAAGACATTTTATTTATTTCACCCAATTAATTTGAAAAATATGTGGGTGTTTAAATAATCTGATGAACGGAAGTTTCTCCAATAAGAATCAATCAATAAACAAATAAATTATTATTATATTTATTTCACCCATGGTAGACTTAAATATAATAATAGATTACATTAGACAGTTAAAATCAATACACAAACAACATTTATACAATTCACCAGTATTGGCAACATCTATTATAAAAATATTTGATGATTCTACCATTCGTCTTATATACGATCTTTTACTTACTGCACCATCAATCAAATCACTACAAAAAAATGAAGAGATAAAAAATTCGTTAAAAACTTTACTAAAAATATCTTTAATTTATAAAAAAGGTACTAATATTTTTATTGATAACATTTTTAGAAATGCATTTCTTACAGGAATAGAACTTAATAATTTGAATGAATACTATGAAATATTAGAACCTATAAAATGTACGGTAAGTAAAAATACAAAATTTGAAGAAATACTAAAATTTCTTGTTACTAAAAATAATGTTAATCACGCACCTGGTGTAGTAAATGTACTAAAGTTTAGTAATCTAATAGATAATAATTATGATATAACAAATAAAGGCTTTGAATTCTTACTAAAGCCAAGATATGACCAATACTGGTTTTTAATTATTGCTGCATTAAAATTTTATTGTGTAGACGAAATACTACAAATATCAAATTTTATGAGTATTATGGAGCTATCAAATATGTTACCGATTTACAAATACAAACTAAAAAAAGATGTAAACAAAAAATTTTATGATTTTTTAAGTTATTTAGGATTAATTAAATTGGAAAATGATATATTGACAATATATCACAATTTGTTTGTTAAAAGTGATACTAAAAAATTAAGATTTATTTTATTAGAAACAAATTTTAAGTTGTATGCATATACATCATCTGTGTATGAAATGTCTATTATCCAATTATTTTCTAATATTTATTTAAAAATGCCAAATTTAATTAAAGCTAGTATAACTGAAGAGAGTTTATCTAATGCATTTTCTAAAGGTGTTACAAGTCAACAGATTATAAATTTCTTAAAATCTTATTCTCTTTTTGAAGACATTCCTGTAGCAATAATTAGTCAAATTATTATATGGGAGACAAAACGTAAGCGTATAAAAATATTCCCTGGATATTTATATTCCAATTTCTTAAATTTAATAGATTATCAAAAAGTAGTAAAATTCTGTTTATCCAACGATTGTATTATTGAGAAAGATGATGAAAAAAGAATGATTGTAATTAAACCTGATTACAATGAAGTAGTAAAAAAGTTTGTTAAGCAGCAAATTAATAAATAATAATCATTTTATTTTTATTAAATTTTGTCTAGCACAAGAAGATTCAAATCCGCTTCGACTAATAAAATCCCTTATTTTAAATGATAGTTTACACCCATCACCTAATATTTCAATTGCTTCATTAAATTTAATATTCATGTTTGTAGAAAATAAGCCTTCTGTTTCTATCTCACTATTGTTGTACACTAAACATTTTGAATAATAAACATTGTTATCTGTTACAACCTTAAATTTATTTTCTTTTATAATATCACAGTCATCAAAATCGATGCTTAAAATATTTTCTGTTTTTACAGGAACCTTAAGATATTTTGTCTGTTCTCTTACGCGCTGTAAAAGATCTTCTTGATTTTTAACATTTTTTACGCCCACAACTTTATCATGTCCTTCAAAAAGTAAATCTTCTTCACACGATTTTGTAAGGACCACTTGATTATAATTTGATGTCTGTAGATAAATACTAGCCATGTACATCGAAAGATTATCGCCGATTAAAATAATATCATAAGTATTGTTTTTACTACAGTCTTCCATGTGAGGGTAAATTATTGTAGAAAATATAGATTGAGAGATTTTAACTAATTAAAATAATATCAGAATATTTTTTATGTAAAGATAATAAAATAATATCAAAATATTTTTTTATGTATAGATAAATCATTGTTAAAAATATATAAGTTTATTTAATAAATGAAATGGGTTTAAAAATATTACTGTCCTGTATTTTCTTCTTTAATTTTTTAGGATCGAACCTTTCATCGCCCATCCCTTCAAATCCAACAATTTGATCTACAAAAAATCCTTCTTTAAAAAATCCTAAAAATGGAAGTACTTCAATTTGTAGTTTACTTGTAATAACCGGACAGATGCTAGCTTTAATTTTATAAAATTTTATATTTTCAAAATCTTTATATATTTTGTTAAGTTCTTTATTCATAATTTTACAAGTTTCAAAAGTGTCTTCATAAAAATGAACTATCATTGTTTCATTATGTGTCATTTCTATAAGTTCTTTTTCAGTTTTTATTTCAGAAATTTCTTGTAGTAATTCTTTTATTCGCTGTGCTTTGTACTTTTCGTAAATTTCTTCGTCAATGGAAATATCATCGGGGTTCTGTATATTCATGGGGTATAAAACATACAAAAAAACTTTAAAGAATAATTCTAACTTTTATAATAAAAACTTCATTTTTCTAAATTTATAGAACTTTATTGTCTTTGTTAGATAAAAACATGGGTTTATTTATAAAAATTATTTAAAAGTGTTTCATTCAAATGTATTAAATTTGATAGGAACACAATAAACACTTCTTTAATTCCTGCAATCTTAAACTTTTTACTTCAAAATTTTATACGGTTGTTGTGTAAAACGAATAATAACAAATTAAATTAAAAATATTTTTTAAATATAAATTAATATATTAAACCTTTTATTAAATAAATATATCATCGTAAAAATAGAACATAATACTAGTAACGATTAGTAGACTATAACTTCCTGTCCAAAAAATAAAATCAGAATTAGTATGAACACCTATAAAACTAAAAAGATAGTATAAATGAAATACAACAAATATAAGATTACTAAAGGATTTTAAATCATACCACATTTCTAGCAGAGGATTTATACCTAAAAATACACAGACTATACCTGCTATGAAAAAACATACGGTTATAAATATTGAGATAGTAGTCCACTTCTTTTTTCTATAAGTAACATTCACCCTACTTCCTTCTTCCATATCTTTGTTTATTTTATTTTTATAAGTAAGAAACTTAAAACGTATTTAAAACTTGTAAATTACAAAATTAAAAAAGCGATTGGAAGGCAATTTTTTAAAAAATCGAGCAAAACCATAACGGACCATAAAGCACAACATGTTACATATACTTATTTGAAATTAAAAAAAGCAGTTGGAAGAAAATTTTTTAAAAACTCGAGTAACACCATCACGGACCATAAAGCACAACATGTTACATATACTCATTTAAAATTAAATTTTTTATTGCAATTAGTATCATATCTTTTCTTTGTTAAAAACGTTAATTATTTGTGTCAATATTTTTTTAAATTAAATGTTTGCATCCTTTATTTTCTGTAAAGTTTAATATAGTTTTAATTAGCCAATAATATTGTGACATTGAAGACATTGGATTGAAAACAGATTTATGGCTACAACAATTTATTTAAAAGTTACGTAAAAAAATAAAAATTAACAAAAAATTTAATTTTTTGATGAAAGATAAAAATTTTTGTTAAAAGATATATTTAAAGTGTAAATAAAAAAACCTAAAAAATTCTATTTTTATTCTTTTTTATTTCTTTATAAGAAATTGAAATCACTATAAAATTGTGTACTTAAGACAACATTTCAAAAATAAGAAATTATAAAAATAAAGCAAGGTGTTATGGCCTTGCTTTCTGCAAAAGTAAAATAAGAATATAATATGAAATTTATAACACATTTATTTCAATAGGGCAGTTACTAAGCAAGCAGCACAAACTGTAAACATCGATATAGAGGATACACATCCATTACTTTTCTTACCATCTTTCTTTTTTGATTTATTACTTTTTTTACTGTCTTTTTTATCATTAGAGTCATCATCATCTTCACTATCTTGTGAACCTTTCGTACCAGATTTTGAAGATTCCTTAGTTTGTGCAACAATAAATGTAAGAAGAGAAGCAAGTATAATGAAAATTTTCTGCATAAGGGTTCAAGAAAAAAATCTATTTATACTTTTTTAATTTAGTTTGTTGGTAAATAAACAAACTAAGTAAACAAAAAACACAGCATTTATGTACATTTTCAGTTTGTTTTTATAATTTACAATAAATTAAAATTATTTTGTAAACAAAAAAAATTTGCAATTAAAAATTAATGTTTGAAAAGTTTTGTAATTTCAATCAAAAAGTTGACAGTGTTTAATTAAATAGGTAGTCAACAATAAAATTTAGAAATTAAATCTCTTTTTTATTAAGTGTATTAAAGAATCTGCATAGCTCTATTTCGATCTAAAAAATGTTTATTAGAAAAATATAGACAAATAAATTATAATACCATAATAAATCTATACGTATATAAATTACAACTAATAGATGCCTACAACTATATTTTAAAGCAAAAATAATTTGAACTAAACTGAAATTTATTATTAATACACAAAATGTAAAATATTGATCATTACATTTATCTAAGGTGATGTCTTAACGTTATTCTCTAAATCTTTTTTTTTATGTTTAGCCCATATGATAATATTGCAAATCTTTTTCGTAGCTGTAATAAAATGCTCTGTTAAAATTTGCAATACAAAAGTAGATGAAGGAACATTATCTTTTTCGTTCAATAAATCACCATATTATGTTATATTTGAATATCCAGAAGGTGTTAATTTTTTAGATAAAGAGTTGTATACAAAAACACAACAGATAAATTTTTCTAGAAATATTTATAGAAGTATAATTAAAATTAATAAAGAAACTAATATAAAATATAAAAAATATATATGTAAGGAATATGAATACGATTTATTGATAGAAAAAGGTATTTTATTTAAATTTTGGATTTTTAAGAATAATAAAATTAACTATATAGAACTACTTGACTGGATGCCTGTTCCTGATTTTTCAATGATTTTTGTCGGAAGTTTAAGTTTAGGTATTTTGTTATGTTTGATTTTAAAAACATTCTTTACATAAATTTAATTTAAGAATTGGTACAATGATTAAAAAATAAATGTAAAAAGTTATTTGTAAATTTTACTAAAATAAATACATTAAAAATATGTATTTGAATTTTAAAATAATTGTAACCCTCTTATGAAAAATATAATAACATTTGAACCATTGATAGAAACTTTTAAAGAGGTTTATTGTCATCTGTTGACAATAAATAATACTAGAATACTTATTAATTGTGGTGGTGATTTATCTTTCTATACACAAGAATTATTAAACATCATTAACAGCTGTGATTGTATTTTAGTCACATCTTTTGATTCTGCTTGTATAAATGGGTTATGGACAATTTTAGATCGCGGGTACTTCAAACCTGTTTATATGAGTGTACCTATAAAGGAATATTCATTAATATTTCATCCATTTGAATATAAAAACATTTTTGAGATAAAATATTTACAGCCCTTTAATGTTAACAATGTTCAAATATGTGCATTCGCTTCAGGCAATTCACTCGGTGCTTCACTTTTTAAAATAACATCTAATCTTGAAAATATATACGTAGGATACAATATTAATCATCGGAAAGAAAATCATTTAAATGGTATTGATTTAAAAAATATTACTGACAGTTATGTATTTATTACTAACACGAATTATTGTATAAAAGAAAATATAAACTCTAGTACTAGAAATGAACAATTTTTAAATTTAATTAAAAATTGGTTTACTTCTAAAAATAAAAAAATGATAATTTACGTTACGTATCCTAGACTTCATGAAATAGGGCTATTACTTAATACAATAAAAGATAAAAAGATAGTTATACTTGATAAATACATTAAAAAATTTATTAATAAATCAAAAAATATGATTGAGTGGAGTAATACAAGTCTTATAGAACAAAATGATGTGTATGAATATTCAAATATAGAAAAAGTAGAATATTATTCGCTACTTAATGATTTTGATATATGTATTTTACTTGATGATGATATATCTTTACTAGATAAATTTAATGATGAAAATTTATGTGTTATTTTTATTGATAAAAAATTCAATATAACGCATAAACCAATATATCAATATAACGGTAGTTATGAAATTAAGACCGATATAAAGGAAAATGATATTTTTGAAGAAAGTAGTGAAGAAGAAATAGAAAAACATTGGAGTGAACTGAAAAATGAATTAAAATTTGATTATAACGGCAATATTATTGAAGAGAGTACACTCAATACTAATGATTTATTTTTAGAAACGTATAGGGATATTTATGGATACCCAAGTTTAGAACCAATTAAAAAAAAGATTTGTTACAAAACAAAAGATAAATTTAATTTATATAAGAAAATTAGAAATTACGATGATTATGGCGAGTATATTGATAAAGAAAAATTTGTGGTAAAAATTGAAAGGAATGAGAGAATATTAGAACCTGTTACCACAGTAAAAGTTTATTCAGAGACAAAAAAACTTATTAAATCTGATTTTATACCAAAATGTAAAATGCAGATTTTTAATCTGCAAGGATCTAGTGATTTAAAAAATATTAAAGTTATTTTACAGAATATTGATAGTAAAAAAATTCTTCTTGTTGAAGATTCTTTAGTAAATGCCAAATTTATGTATTCTTATTTACTATGTGCAGTAAAAAATGTTCAAATATGCAATTCACTAATTAATTTAAGTAGCAGTAAAAATATTAATATATTAAATGTATCTGATATAATGAATAATATGGAAAATGAAGGTGTTAAGGTTTATAATAGTAAAATGTTTAGATTTAAAGGTTTTAGAGAAGATGATAAATTAAAATATATAGAGAGACCAGATAAAATTACTGTCTGCGATTTTAATAATTTAACAAAAAAATTAATGAGTGTAAATTTAAAGATTGAAAAAAATAAAAATGTCTATGTGGTGCAAGACAAAGTGCGGGTAAAAATAGAACAAGATAAAATTATATTGGATGGAGAGGTAGGAGATATTTATTATCATATAAAAGATATAATATATGATTCTATAATATCTTTATAGCAGTTAAATATCTTTTAATGTTATATAAACACTTTATTTTAAAAATTAATATATTATGTAACAGATATCACTTCCTTTTATTGATATTTGTGGTAAAACATCCTCTCTAATTTTAACATTCTTTAGTAATATATTGCTTTGTTTATCTATTTTAGTAACATCCCCTTCTATAGTTAAATTTTCTTTAGTAGTAACTGTTATTCTTTTATTTTTTATTTTTTTTATTAGCATAATTTAAGGGTAGCAAGCACAAGCTTAAAATATAAAAATTAGTTAGGGGTAAATGACTATTGAACAAAAAATAGTAGATGTTTTATATCTAGATTATGTATTGTATAAGATAGTAGATGCATATAATAAAACAATCTATCAAAAATTAAAAAAAAGTGAAAAGCAAATAAAAGATCCAAATCTACTTCCCGATATACTTTTTTATAAAAATATTGCTAGTTTAATTAAAAATAGTCTAGACGTAAAATATGATGAAGAAGTTTATAAAAAAATCTTGTACGTCAGAGTGTTACAAATATTAGATAAAAATTCTTTAAATCCATTAAAAGCCATCACTGAAGTTAATTTATATTTAAAAACTTTAGAAAAAAAAGTTTTTGTGTCGGGAATGAAATATTTTACTGGATGTGATACATCTCCCGTATTAGATTGGCTTAATGACATTTATAAGTCGTTTGATGTTCCTTATTTATTCAAAGAGTGCGTTAAATTAATCGAATAAAAAATTTATAAAGATAAATAATTATTTAATTAAAGCGTAATTAATACCTTCATAAGGGATGTGATCACCTTCTAGGCCTATTTTATACACATTTCCATTATTATATGCATAATCTCCTATTTCTAAATCTCTACTTAAAATATCCTCTAAAAAATCAAGATTTACATTATTTTTACACTCAACGTGTTTAATACTTACATTTTTATAGTTCACTATTGCTAAATAATTTTTATTACAATCTAACCCATTAAAAAATCTGTATTCCTTATCATCTCTTTTAAAACAGGATGAAGAATAAACTAGTAAATCATAACCACAATATTTGTACCATCTTTCTTCTGTACTTTTATATTCTTTACAAATTTCTTCAAATGTCATTTCTAAATATTCATAAACATCGACAACCCTGTAGTAAGAATCCTCAAATATAATATTCTTATTTTTTAGTATCTTAAAATGTACAAATATTTTTGAATTATTAATTTTTGTAAGAACACTATCTTGAATGAAAATTATGTTTTCTTTATTCTGTTGATAAATTAATTTATTAAAAAGGTCTAAATATAAATCTATGCCTTTTTTTAAGAAATGAAAAGAAGCTATTTCTTTTAAATCTGCATTAATTTTATACAAAACGGGACTTGTTAACTTACTTTCATTTGTAGAACTTTTTGTTTGTTTTGTAAATTTATTGTCAAAAAAAGATTTATCTCTGCATAAATTACCAGAATCAAAAACTTCCCTATTAAGTTTTTTTTTTATACGTGAAGTAGAAGAACTTTCCTGAAAGTCACTAAGTCTAGGAATATGATTATCTCCTATGAAAAACTGGGATTTGGGATAATAACAATATGATAGTGTAGATATATGTGTAGGAAAGGTTGATATAGAAGTAATTTGCCCTTCTTCTTCTTCTGAAGAACATATAACATAATCCATTAGGGTTAAAAATTATAAAGTATATCAATATATATAAAAAGTTTGAATCTGAATATTTATAAATAAGTCAATACGACAGAGCTAAATATTACAATTAGGTAAAGATATAAAAAAAAGTATTTTTATTTTCTTTTAAAAGAAGGTTTAAATATAAAAATTATATAAGAAATAGCCTTAAATTTGTAAACATACAGATTTTAAAGGCTATTTTTTTGTGCCCTTAAAAATGGGAAATACATCATCAAAAATTCCTTCATTACAAATCTTAAAAATCACTGAAAATAGCATATCGCATAAAAACAACATACTTCCTTTTATGCACACAATTGTTAAAATAAATGATATACCTGTAAGTGATAAAACTGATGCATTAGAAATAGTGAAAATGTGGGAGCAAGAAGATTTAGATTTATTTTTAAGAGATTTAAGGACAAGTACAAATTTTCATCTTGTAATTCCTAAGAAAGTATCTGATGCAAGATTAGGAATGAGTGTAAATTTCACTGATGACATTATTGATTTGTTTACAGTAAAAATTTTACAGGTCATTGAAGGATCTCCTGCACAGCAGTGTGGTTTATTACAACATGATTATATTCTTGGTGTAGAAGGGATACCAATGGAAAATGAGAATAAATTATTGAAATATATTGAGAAGAAAAAGAAAGATGGTATGACTTTACTTGTGTTTAATGAAAAGATGAATTTTATAAGAAAAGTTCACTTTATTGTAAAAAGTGGGTTAAGTTTATATGGATGCAAAATAGGACTAGGTGTATTGTATGCAATTCCGGGAGACAAAAGAAATATTACTGTAGAATTTGATCAAGAAGTTATTAATAGAAAAATAGAAGAATTTAAAAAAGATAATACAAAGGAGATAGAAAGTAGTGAAGAAAATACTAACTATCAAAATTTAGATAAAGTTAATGAAAATTCGAAAGCAGTTAAAATTGAAAACGAACGTGAAGATAATCGTTTTGATGACGATGTAAGCATTAAATCTAGAAGCAATGTAAATAGTGAGAAAATAAATGATGAACAAAGTAAAAATAAAGACGGTGAGGTTGCAGATAAAAGCGAATTGGAGAATGAAATGACAAAAAATATTTATAAAAAGAATAAATCTGCACACAAAGCGATCCAAACAAAGAATAAAGATGAAGAACAATATAAAAAAGATCCTTTGAACGAAACAACAAAATATATGGATAGAGATGAAACAGTTGATAAAAAATCTACGAATGAAACAATGTCGGGTCTGAATGAGACTACACAAGATTTTAATGTTAAAAAAGACCAAAATCAAAATGAAAGAGATAAATTATCACATAAAACTAAAAAAAGTTTTAATGAGAATCAAAGTACATTTAACAAAAGTAAATCAATAAACGATCTTAGAAAAAGCGATATTGAAGATAAAAAAAGTGAAATTACTGAGAAACAAAAGTCTTTAAATAAAAGTGCAAAAATTACAAATGAAGATAAAAAACAAAATTTATTTGACGAAAGTAGATCATTACATAATTCTACAAATGGAAATATTGAAGGTAAAATGAGTGAAATTGCACATAAAGATAATCTTGTTTCTGAAGACGTCAAACAAAATGGTAAAGAAATTAATGAAAAAAATAAATCGGTACGTGAACCTACACAAGATACTGTTAAAGGTAAACAGAGTGAGATTACTGAGAAATATAAATCTGTTAATGAAGATGAAAAAGTCGATGAAGAGAGTAAATCGACATGCGAATCTTTACAGGTGGATGTTAAAGATAAACAGAGTGAAATTATTGAGAGACATGGATCTATACGTGAATTTACAAAAAGCAATGTAGAAGATAAACAGAGTGAAATTATTGAGAAACATGGATCTATACTCGAACCTTTACAAGGAATTTCTGATCATAAAGATGAAAAAATTACTGATGATAATAAATCTGTTAAAGAAGACATGAAAGAGCGAAGTATTAAAGAGATTGGTGACAAAAGTAAATTGGAAGATGACTTGATAAAAAGCAATAACGAAGACAAACAGAATGAAAGTATTAAAAAAAACAAATCTGTACAAGAAAATAGTGACCAAGAAAGTAATGACAAAAGTAAATCTTTACAAGAGAGGGAAGCAGATGTTAATAACAAAAATAAATTGGTAAATGAATCTGCAAAAGACGATATCGAAGGTAAAATGGGAGAATGTGCTTACAAAGATAATTCTGTTTATGAAGATGTCAAACAAAATGTTGAAGAAATCAATGAAAAAAATAAATCTGTACATGAACCTACACAAGATATTGTTAAAGATAAACAGAGTGAGATTATTGAGAAACATGAAGATGTAAAAAAACAAAGTGACAGTGAAAATTACGATAAAGTTAAATCAGAAAATGAATTTATTAAAAGTAACATTGAAGATAAACAGAATGGAATCACTGAGAAACATGAAGATGCAAAAGAACAAAGTGTCGAAGAAGTTAATGAAAAAAGTAGATCTGTACATGAATCTATAAAAACCACTGATGAAGATAACCAAAGGGAACATAATCAGAAATTAGATTCTGTACATAAAGATGTAAAAGAAACTGATGATAAAAGTAAATCAGTAGATAAATCAACAAAAATTAACACTGAAGATAAACAAAATGGAAACATTACAAAAAATAAATCTGTACATGAGGAAATAAAAGAAGAAAGTATCGAAGAAGATAGAGAAAAAAGTAAATCAATTCATGAACAAATACAAGACACTATCGAAGATAAAAACAATGAAATTACGAACATTGGCAGGTCTGTACATGAAAACACGCAAGAAATAAGTGAAGTAAAAGTTAACGACAAAAGTAAATCTAAAGAAGAAAATACAAAGGAGCAAAGTCTCGAGGAAGCAAGAGACAGAAGTAAATCAATACAAAAAAATACACAAGAAATAAGTGAAGTAGAAGTTAACGATAAAAGTGAATCTAAAGAAGAAAACACAAAGGAGCAAAGTCTCAACGAAGCAAGAGACAGAAGTAAATCAATACAAAAGAATACACAAGAAATAAGTGAAGTAAAAGTTAACGACAAAAGTAAATCAATATATGGATCTACAAAAAGAAATATCGAAGATACAAAAAGTGAAATTGTCGACAAAAATAAATTTTTACAAGAGCTGAGTGATGATAAAGTTAATGACATTAATGAATCTTTACACAAAAACACACAAAAACAAAGTGAAGAAGAGATAAAAGGCAAAAGCGAAACAGTTCATGAGTTGACAGAAAGCAATGTCAAAGATCAACAGAGTAAAATTATTGAAAAGAGTAAAATTTTAAACGAACAAAATGATGAAAGAGTGGATGACGAAAATAAATCAATAAATGAATCTATAAAAAGCAATATAGAAGATATACAGAGTGAAATAATTGAAAAAAATAAATCCACATTTAAACCTATACAAGATGTTTCGGATGTCAAAACTGAAAATGTTATTGAAGTAAGTAAATCTGTAGATAAAAATACGCAAAGACAAACCGAGGAAAGGATCACTGAAAAAAGTAAATTAGTAGGTGAACCCGCAAAAAATAATGTAGAGGACGAACAGAATGAATTTATTGAGAAAAATAAATCTGTACACGAAGACATTAAAGAACGAAATGAAGCACGAAATTCAACAGTTAATGAAAAAAGCAAATCTGTGAGTAAAAGCTTGAAAGATTTTAATGAAGATGAACAGAAAGAAGTTTATGACAAAAATGCATCTATAGATGAAATAACAAAAAATTTAAATAAAAGAAATGATCAAAATAAATCTGTACACGAAAACACACAAGTGCAAAGTGACAAAGAAATCACTGACGAAAACAAATCTGTACATGAAAACGTGAATGAACAAAGTATTGGAAAGGCCGGCGGCAAAAGTTATGTAAAACATGAAACGGTGCATAGCATAGAAGAAAATTCACATATGAGAAATTTTCTTGATAAACATACACAAAATTTAAATGAAGATAAGAACAGTAATCTTACCATTAAAAGTACACATCTGAATGAAGCAATAAAATCTGAAATTAAAGATGAACAAGGTGCATCCGTTGATAACGATTTTGTACATGAAACATCTAAAGAATTTATTGAAGGTAAAAGTGAAGAATTTAATGATTACAAAGCAGTTAATGAAACATCCGAAGTTTTAAACGAAACTAGTGACGAGTCAAGTATTGACAACAACACTTTACATGAAACTTTAAAAGACAAGATTGATGATAAAGACAAAATAGAAAAAAATATGTACGGAACTTCTTTACAAGATAACATTGATACAAAGATGAGAAATAACATCAATCAAGATGCAATTGATAAAGAAACTAAAGCCAATGACACTCTTAAAGATTTAAATCTTATAGATTCTGAAATAAGAAAAGGTGTTATATCCGAAGCTTCTTCAAAAAACGTTAATCAAGATCAACCTATAAATAAACTTAATGAAAGTGAAAACAGTAAATTGTTAGAAGATTCTAATTTTAAGAATCAATTAAGTGAAAATAAAAATGAGACTACAATGACAAATAGCAATAATTCTGATATAACAACATCACAAAGAACTGAATTAATAGAATCGGACAAAAAAACAAGCGTAAAGTCAAATTCTTTTAATGCATCTAAAATAATGACAGATGAAAAAAATGTGTCTGATTTTAAGCATAAAGAGACAAATTCAGAAAGGGCGTTATCAGCTGATAATACTGGCAATTTTAAAAATTCTGGCAGATATTCAACAAATGTAAAATTAGAAGATGTTATTACTGATACAACTAAAAGTAATACTAGTCTGTTCCAACAAAGTTTATTAAGCAAAAAAGATAATATTTCAAATGAATCTATCAAAATAGTGGAAGATAAACATTCAGACGTAAAGAGTCTTCTAAACGAACGTAGTTTATTTACAAAGTTTGCAATAAATAAGGAAGAGACACTAATTACATCCTCTGAAAACATTAAAGCATCTGAGGAAGAGAAAGTAAAAGATAAAAATACATTGTTAATACACCCTTCACAAAAATCTTTAGATAAAGGAGATATGACAAAAAATAGTACTTTTTTTAAAACGACTGTAGAAATTAATGATAATGAACATACAGAGAATGCTCTAAGTACTTCTTTGGATATTAATGACAGAAGAAATAATGATTCCGTTACTAAAAATAATCTACAAGAAAAGATAAACACAGCAAATGAAAACTCTTTCAGTACAAAATTATTGAATAATATGACACATAATTTTGATGAAGGTAAAAGTTTAATAAGAGATAAATCTGATAAGATTAATCAAGTAAATTCTTATACAAGCATTAACGATAACAAAAATATAAGCGATTCTGTACAAGAAGAAGATTTTAACAATTTGAATGATGCTGAGGAAAAAATAAATATACAAAATAAGAGTGGTCAAACCACTTTAAGGGAAAATTCAATTTTTAAAAATACAGAAATTTGTAATCAGACATCTAAAATAAATAGTTTGAATAAAATTGCTGATGAAAAATTTCATGGCACGAATGAACCGTTAGAGAATAATATTAGTGATAAAGATAGAAGTAAAACTGAAGTATATGACAGTATTAAAAGAAATACAAAAGTATATCTAGAAGAAACTAGAAAGACAGGTGGCACTACTCACGTTTCAGAAATATTAAACAATGAAGATCTTAAAGAAACAATTGAAATGTCAAATAGTAACGAGGTAAGTAAAAACTTTAATTCTGATGTAAAAAATAATGTTACCGATAGATCTGAAAAAGAACAGGTAAATAAGCATAGTATAATTTATGATAAAGATGAATTACACAATAATATTAATAATCATCTACAGAAGGAATCAAAAAGTGGAACAGATACACATTCAAATTTTATTAATTCAAATATGAGTAATTTTCAGAAGGATTATACTAAACAATCAAAAGAAAGAAGTAAATGTAGCGAAGTCTTTACAAATGATGATTTAGAAAGTAAACTAAGCATGTCAAAAAATCTTGAAAATAATAATAAATTGACACAATACGAGGATAAAGATAACAAATTTAATGAACCAGTCAAAAATACTGAAAAATTAGAAAGTAATAGTATATTAATTTCTAAAACAATCCTGAATAATTTACCTAGTAAATCGTACTTAGAAAATAACGAACGAAGCAAAGATATTTTGGCATCTTCAATAATTAAAGATAGTGAAAAAAGTATTAGTAATACAAATAGCAATTTAGTCACAACAGTAAACAAAGATTCATCAGTCACAAAAAAAAAAGAGTTTAAAGATGATGATGATAAAGACAGAAGCATAAACAATTTTACTGTACAGTCTAGCGAACAAAATGTAAAACAATCTCAGATTACTTCTGAAGATAAAAAAAATCTAAACGAAATGACAATTTCTAGCTTACAGACAATAGAAGATCAAACATTTGTAAATATATTTAGTGAAAATGACAAAGATTCTTTTGTTATGGATTTTAAATCTACAGATAATATTTCTACAAATAATAATAAGTTAACATCTTCAGAAAAATCAGCTAATTCGGTTAATAATTTAGAACAAAATATATTTACAAATGTTACTGAGTCAATGAAGGGCGTTGAAAACACTTCGTTAATTAAATGTACAAGTCAGGAAAATAAAATTGGTGATAATATAAAAACATTATTAAATAATGAAGAACAAGGTAATAATATAAACGAGGATAATGATATAAGCATTGTACAACAGAAATACAATAATTTGGAATCTGTTTCTGAAAATATAACTGAAAACCCAAATACATCTATAAAAGATATAAGTGTAAATGCTGATAAAGGAGGGAATAGTTGTGAAAATTACACCACTAGAGCTGAATACTCTGTTTCAAATACAAAAGATAATATATCTAATTCATTTATTACTGATATTAGTAATGTAAGAATACTTGATAAAAAACAACACGAAGAGGACAAGAAAGTAAATTTAACAATAAATAATACATTTTCTTCGATACTAAAAGACGATAATGAAGATGTTTTAGATTCTTTGGAAATAAAAAATGAGTTAGTACACAAAACATTTGTAGAAAAAAGTCAGAAGAATAACACGTTTAAAGAAAGCGGTAGTAAAATTATAAAAGATAAAGATGAGCATCCAAAGATTAATACATCGATTAAGCAGAATGAGGTCTCTTCTGGAGATAATAATACAAATTTAGAAAGCAATTCTAAGGTAGTAAAAACAGAATTTTTAAATTCTGAAAGTGATTTTTTTGATTACTTGACAGTCATAAATAATGTTGATAAAAGTTTGTCTACAGAAATTAAAAATAATACAAAAAATATGGTGGAATATAACCTCAATCCTTCCGATTATATTTTTGAAGCACAAACAGAGGAAGAGTATAATGATATTTTAAAAATACTAAAAAATACAAATGACGACAAGTCATTTAAAAACGAAAGTCATCATTTAGATGAAAATGATTCACTTTTAGACTTTTTAGGAACACCATGCAATGTTGGAAAGGATAATGTCAATGGGGAGACAAGAATTCATAATCTTTCTGATCAAGATTCTAAAAATAATCATACTGATATAAAAGATGACAAATTAAATACAATGGCTACAGAGGCAGACATTTCCGAACTTAATATGACAGATAAAAGTAATGTAAGAGTTATAAATCATAATTACTCTACTATTCTACAACAAGACACAGATATGGAGAGTGTTACAGAAGATTTAAAGAGTGTGTATAAAACTGCACTTGAACGTTTTTCAGAACTCGAAAAAATTGAAGAACCAACCAGGCCGGGATTTTTAGGAGAAATTATCTCAAAATTTACACCAGAGAATGATTTACCAAATGAAGATGCTTCTGATATTTTAAAACTTTTTAGTGATGAAGACCAAGATTCTGATTTTGATTTAGAGGATTTTAATGCTCATTTGAAATAAATAGTGTTTTTATGTAATTGTTAATATTTTGTAATTATTGATAAAATTTTTTACAAGTTTAAGCATTGTCTCTTCAAATTTTTGTTTTACGTTTGAAAAATGATTGTAAACTTTTGTTGTACGTTTGAGAGATGATTGTAAACTTTTTTTGTACGTTCGACAAATGATTGTAAACTTTTGTTCGTATTTGTTATTTTTTTATTTTAATTCGTTTTACTGTGTTTTTTACTATTACTTTCTATTTTTTACAATACACAACATTCCTAATTTTATACCCTTTTTATGCTAAAGAAATCTTTTAAATGTTCCTATCTAAATATTGATACTAAACTTAATAAAAAAGATTATATAAAAATGGATAAAAAGCAAATACAGGAAGAAAAGAAACATGTACAATTTTTATCAAAGGAAGAAAAAAATGAGATGCATAATATAATTAACAGGGATTTATTAGGAAGCACGTGTGATAAACTTGATTTACAAGAATTTTATATGGGTAAATTTATTTAAAGCTGCCCTACGCCTGATGTAAATATTGTCACTAGGCATAAAATAATAAATACAACAAAAACCATTCCAAGCCATTCTATTAATAAATCATTATCGTTTTTCTTTTTAAGCTTCTTTTTTTTCTTGCTAAATTTCTGTGATAGTTTGTCTTTGTAATCTTTATTTAACACTTTGTAACCCTTCTTTGTGTAATTAAAAGGCTGGCAGAATGTAATGTACTCATTCGTAACAAGTCTAAATGTATAGTATAAATCATAACATCCCGTTTTGGGTAGCTCTACAGCTACTTCTCCTACCTCCACATCGTAGTGTATCATAGGTTTCCATCCTTCTTGATTATCAATATTTGGATTGTAACATAATGCCAATCCGCAAGGGTTAGACGCGTTTATCACTAAATTTACGACTGTTTCGTTGTCACTTAATTCTATGTTTCGTAATACAAGGGGATAAGTATGTGCAGTTAATAAAATTAATATAAAAAATAGTAACATAAGGGTGTAAAAAACAAAGAGTTAAAAGTAGATTTACTGATCAAATAAAAATAATACAGAGATATAAAATCGTATTATATCAAGGTTTATGTATTTTAGGTGTATATAATTTGTTGTATAAACAAACATAAAAACTTTGATTAAGATTAAACAAAAAAATACTAACTTTTATATTAAGATTAAAAACAATGCTAAATTTAATATTTATGACAAGGAAATATTGCCATTTAAGTGAATGTAAATGTAGCAAATTTTTTTTGATTTTTCGTAAAAATTGACTATCGATAATTTAAATTAAAAAATCTGTCTTTTATTTGCATTTATCACAAGTAAATGTAAAATTTTTTTATTAATAAAAATTTTACACTACATTTTGTTTGTTTACATCTTAAAATCAATAACATAAGATTAATTTGCTAATTTACCCTTTAATGATTCCAATATTCTTTTTTACGTTAATTAAAGGTGAAATTACAACAGGATTTGTTATTGAAAATGGCAAACAATTGTTAGAACTTAAATTAGACAAAAAACTTGTGGCAATTCATAAATCTTTTTTACTTGAAAAACAGAAGAATTCTGATGAATTCGTAACCATAAAAAAAATGAATAATCACACTAGATTTATTAGGAATAAAGATGAATATGAAAGTTATAAAGAAGAATTAATTGAAAAAAACGAAAAATTGGCGAATTCTGATAATCTAGATGAAGATAGTGATTCTGATCCCGAGTTTGAAGAAATATATGTTGATATAAATAATATTTCAAAACAAAAAGGTAAAATTTACGGGGTGAGTGTAGAATATTTTGATAAAAAAGACAAAAAAATAAAAGTGTACAGTAGACCTTTTACATACAGTGCTAAAGAAAAACAATGGGTGCTCGGTGATGTGCCTATTGATGACAAGGAATCGTCAAAATGGTGGACGTATGGTGGTATAGCTTTATTATGTGTGTGTGCTATAGGTATTTTTGCATATTTTTTGTCATAAATAAATTTTGTTAATTTTTTAAAAAAGTTATATTAATTTTTAAAAGAATTCATAAAGGCATACAACATTAATATGATTAATTAAACTTTAAAACCTATATTTTATTTATTTTACTATTAAGTGTATTAAACTGAATAGTATAAAAACAAATTGATGTAGTAGAACTGTCAATAGTCACAAATTACATTTAAGTCCGACACAAGTTTACGACGTTATTAAACAGAACTCTAATACAAAACAAAAAAAGCACATTAAATAAACACAAGGCTGGTGATTTATAAATAGCAAAAAAATTAAAATGTAAATAAATTTCAAATTACTTTTAAAAAGTTGGTTTTGTATTAAGTCAAGGTCTAAAATATCTTAAAATATTAAACAAGTTATCGTGTTGTAGTTTACAAAGGTAAAAAAGTGGAAAAAAAATGAATCCCTTAAGATCACATAGTTATTATTTGATGTTAAAAATTTTAACTTTGCATTTAATAATTTAAATTTTATTTACTATTTAAAGAATTATAACACAAAAATAAAGCTAATGTTATTTATAGTGTAAGGATAGTAGGTTAATATTACTTTTAATTTCGAAAGAACTCAAAATTCTGACAGAAATAAAGCTGTATGTAATTTATTTTATTAAAGACTTCTGGAAGCATCTTAATGAAATTAAAAAAAAGAATACAGAAAAATAAAAGCTAATATTAGCATTAAAAAAAAATAAACTGGCCTCTAAATAAATAAAGTAATTTTTTGTGTAAAAAAAATAAATGTAATTTATTCAAATTTTTTTGCATTCTTTTTATCTAAATGTTGCCATCGACAACTTTTAAAATCATAAAAAAAAGGATCTGTATCAATAAAATAGTGTTTTTCATTGTGTCCAACAAATTCCAATGTTATTACATAAATACAGCTTTCAGATTTATCAAAGCCTCCAAGTGGTACAAAAATATTTAAGAAACTTTTATCTTTTTTAAATGTAAGCTTCTTTGGATATTGTAATGTAATTGATGTAGTACCGTCGTACTCAATTCTATCATCCTTAAAATGTCCATATATTTTACGTGTCTTCCACTTAACTAGTTTTCTATAGTCTACTTTAGGTGTTATTTTCAAACAATCTTGATTCTTAAATGTTGTAAAAACAGCGGTAGATGCTTTTAGAATATCAATAAAAAGATAAGCTATCATTGGGGTAAAATAAAAAATAGTTTAAATACTTTTAATTTTATATTAATTAAATTTAACATCAAATTTTTAATTTATTTCTAAATTTTATAAAAATTTTTACAAAAATATATTACGGTTTAATTTTTCACAGGTTAAGATTCTTTTTTATTCCTGTCAATTTACTTATATAAATAAACAATTTTGAAAAGAAATGACAGCACAAAAAAAATGAAAACCCATTTTATTGACACTGACATTTTAATTATTATACTTTGTACTGTATTTGATATGTATATAAAATTTAAAATTTTTACCTTTTTAATTAATGTCATAATTATAAAAAAACATTTAGATTATAAATTAAGTTGAAAATTCGTCAAAAGAAACCCCTTTTATACAAATATCAAAAATTTTTTATTTAGTTTTTCTTTAATTTACTATTTAGATAAAATATTTTTTGATTTTTAAAATAAAATATATTAAATTCGATATTAACTTTAACTTTTACTACAAAATATTTTATTTAAAAAGCATTTGTCAAAAAAACAATTATCAGTGTTTATTGTTTTGATTTCCATCAAAAACTTAATAGATTAGAAAAATGAAAATTTTTCTTATTTAGACTAAAATAAAATTTTTACTTTTCCTGTCAAATTTGTTGACATAATAGAAACTTTTAATTTAATTGCTTATATTAAAAAAAAAAGTTTTTGCCCTTATGTTATTTTTTAATGTTTGTGGAGCCTTCGATAGCGTTTTAAGGACTAAATTTGTAAAGCTATTTGGAAGAGACTATTTTGAGATTGTTAGTCAAAAGAAGATTAAAGAGATAGTAAGCGATAAAATTAAAATGGTTAAGGAATATAAGCTTTATAATAATAGTACAAACAATGATAATGGTATTTTTAAACGTGCGGCGCATACAGTTAAACGAGAGAACATTGTTGAAAACAGACGACGAGTTTGTAATTATTCTATATTCTTTGAAGATCGAAGAATTTATCTTGATGTGACGGATCTTAATAAGGAGAAGGATTTATATTATATTGTGTGGATCGATATAGTTACTGAAGATGGAAAGGCGAAGACAATCGAGATGAGTCCTTTTACTTATAATGTTTCAAAAAAAAAGTGGCTTGATTCAGAGATTGAAGATGTCAGGTACAACTCTGATGCACAGCAGTCCACGGCTGAAGAAACAGATTCTTCTATGACTCAAAACTTTAGTAAAAGTAATATAATATCTTTTAGCTCTTTAACATTTTGTATATATTTACTGACTTATGTTTGTGTTGGTTCTATTTTTTAATAAAAAGCATTGACCTTACTTTTTTGCTATATTTTTATGAATATTTGTGGGAATTATCTTAATTTTTTGCTTAAAATGACACGGGATTAAATAAGTTTTAAACAACGTTAAACTTAGAATTAATTAACGCACATTCATGATGCATCTACAATAATAAGCTGTCTGATATATAAATTTTGATAAGTTTCGTTTTTCTTATTGTTTTTAAAGAAAAGTTAAATTTACTGATTTAAGTTTAAAAACCCCCCGTATAACTATACATTTCCTAAAAATAAAGCTAGCTATAACTGTAATATTATGATTAACTACCATATGCATCAATCTGAGATTAATTAGATAAGCCATATTTTTAAGTGGTATTTAGTCAAAAATAGATAAAAATTATTTGATTAATTGCTTTCACTGTCACGCGGCTAATGATTCTTATATTATGACACATATTATAGACCTTGCTTATGCAAATAAAATGTTTAAAACTATAAAAAGAAAAATTATACTGCTAAAACATGAAGCTAAAATTATGAAAAAAAGCAAAAAAGCCCTATAATCAAATCCTTTAGTTCAGAAAATTATTTTGATGTAAAGGGTCAGATCAAAAAGAAATAGTACAGTAAGCATTATTAAGATGTAACTAGCCATTGGCTGCATTTCTTCGAGAATACTCCAATAACATTTAAATTATAGAATATTATTCATCAATTCTTATTTTCAATTTATGATGTTTGCAGCTTAACACTCTATATAGAATTAAAAAAAAATTAATATACCGATGTGTCATTTGTTAATAACAAATATTTTTGTACATCTTTTAAGCTAACAACGTAAATTAGTAGATAAAAATAGTTTATATAATTATTAACAGTAACACATGTTAGTATTATTTTTTTCAAAATTTTAAATCAAAGATCGCATTAAATTACTTACACATAGAGCGCAAGGTAAAAGTTTTTACCTGTGTACGTAATAATGCAATAATATGAAAATGTGTAAAATAAAATTTCTTTTATCTATAATACTACGCTGTAAATGTTATTAACTTAATTATCATTCTTTTTGCAATAGTTATTTATAAAGTTAATTAACTTTAACACAAACAATAAATAAAGTTTTTTATTCTATTTCTGTTAAATTACAATTTTATAATTTTACCCATGAATAGATTTAAACCACTAACAATAATATTTTCTGAGGTAGACATAAAAAACCTTTCTAAAGTTCATATCTCACTACTAATTTTACTAAGAAGTGAAATAAATATGAATGATTATCTTAAAGTGTACTTATCTACTACTGATAATGTACTTATTGAACTTAATTCACATATAGATATTCCTATTGAATTGGAACAATTTATTGAAATGATAGACTATTTATTGAATAAGTTAAAGATAAAGAACGAAAAAGGCGTTGTTTTGGCATCTATTATAAAAAACAAGTTAAACGACTATTTACCTCCTAATACTTGCAAATTACGTTTAGACGTTAAAGGTAAAAAATTTGTTAAAGAAGAAAATATTGACTCTTACACTTTATACATAAATTTAAGCGAAGATAAAAACGAGGACGTAGATTCTGTGCGACTTAGCGACTGGAAAATGGATACTATAGGTGTATGTATCTGTATTACTAACATTTTTAAAAATTAAAAAATTTATATCAACAGTCTATTTATTTTTTAAATGAAAATATATGATTAGGATTTCTTAGGTCATTTTGACATTCATTACTTTCTATATTTTCGTATAAAGATGCTAAATTTCCATCAAAGACTGATGTAACATTTGATTTGCTTACCATTTCTGTGACACCAATATTTTCTAAAAAATTCTGCTGTACTATATAATCGTCAGTATTGCTTCTATTAATATTTCTATTTGCCAATCTTTTTGTTCTATATCCACTTTTACAAACGTAAAACTCATAATTAATTTTCCAATATGAGCCTTTGCCTGGATTGCCCAACCCTCTTGGTACCTTGTAAAATGCTTTATTAAGGCTTAAATTGTGTCTTATAGAATTTTGCCAGCCCGTTTTATTCATTTCAAAATATGGATAGCGATTTGATATGTATGAATATATTTCTTTAAGTGTAAGCATTCCTCCTTCAGCGGATTCTAAAGCTTCTGCTATAAGTTCTGCGTAACTAATATTTGGTTTTCTTTGCGTGTATTGTGGGCGCATAAATGGTTTAGACGTGTTTCTAGCTGTGGAATAAATATCTGGGAAATTTGTGTCAGTACTATCCCCTTCATCCTTAAAATACATGTAAACAAAGAAATAATATTTTTAAGCTAGATGTTTGATGTAAACATACTTTGTTTGTTTAAACAAACAAACTTTATATTCTAAATAATAAAATAAAAAAAAATTGCATAAAATATAGATAATAATTAATACTTTAATTAAAAGCATTTTCTGTTGACAATAGGTGGTCCATATTCTTGATAATCTTGTTTAGATACCCACATTTCTTGGAATGTTGAAAGTGAAGCAACAATTGATCCACCAATCCATACACTGTATTTTCTTTCAGCAGGTGTTACAACATTAATTTTAACTGAGCTTGGTGCCAAGTTTCTGATTTCCCTATCTAATCTAACATTAATACCTGGGAACAAAGTTGTTCCTCCACTTAACACAATATTAGCATATAAATCTTTTCTAATATCCACATCACAGGCTTTGATAGAATCAAAGATAGTAGCATGAATACTTGTTAATTCTAAACCTCTTAAGTGTGGTTTAAACAATAATTCTGGTGCTCTAAACCTTTCATTTCCAATAGAAATAATTTGCCCATCAGGCATTTCGTAATTTTTAGTAATACTAGAAAGAAGGCTATTATTCTTAACATCCTCTTCATAATCAGCAGACACATAACATAATTTTTCTTTAATATCTCTTACAATTTCTTTTTCAGCAGTAGTACTAAAGCTATTTCCACTCTCTGTTAAAATAACTTGTAAGTACTCAGTCAAATCTCTACCAGCCAAATTAAGCCTTCTTATTGCCATAGGTAATGAATATCCTTCATAAATTGGAACCACATGGGAGACACCATCACCAGAGTCAAATACAATACCGGTAGTTCTTCCACTAGCGTAAAGAGATAAAACAGCTTGAATAGAAATATAGAAATGAGGGGCATTAAAAGTTTCAAACATAACCTGAGCCATTTTTTCTTTATTAGCAGTAGGATTTAATGGTGCCTCAGTCAATAAAATTGGGTGTTCCTCTGGTGAAACCCTTAATTCATTATAAAAAGTGTGATGCCAGATCTTTTCCATATCACCCCAGTTTGTAACAATACCATGACTAATAGGATATTGAAGTTCTAGTACTCCTCTTTTAGATTGTGCCTCATCTCCTACATAAGCATCTTTTTGACCCATACCTACCATTACACCCTTGTGTCTTGGTACACCAACAATACTTGGAAATACGGCTCTAGGAGCATCATCCCCAGCAAATCCTGCTTTTACGATACCTGAACCATTGTCAACAACAAGAGCTTGAGTAATTTTTTCCATATTGGGGGGTAAAAAAAAATTCTTTTTTATTCATAAATTTAAAACAATTAAAAAATGAGAGGGAAAATATAAAAACAATATTTAATTAAAAAATATTTTCTTTTTCTTTATTATAAATGTTTTTAAAGTTAAATTATAAATTTATGATTTTACATGTATTTATAATTTATTTTTTAAATATTAAACTTCCATGTCAAAAGACTTACCACTTACACATATAAAGATAACTATAAATTTATAACAAAGATAGAAAGAGATATTAAATATTTATACTATATCTAGAGCCATTTATAGCTACAAATATCAAAGTAAATTCTTTTCACAGTTCATTAATGATTGAAAGATTTCTTCTTAATATTAAGTTGATAACTGACTAGTATATGCTGGTAACATTTAAGAATGTATTCAAATTTAAATTTATAATTTTTGTTAATTGATAATTTTAATTGTATTTTATCTAGAATATTGAATTAAAAATTAAAATAAAGAGCATTTTTACATCTAACTAGTGAATAGTGTTATATCTTAAGATGTATAATGTTAGATAATTAACAAGCATAGACTATATGATCTTAAATTATAATTATATTTATAATAGTAGAAATTAAAGCGTTACAATATATTAAGAGACAAATACATGCACTATAAAAATATTCTACATCAGTTTTGTAAAATATAATAATTGTTGAGATAACAAGGCATATTCTATTAACATATGTTTAAATTTTTGTTTAAAAGTTTATTGAAATAACATTTGAATAGTAAAAATAGAGGTAAAGACGCAACAACATAAAGTAAATAAATAGTTTTTTTTTAATAACCTGACACAAATGTAACAAAGAGTTTACTGGCAGTGTTTATTATTTCTTTTATATTAATATAATATACAAACATTTTTTTTGCTTTGTTTTGTTTATATATAATCATACAAACATAGTTAAATTTAAATAAATTTTAGATAATAAACAAATAAATGAAATTTATCTTATGTTTAAGTTTAATTTACTGTTCTTCACCGCTTCAAACACCAATTTTTAAAAAGAAAAATAACAAATTCACAGCAGAATTACCTTTTTCGAGAGGTGTAGATGTAAAAAGCTATGAGATTATGGTAGGAAGCTTATCTGCAAAAGAAACAGATTTTACTACGTTGGATAAGAAAAGAGATCAGCACGGGATACGTGAAAGTATTAAAGTACGATTAGATGCTATAAAAAATAAAGATGATTCCCATTTATATGCTATAAGTGTAGAAGAGTTAATAGGTAAAAAAAGTAAGAAGTGGTATTCAGAAACATTTAGATTTGATTCTAGAAAGAAGCAGTGGGTATTATCGCGTACATATGAAGAAGATCCTTGGTATATTAAACATAAAATGTATGTTATAGGTGCATCAAGTGTATGTGCTGTAGGATTAGTAGGATTTATACTTGCTAGCTATCTTAAAAAAAAGAATGAAGAGAGTGATTTGTAAATAAAATTTAGAACTAATTTTTTTTATTTAAAAAATTTTAAAGTTATATCAATTTTAAAAATAATATTATTGCTAGTCTTATATACAAAACTTTATTAAGTTATTTGAAAAAAATGTACATTTCTATAAATAAGAATGAATTATTTGTGTGATAAAATTAAGTGCACAATAGTAATTTAACTTGCTTATAGACTTTAAATTATAATTTAATTTGCCAAAAATTGTTAGAATTATTTAAGCTTATCTTTAGTGTAATATTTCTTTTTTTAAAAATTTACATATGAAAAAGGTTTTTTAAATGTTTTTATATTTTGGTTTAAAAATATTTAGCACTTTTTTGTAAAAAACCTTGAATTGGTGTAATTTCAATACAATTAAAAAATGTAAATAATACAAATACATATTTCAACTATTAAATATATAGTACATTCATATATTGCATAGCTGATGATATTTGACAATAAATACAAATTTTATTGGTTCACATAATGACGCACTTTATAATGTGTTTTATATAAGTTAAATTAATTTTCTATGAACTTTAATATAAATATTTATTCATAACAAAGATAAAATATTTTTTAAACAAAACGTTTCATCTTCTAACACCTTTTAAATAATCAAAAAATGTAAACTTACTTCAAATGTATTTGTTTCTAAAAATTATATTACTATTCTACAGCAGAGTATATACATTTACAGGCACCAATTTACAGTTCAATAATAGCATGTTAAACGCACTTTGTTCAGATAATCAGCCTAAAGACCCTATTAATTGTCAGCCAAATTTTAATACACAGATTGAAAATCCTAATATATTTCCAATGCCCTCCAATAGGCCCATAATACACCAAGAAAACTGTGAACCCAACCTTATTAATCCACCAACTATGCCTATTTTATCGCCAGGTATTAATACGGCATCTATCTGTAATCCCCATGTCGCTTCTAATATTGCTCATCCCTCAGTATCGACGAATATATTACAACCACCACTGATACCTAACCATTCATATCCTATAATTCCTCCAATTCCTCTACCCTCAACATATCCATCTATATCTTCTACAGTACCATATTCATCTATATCTTCTCCTACGCCTTATAAATCTAGTAATTTCATGTATCCATCAGTACCTAATACACATTTAAGCACTGCACCATCGTTTATACAAAACCAAACACCTCGAGTTCATTCAGAAATAACGTTATCGAATATTCCACTAGAAAATATTATAAACAATGGTATACCTACAGGACAGAGACTCTCAACTGTACTTAACGAAAATCCTATAGCAAAAACACAATTAATAAACTTCTTAGAATATAATGGTGTACCACCACCATGGGATCAACTTTTAGATTTCGAAACAACCCAACACCACCAACTTCCCGATCCAGACAATTTATTCAGGAAGATTCGTAAACAGCTTCTAACATTTGATAATGTTAGAACGTGTATAGTCGAAGCACTTGTAGTTATTGAAAAGTATATCAACAGAGGTAAGGCGTATTTGGCAGAAGATCTAAAAGATCTTTGCCGTGATAAAACGCTTCTAAAAAATATTTTGAAAAGATTACGTACCAAACCGGCTTATGAATTTAGAAGTGAACTGTTTAAAAGATATGCTGATATAAAATGTAAGAGTCTTGCTACACAGAAATCCTTCCGTAAATTGCGAGATTGGCTATTAAAAATTAAGAGGCGGTTTGCCACGTTATAATGTACAAAAATTAATTAAATTAAAAATTGTTTACAAAAATTTTGTATCTACAGTATACAATTTTTATTATATTTAAATTCTCTAAAAAATTGAGAATTCTTAATAAAATTAGTATTGTATTACATTATAGAAATATTTTAATGCCAGCTTTGTTTTTAATTACACAAAATTCATATATTTAATCAAACATTAATTGCTGTGTATAAATTTTTAACATAAAATTTATTTAAGATATTAATTCTTAATTTTTAGTTGCACAGTTCTGTCTTCAATATCTTTCCTTTTAACATTTATACCCACTCTTTTTCTACTTCTATAAATTTTCGCAACATAAATACTGACTCTTTTAACATCTAAATACTATTTAAAATTTTTACCCTGTTGTATGACAAAAAAAGAATACGAATTTATTAAAGATCAATCTTCTAATAAATATTCTCCTATTGCAGAAAGTTATGCTAAGCTTATTAGAAACATAAGGGAATTAAAATCTACAAGAGATTCTATTATTAATAGACATTTTTATGAACTGTATCATTATAATATTGACGAATTGGAAGATAGAGATGTAAGAATTAAAAGATTGATAGGCAAGTCTACTTCGTATCCTAACTCTTTTTTAGCTAGCAGTCTGGGATTTAACAGAACTACATGGGTGAAAAAATATGAGGAAATTTTAGGAAAATTTGATCTTGGAAAGAAGCCTAAGTATCTTACAATGAGAAATATGATGTTATTTGAGAAGCTTAAACTTCTTGTGATCAAATATTTTAACTCTAAAAAAAAAGATAAAAAATTAATGTTTTGAATGTAAATTATTACAAAAAATATTTTACAGTGTTTCAAGTGATTATAACACAAGTAGCTATAAATTTTTGTATAAGTTATCTTAGTATTTTAATATTATTCTTGTAAAATTTTTTCATTGTTTATTTTTGAAAATCTTACTGAGCAGAAAGTACACCCTTGTTTTTGTAATGAATAAGAAAAAAGACTTACTGTATCAAGAAATAACAGAAACATGCTCTAACAGTATTAAAGATAGTAATAAAAAAATATATCTAGAAAAAATTTTAAAATATCTTACGGATTCCGCTTCCCCATTATACATATGGGAACAAAATGGGATTCCTATACTTATTTTACAGGAACTAATAGAACCTTATACAAGTTTACAATCATTTACTAAAGAAATATCTGATAATCTCAGTACTGTACTACAAATATTGTATTATCTCGTACAAAATAATGAAATAAAAAAAGCCGTTGTGGATGCAAGATTCCATTTTTACTTATTTCGATATGTGACAATTTACGATATAGCAATCGTATACGAAACGCCACGAATTTGGGTGTTAAAAACATTTCGCGAGCTCGTTACTGACCAGTACGTACAGTCACAAGTGAAAAATACGGAAATGGTACCAATTTTACTAAAAAATATTGATTTGGGATCTAATGATGTAAAATTATTAAGTATGGAAACCTTTTACAACTTAATTAGTGGTGATGAAGGATTGAAATTTGTAACACAAACATTTGACAGATTTAGTGCTATTAACCAAGTTTTTAATTCTATAAGTAGAACTGTATGTAAAAGCAAGACTTATTCTATCATCAAGTTAATATTACAGGTGTACATAAGATTATGTAGTAAACCACATATAAAACAGGCAGTTGCCAATAAACTTCCGGAAAATGTTATAAGTGAAGAAATGAAATGTATTGTAGAAGATAATAAAGAGTGTAAAGAATTGTATGAGAAACTAGTGTCATTGATAAATAAAAATTAATAAATTTAATTGATGTATAGAAGTAATATGAAATTTAAATGCAAATTTTTTAATATTAAAATTTTTATTTTTTAAAAACGACATTTTAGTACAAACATATTTAAAATAAAATTTTATTTGTATGTAACATTGTAAGATTACTATAAAACTAAGTGTATAATATAAATCACATTTAAATATATTTTTTTTATTTTTTACCGTTAAAATGAATTTTGAAATTTCGAAATATACGAAAGAAGCAGACGAGGAAGAAAAAAGAATACGAAAAAAATATGCCGCATCTCGTAATATTTTGAATATATACACTTTAGAGCAGTTATCTAAGGTTAGTAATGTTGACTTATATTTAATGATGGATCTAGATGAATATCGTACAAAAGAAATACCTGTACATGTATTAGCTTATGTTACTAAAATAAAAAAAAGACAGTATCATCCAGACATTTCAAAAGGAGCACGAGAGGCATTTTTACTTGTAGATGTAGCTAATAAAATTTTAGGAGACAAGAGATTACGATCGATTTACGACTCGTCTTATTTCCACGTAAACATCCCAGAAGATAGAATATACCAACATGAAGAGTTTAGAGATGTGTTTGGTAAAATATTTAGTGAATACGCACGATTTACGACTGGTGCGCCGACATTAGACGATGATGCAACTAAATTTTACGATTTTTGGAAAAATTACAAATCTACACGAATTTACATACCGATAGACGAGTATATAAATCTCAGTGCAGAAGATAGACTTAATTATACACGACAAAATGCAGATAAACTTGCTAAATTAAAAAATGAAGATATAAAAAAACTGAAAGAAATACTGGCTATTTGTTATAAAAGAGATCCGAGAATTAAATCTATAAGTGACCAATTGAGAGATCTGAAATTAGAAAAAGAAAATGAATGGTCTCCTGTAGAGGTCAGTACACTTAAAAGATTAATAAGTTTATTTGGGAAAACGAAAAAAAATAAATGGGAAATTATAACTGATAAATTAGTAAATAGTACTAAAATAAAGAGAAGCGTAAAAGATGTTATAAAAAAAAGTGAAGAACTGAACAAAAAATAAAGAATTTAATTTACTAATTTTTTTACAATCTAATGTGCTTTAAATAAATATGACTTAGGATGTCCATATTCACAAGTAGGCCCTTTGATACAAAATCCTAGGTAATAATTGTAACACATCTTCTTACGCACATGTCTATTCTTACATTGTGATCCATGTCTACAGAATCCTCTGTTGTACCATGCACATTCCTTTCTTTTAACAACTGAATGAAGATAGAAACATTCTGGATTTGTACATTCACCAAGCTTACTAAAAAAATAACATTGTGGCATTTTCTTAAGATCATATTCGTGTATAAATTCGCATTTCTTCCCTTTCTTACACAACCCTCTAAGCCAATGCTTACATATTACAGCTGTAGAAAGTTTAATGTGCTGTTTGTCACAATCAGGATTATAACACTGATTTGTCTGATACAAGTCACAATAAATATCTTCTTCTTCTTTAAAGCCTAGTTCATTTTCAAGATAATCTTCAAAATCAAATCTCATTATTTTTAAGGGCATTAAGATTTCTATTTAAAATTATTTTTTTGACCCCCTTATTCAGAATGAACTACCTAAATTTCGTATGTTTATTTTTCATGTTAAGTTGTAGTGAATCACCACTTCTTCAGGCAGAAACTGGGTTTCAAAGATTTACTTTAATGGCAAAAAAGGCGTATTTGGATGCTGTTCAGCAAGGCAGGCATTATGTAGGACTTTTACAAGATAAATGTTTTTTGGCTAAAGATTACTTAATGGAGAAATTTAAAAATCTTAGAAAAAGAGGAGAACCAGTTTTTGTAGGTGAAAATAATGATGATAATTTTACTGAAGAAGAAATGAAGGAGATGTTTGAGAAATTATTTAAAGAGATGAAATTCGGAGCATTTAAGGAACAAAAGAATGAGGATAGTAAGATTGAAGAAGATGCAAAAGAAGAGGAAGCTCAAAATGAAGAAATTGAGAAGCCTTTATAAATAAATTATTTTCTGTTTTTAACCTTTATTTGTAAGATACAAATAACATTTTACATATTTTATTTTTAATAAATTTTTTTTGTATAATTAAATAAATTGCGTGCTTTTTGAAGTTAAAATTTTAAAATTGTATTTATTTAATAAAATATAAATTTATTAAAATATTTCACACAGATTTTTCAGTAAAAACTTTATAGCAATAAATATGTTTATCATATTTTAAAGCAATAAATATGTTTATTATATTTTATAGCAGCAAATATGTTTATTATATTTTATAGCACCAAACATGTTTATTATATTTTATAGCAAAAAAAGTTTATTACACATTTTATAGCAATAAATATTCTCCATTTATTTCTATTATTCTCTTATTTTTGTTCATTTCTTTTTTCCAAACAAACCAAAACTCTAAGTCTTCTATTTTAACAATATCATTATCAATTAATTTACTTATAAATGTATCAGTTTTCCCGATGTTATTATATTTGCAACCACAGCACAATGGAAGCCCAGAAACTACCTTTTTTAATCTACTTATTATTATTTTAATTATACTTTCCTGTAAATTATTTTTTAATAAATTAATATTTTTATCAAAAAAGTCTACTACAACAGGTAGACTTGTCGACAATAAATTAATAATCCAAAGTGTATATGTTGTTAATTCTTTATTATTCATTTCATTAGATTTATATATCATATATATTAATCTGTTATCTAAATTTTCAGATATAGATATATCATTTTCTCTAAGACACTTTTCTTTTGTGACACATCTTTTTAGGACAGTCTGATTTAAAATATATTTGGATGTAGAATAAAATTGAAATAACTTTATACTATCATCCATTTTATACTTTTCTGATATTTTATAATTTGTCATTAGATTTATTTTTATTCTATCTATATTTTCTTCTAATTTATTCACATCATTTATTGATGTATTTTCAGAACTATCTACAACATTATCTACACTTAAATTAATATCATCGTGTTCTACATTAACTTTTATAACATAATTAAACATATCTTCTTCCTTTTGTAAAAGTATCATTGTATAGAATGCATCATCTCCTCCATCATCAATTTCTTTAAACAGTTCTATAAATTCTTTACTTATTAATTTAGGATTTGCAATCAATACATTTCTTAACAATTTAATAGCGTATTGACTATTTTTAATTAATTGTAAATCCGTAGATCTGCTCATTAAATTTACCTGTGATTCAAAATCCATAAAATTTATTGATTTTAATTCATTAAGATTACGTTCTAACATCAACAAAAGAATGTTTGTTGGTTTTTCTTTATATAAATCTACTAAAATTTTACAATTAGTTCCACTTAATTTTGTATTAGTAATTTCTGTATAAAGTTTGTCGTATTTTTTAGTTTTTAAATTAAAAAATATTCTATAAATTTCTATATCTCCATCATAAGATAAATAATATTTAAACATATTAAGAAATCTGTAAGGATCAGATTTGTTATATTTCAAATATAATGGAATATATTTTATAGATGAATATTTACATAATTCATAAAATTTATCATGTGGTGAATTAAGTATAGAATTAGAATCTGCTAAAGATTTATCCATTAAGTAACATGGAATAGAAAAAGATAAATTACATGGTGACTGTAATGTATCAAGACATTGGTATAAATTATTTACATCATAAATATCAATATTTTGTATGTTAATTTTAAAATGTTGTATTCTCTTAATCATTTTTGTGTACACTTCATAATGTGCTAGTGATGATTCAATCTTTTCAGGTAAATTTATTTTATCATTTTTTATACTATTGTATAATTCAAGCATATTTATATTTTCAGGTATTTCTTCTTTATCAAAATCACTAATGTATTCTTCGAAAGTAGGTTTACTCTTAATATTAGAATTATACATTTTTGTATTTAACAATAAAAGAGAGAAACAAAGATTCAATATAAATTCTGGATCAAACTTATTAAACTTTACATAATGATTACTAAATACCTCAAGAACTCTATAAATAATCTGAGATTCCCCTACCAAATAAAATCCACTAAGAAAATATCTCAAAGATACTAAAATATCCATATTTGTAAAATCAAATGTATCTGTAAATTCTTTTAGAAAAGTTACATTTTTATGATTACAGAGAAATTCACCTAAAATTTTAAGATCAGTAAGATGATGATATCTCAATATTAAAAATGTCGTGTCTTTATATTTATTATATAATTCTTCAATATTTTTTGACTTATTAAATGTTTCTATTATTGATTGATTGTAAACCACTTTTTCCATTTCACTCTTTAGATTTTCATGCAGTTTATTTTTTTTAAATTCATTTATAATTTCTGAAAGTGAAAGTTTAGTGAAAAATTCATAACATAAATCTTTGTATATTTCTAGTCCATCAAAATTATAGTACAAATAACTTAATATATTATCATTTAGATTGTTAATATACCATCTTGGAATATTATTGAAATATTCCTGTAATAAATATTTACTTTTTGTATTATCCAGTAATATAAGTTTAATATCTGGGACAATAAAAACATAACTAATATCTTTTGTATTGTAAAGTAATTTATACTTCATAGAATTATCTTTTAGATTATAAATCGATCTTTTTAAAAAACCCGGATAATGAATTAAAAAGATTTGTAAATATTTAAAAATTTCATAAATTATTGCAGAAGAAAATAAAGGACTATTTAAAAGAATAATGAATCTTTCAAAAAGTGGTTGGGAAATAGATATACAATAAGTAGATGTAAGTACCTGAAAATATTTTAGAATCACTTGATCAGTGTCTTTTTCCCCTTGAAAAAACTTTAAGTTAACAATTTTTCCTAGAATGTTTTCTTCTTTAAGATTGTACAAATCATAAACTGTTAGAAAATTGTACATGTCAGTATTAGTGTAGTTTTTAATACTAAAAATAGCATTAAATAGATCTGGTATACTGTATAAATTTATATTTGTTATTATTTCTTGATATTCCTTGTTTGATAATTTAAGGTCGTACAAAAGGATCTTTATTTTATGCATATGGGTAAAATAAATAAAAATTTGTAAATTTTGAATAAATTTTATTATGCTTTGTTTATATTTTAACAATAATCTAAAATTTGTGTTTGTTATAAAAAAAACAAAAAAAGCTTATTTTTACGCAGTTATTTATAACTAAAGTTTTTTTTGTATAATTAGAAATATGTTTTCATTCTAACTATCTTTTTGGTAACTTGATTATTCTTCAATCCTAAAAAGCATAAAGTATGAGTGTTCAATAAGGATTATCGAATATTTTACATCGTATTTCAGTTACTAAATATTGTATTACATAAAAATATAAAAAGAATTCATAATTATTTTTAATTACTTAATAATTTTATATTTCAAACCCTTTAATGTCATCATTTATTAACAAGCTGACTGACATCACCTCAAAATATCATTCTTCAGTATTAGACCACTTTAATAATCCAAGAAATATAGGGTCACTGGATAAAAAAGATTTATCTGTTGGTACAGGGATTGTAGGTGCTCCTGCATGTGGAGATGTTATGAAATTACAAATAAAAGTCGGTAAAAATAATATTATAGAAGATGCTAAATTTAAAACATTTGGTTGTGGTTCAGCTATCGCATCCTCAAGCTTAGCTACAGAATGGATTAAAGGAAAATCAATTGACGATTCTTTAAAGATTACAAATAGGGAAATAGCTAAAAAGTTAAACCTGCCACCTATTAAATTACACTGTTCTATGTTGGCAGAAGAAGCAATAAAAGGTGCTATTAAGGATTTTAATGACAAGAACAAGTAAAATAGTATATTTAAATCTTTAATTTTTCTTCCCTTATATGGATAATATATGTTTTGTAGATCATGTCTTTTTATCTTCAAATCCACTCACTTCTGAAAATATTTTAGATTATTTCTCTACCTCGCCTTTCTACGATAAATCATCAATTAATGAAATATTGAAGATGCAGAATCAGTATAGAGGTATTAGTACCTTGCAGCAGGATGTAAGTAAACACAAAGGGGTGTTTTATGTGTTAGATCATTATAACACAGATAATACTCTTTTTGTAATAAGACAATCTGATAATGATGTTAATTTAGCTTACTTTTATGTTATACATGGACATATTTACAAGGCACCAACAAATAATAAAATTTTTAATACAAGGGTTAATGACATATATTGGTATCTTAATGAGATATTAGATTCATATTTAGATAAGCTTATGTGTTGTAATGAGAAAACTACTGTAGAAAAAAATGAATATTTATCTGAAGAAGTACTTAAAGATGTACTTATAAAATTTAACAGTTTATACAAGTAAATTAAATTGTTTTAAATTATTAAAAATTTCTGGAAGGGATTATTTGGAACATTCTCTTTTATTCTTTTACTATTATTTAAAAATGTTGTGATATAAATTTACATATAAATATTATTAACAAAAAATTTAATTAAATTGTGTAAATAATACACTTGTTTTATTATCTCTTACATTTATAACTAATACATTTTTTGTGCAAAAAATAAATTTGTTTGTAATTTTAATTTATAGAATGTCAAATTACTCAAGACGAATGTTATTACTATTTTAAAAATAATAATAAAAAATATAATGAATTTTTTTTAAAATTTAAAAATGTGATTAATTAAATCCAATTCCAATTTTTTTTATAATTCAAAAATATTTATATCGCCTGTTTGCTATTTTACTTCTTTTGATATTCTTTATAACAATTAAACTTTAAAAGTATACTATTTAAGACACACATAAAAATTTAATTAAAAAACATTACATTTTTTACAAAAAAATGATACAAAAATAAACAAGTATTAAATGACTTTACAAATAATTTTGAGACAATTATTACAGGAATAATAAGTTTTTTTTGCTCTAAAAAATATTTTATAGAATGTTTGGTAGTTATATGGAAATCTTTACAATATATTTTAAAAATGTCAATATTATTTAAATCTTTAGAAAATACATATAAATATGTAAAATAATGTTATCACTTTATTTGTGTTTATATGAAGGATTACATAACCAAATTAATAATCTAAACATAGTAATGATACATTATTTATGTGAGGAAAATTGATAATTTATAACTTTATTGTATCAACGAAATTAAATGCAATTAAACAATTAAAGAAAAAAGTTATTTTAAAAAAGAATTAAAGAGCTGTTGCAATTTAAGCATTTTTAAAGACAGTGATCTAAAACTGTTACTGAAAATTTAATTAGAACAAATTTAAAATTTTTTTACTATTATCAGTACATGAACCATTACTGACCACAAGAATCCCTTGATCCGAATGATCCGTCGACCTGCCAATCGTCTGAAAGAATAAATAAATAAAAGCAAACAAACAATAAGGATTTTAGGTCACACAAATCAGTTGATAAAAGTATTAATTTTGTTTGACAGCTTTCAAGAATAAATTAAAAAGCTATTTAAGAAAAATGTCCCCAAAAGGGGTATCATGAATTTATAGAAACAGAAACCATTTCTTTCGACACCTTCTTATGCTTCAGATCGGCCAAACGAAATGATTACAGTTTGATTGATTTAAAAGCAATTTACATAAAATTTTATAATTTATATAAATACACATATAACACTTTAAGAGATTTGAAAAAATGTAAATAATATTTATTTTATTTATATTTTTAAAAATTATTGTGCGTGTATAAACTTCATCACAAAAGGGTTATAATTTATGTTGCTTAAGATTTTTATATTTTTTAAAATATTAAAATACGAGTATAAATTAAACTTTTTATTTATTTGGCAAGTAATTATAAGACTGAGTAACTTTAATTATTCTATGTTACAGTTCAACTATATCCTAACATAGAAAGTAACAACCATTTTTGTTTTAAAATTATACTTTTATAAGTCGAAGATGTCGCTTAGTTTGTTTATATAATTAAGGTCAGCAATAAATATTTATTTTTTTTAGTAATTGTAACTTATTCTAATTATACAGCATATTACAGTAACATAATTTTATAGTTAAGAAAAATAATAATATTTTGTATTTGTTATAAACAAATTTAATTATGGCAATGTTAAAAAGAGTCTTACGTATCATGTTACAAATATCTTCTGTCAGCACATTAATATTAAACATTTTCATCAAAATGCTTTTTTTTAAATTTTTATTTTAAATGCTTAAAAACAAAATTAAATTATAAATTAAAATTTTACTCTTTTAGTCTGTAAGATGAAATAAATGCTTTTTTTTAATAAATAACATATTAAACGTATTTTTCATTTTATAATTAATTATATTACACAATTTTGTGTTTGGTTGAGTGTGCGTGACGAAATTATTTGTGTTACAAATTTAAGCAAAAAACAAAATCTAAATTTTTGTGGTTTAGCTTTTAAACATATTGTAATATTATTGACAAGAGATAGTTGCAAATTAAGATTTAGATTTATTAATATTTTAGGGATTCTTTTATAATAATTTACTTGCTTTAAAGAATCTTCAAATTTAAACTTTTGTAATTTTAAAAATATTTTTATTTTTCGATAATTGTTGCAAAAAAATGTAGTGTAAATTTAAAAATTTATCAAAAATTCAAATTTTTATTTTACAATGTTATAGTTAAATTTAATAAGTTTCTTATTTTAAAAAATTGTAATTTATTTTTACAAATAAAAATTTTAAGAAAGACACCTTGTAAAATGAAACTTTTGGCATTTTTTATTATGCAATTAGAAACTTCAATGTTTTTATCGTTTAATGATATTTTTAATAGAATTACGCCTGAAAACGTTACATTTCTTAATGAAAAGAATCAACACGTAAACCAAGGTTACTTAGGAACATCAGATAATATAGTTAATGAAATGTGGAAATATTTCTGTAAAAATAGGCAGTTCTTAGAAACAATTACTAATATACGTAAACTTAAGCCAGAAGCATCTTTTATATGGCAACGAAGCTACTGGAAAAAAAATATTGAAGATTTAATTCGTAGAAGAGTTCACATAAGTCAGATATCACCAATTTTTTTAGATCTTTGTGATTCTACGTGGGAAATTGTTGAGTTTATTTTATGTACCGTAGATTTACGTAATTGTAAAATTAAAGTAGTTTTTAATTGCTTTTTAGAAGAATTACCTACATCCTTTGAGCGAGTCAAATGTAAATTTGTATTTCCAGGAATTACTAAAAAAAATAAAATAATGTTTTTGAAAAAGTGGCACGACTACGTTTACTTTGAAAAAATTATACTAATACAGAAAAAAAAAATGTTTAAAAATGCTAAAATTAAACCATCAAAAGACGAAAAAAAAAATAATTTATTATATAATCTTTATATTTTAGGTATCTATCACAGATTTTCAATGCTTTTTGCGGTAATAGCGCACATTGATAAGTATTTTAATTACATACCTATCAATAAAACTTTTCAATTTTTTGCAAAAGTGAAGCATAAAATTAAAAAAATCTTTAATATTTCTACAAAAGAAGAGAATTTAGAGCAAGAAAAAGATGAATTAGAAACACCTGTTGAAGTACTAGATGCTTTTAGTGATTTTATGAATTCAATACGTTTATTATCAACACAAGAAAGCTGCGGAAAAGTTGAAAAAATACAAAAACGTAGAAAAAGTACTGCACGAGATAATAATTCTTAAAAAATGGATAAAGTAAACAATCAGTTGTTTTTTACTTTTAAAATTATTAAAATTGATTTATATTAACAACTTCTTGGCATTGAACATTGTTTTTTTAAATAGCAAAATTATGTAATAATTAAGGAATGATTTTTTTAAAAAAATCGAAAAGATAAAAATTTAATTTCTGCATTTATAAATTAAATTTAAATATTTTAGTATAACAAATTTTCGAGTGATGATATTTAATGTAAGAAAAAAAGCACAACAGTTATAAATATATATTGTTGTAAATGTTAAATATTATTGAATTATGTTTCTTTATGATAGAAAGATTTTTAACATTTATTTGAACTGTAAATTAAAAAAATTCTATATGTTAAAAAAAATGAATTATTATAAGTAGTAAATCCTAAAAGCACTGGTATGGCACAGCGTGCACAAGCAAAATAAGATAAATTTACACTTCTCATATTCGAATAAATTAATAGTTGTTAAATAAAACTATATAGATTAAATATATTTTGTTTCAATATTTTCAGTCTTTTTAAAGACTAAATAAACAAAGTAAATGTAACAAATATTTTATTTATGCAAATTATTATTTATAAACCCAGAAATTTGAAACATGCATGATTATGAACAAGTAAACAAAGAAATTGAAGAATTTATAAATATGAAAGACAAGAAACCTTTAGTTTTTAATCAAGAAAGTAAAACTATTTCATCTGATAAAAAAGAATTAATAACACTACTTACTGAATTATTAGATCTTTATAAAGATATTCAATTAATGTTAGAAACAAAAGATTTTGAAGGAGTAAAAGACAAAATTATTAGTGGAGATGTTAAAAATGCTTTAGTATGTGAATCACTAATGAAAATTTTAAAGGATGAATGTGCAGAAAAAGCAGAAATAAAAAATCTATGTCAAAGTGAACGGTCCAAAATAAAAAAGCATGAAGAGGAAAAACAAACATTGTACTTGAAAATTAATAAATTAGAAAGTGATTTGGATTTTACTAAAAGAAGTAATTCGGAATTAAGTAGAGTTATTAAAGATCAGAAAAATCTATTGATTGCTTCAAAAGAGAAATTAGAATTAGAACAAAAATCCTGTGAAAGTTTAAAAAATGTTAATAAAGAATTAGAAATATTAAGAAATAAAGCATATGACAGAGTTCAGACATTTGAAAAAGAACTAAATATTTTAAAAGAAAAATTACTAGAAAAAGACAAAAATCTTAAAAATCAACAGGTTCAGCTTAAAGAGACTGATAAAGAAAAAGAATGTTTAAATAAAAAAATTCTTAATCTCGAGAAAACAAATGAATCTCTAAAAAAAAAGATTGATATTAAAGAAAAGGCACTTGAAATTTGTAATGCAGAGCTTGCTAAAATGATAAATAAAGCAAAAAAAGAAGAAGAAATGATTGAAGAGATTAGAGAAAAATCTTCCTATTATGAAAGGCTTTATAAGGCAACTAACAAACAAAATGAGTATTTAAATGCGCAACTAGCAAGAATGATTAACTACGAAAATGTTGAAAAACTAGATAAGAATGATTTTACAAATTCAGATTTATCTTTGGTTACAACACAAAGTAAAGAACAGGCGTACAAAAAAAGGTGTAAAAAATACAAGAAAAAATATAGAATGGAAAAGATTAATAAAGAAAAAAGGCAAGAAGAAATAGACGAAATTAAGAAAAATATAGAAAAGCTTAAGATTGAAAATAAAAAATTACAAAAAGAAAGAGAAACGGCTATAGCAGGAAATAATGAAATTTCTACCACTTTGATGCAAAAAGTAGAATCATTATTGGCACAGAACATGAAATATCAAAATATGTTAATAGACAACAAAGATAAAAAGTTCGATGCTACAATTACTAAAATAAATAATAATGAAAAAGAACAAACACTTAATGAAGAAGAAAGACACTTTAATGAAAGTTTTAGAACTGTAAAAGAAGATAATGATAGTTTATTAAACTTTAAATTACAAAATAACAACAACTTGACGGTACCTAAAAATAAAGAAATAATGTATAATGAAGTGTTTGGGGATGCGGGAGAAACAAAAGTTCGTGGTGAAAATGACTCCACATTATTTTTGGATACAGGTAATCTTCGTAGACCTTTTAAATTAGCGAACGAATATGATGAGATACCCGAAGTTACTATTAAAAATAAGATGTTTAATAATACACCTAAGTTAAGCATTCCTAATAGATTTTTTGCACCTCCTAAAAAAGACGAAATCTTTACAGACGATATAAAAAGAATTCCAAAAAATAATTATCAAAAAAAGGAAGAAGATAAAAAGTCTGCAGATAGTTCTAAATCAGTAAAAACAACTTCATCACTTAAAGACATGTTAATAAAGACTGAAAATTTACAAAATAAATTTGAAAATCTTGAAAAGCAATTAGAAGAAATAAATGAAAGTGAACTTCCACCAACCAAAAAAATTCAAGACCAAATTAGAGCATATACAGACTATTATTATTCAGACTACCTTGATTTTTCTAATGAAAATGATATTTTATAGAGCATGCCTCCTTTTAATTTTCCCTATCATAAATCTTATTTTTATTTGTTAAAAATAAAAATATAAAAAAAGATTTTCTACCCATGAAAATGGCTGACATTAAGAAAAAAATTTTGATGAAAGTCAGAAGAATTGAATACAAGCATGTTAATTTTCCTGAAGAATATATTGAGACTGAACGAAAATATAAAAAATATAGGGATAATTTTAATAAGGTAGGTTCAAGTATAGCCTCACTTATGAATTATGAACATGGGGGTAATGCAAAGAAGAAATTGTACCAAGGACTTAGTATTATAAGCAGTGTATCTAATTTAAATTTTTTAGATAATCATGATGTATTTGAAGCCATGAGCATTATATGTTCAAATTTTGCGGATGAAGATAATGACAAGTTACTTAGAGAAAATAATAAAATGGCTACTGCTTATCGTAAAATATCTGAAGCAAAAATGAAATTTAATGAAAATTGTGCAAAAGAAATGGGCGTACTGAAGAATTGTAAACAAAAGATTGAAATAGCCAATAAAGAAAGAGAAAATGCTAAAATTTATAGGTACGATTTAGAAAATGCAAAAGAAAATGAAAGTAGTGAAAATAGGGAAGAGTGTGAGAGATTTGAAGAATTGTTTAATAAGTCATGTGTACAAGCTTTGTCTGCAATGAATGATTTTTTAGGAGATGATGGAGTACAAGGAGTTTTAAAAAAAGTATTAGAATACAATGTAGATTTTTTTAGAGTTGGCCTAGAAGCACTAGAAAAGGCGAAATAAATTTTATTTGTTAAATTTTTATATTTTTTATCCCAATTTATGACAGTATTAATTTTAAGCAGTAGGGGATCATCTTCTCAGACCAGATATCTAATTAAAGATATTTGTAAATTTATTAAATGTGAAGAAGAAAGCAAATATGATATTAAACAGAACATAAGAGCACTGGTTGACTTAGTTGATTTACATAAATGCGAATCAATAATTTATTTTGAGACTACAAAAAGAAATGAGCGGGTTTGGTTTGGACTTAGACATGGAATTTCTATAAAATTTAATGTATTGAATTTATACACTATGAAAAATTTGAAATTTGCTGTGAATTGTTTTAAGGATTGTGGACATGTTTTAATGTTCAGTGAAGATTTTGATAAGATAGATTTTCTTGTTTCTATTAAAAAAGTATTTACCGAAGTTTTTAAATCGAATGAAATTAAAGATAGAGCTTTGTGTTTTTACTGGCTTGATGACAAAATATGGATTAGAAACTATGTTATAGATGGAAATGATATGAAAGAAATTGGACCTAGGCTAGTATTAGAAGTTGACAAAATTTTAGAAAATTGTTTTAGTGGTTCTGTTTTATATTCTAAAAAAGTAGAAGATGCCAGGAACAAATATCAGGAATCAATAAATCATAAATTATAATTTATTTATTAAAATATTTGCTTATTAATTATATTAAATTTGTTTTTATACGTCTTTTTAAAAAAGTAAATGTTGTTATTCCAATAGACATTTCTTTATTTGTTTGTGTATTTATTTAATTAAATTTGGCGGGAGATACAAAAATTATGACAATATTAAAATAAATATAATACAAAAATGTATAAAATACAATATTAAACAAATATCAGATTTTTAATAGCAAAATATTTTTTTTAATTTATCTCTTTTATTTTAAAAACAGTTAAAAACTTTAAATTAGTAAAAAAAGATGTAATTTTTATAAAAACAAACTAGAAAGATTTTAGAATAAAAATAAAAATTTTAGATACCCCTAATGAGCACAAGTTTTGAATCTTTTGAATCGTCTGAAGATGTCTCAAGTACAAGTAGTGAAGAACAGGTTGTCAGAAGAAGAGGTAGACCAAAAAAATGGGAGGTTCAAACTGTAAGGAATATTCATAGACCCAACAATGTCTTATATGATGCACCACTTGGTCATCATTATGTTCAGCCACAAGGTAATAGAATTTTACATGTTAATCCACTTGTTCAACGAGGCTTTCACACTAGTTTTAATATTCAACCATCGCATATGAACTTTCAAAGTATGCCGCAGATGAATTTTTATCAAAATCCACCGCCACAAGCTACTTTCAACGCACAGCCGAAATATTCGTATGTTAAACCAGTGCAACAGCCGTTGTATAAATCAAGAAAGGAAGAAAGGTCGACGTATGTACCAGAGAAGCGGCAGAAGAGAGCAGCTGCGGCTACTGCAGTAGCCTCAGAAAGGCGAGATATAATGAATGATGATGATTTTGAACCTACAATTGAATATGAAGAAGAAGATGCTATCGAGAAGTTACTTAAATACGATGAAGAAACAGATTCATTTTTGGTTAAATTTAGATACTTAAGTTATTTACACTGTGATTATGTTAAGAAATCGGAAATTACAAAAACGAAAGGAGGAGCAATAAAAGTTAAAAGATTTAGACCACTTGTTGAACCATTTGATCCTGATTATATTAAAGTAGATCGAATTATACATGAGGATTTTAGGAATGGAAAAGTATATTTAGTTAAATGGAAAAAATTAGCTTACGAATTAAGTACAGAAGAAAAAATAGATGACGTGTGTAAATGTGAAGGATTTGAAGAAGAGTTAAAAAAATATCGCGATAGGAAAAAGATACGTGTAATGAGGCATGGGCTCGAATGGCGACCTCCGAGGGAATTGCAAATTAAGTTTGAAGAATCTCCTGTATTTAAAGGTGATAATAAATTAAGGGAGTATCAACTTGAAGGTTTAAATTGGCTACTTAACAGGTGGTATCATAAAATAAGTTGTATTATGGCTGATGAAATGGGTTTAGGAAAAACAGTACAATCCGTTGTGTTTGTAAATAGTTTATTTACTAAATTTAATTACAATGGACCAGTTTTAATTGTTGCACCTTTAAGTACTCTTGTTCATTGGGAAAGAGAGTTTTTTGCTTGGACTGATTTACGAGTTTTAATTTATCATGGAAGTATACAAGGTAGAAATATGATCGCAGAATATGAATTTTACTTAAAAAGTGCTACTAATAAGGTTGGGTTGTTTGATGTAATGATTACTACATACGAAATGATTATGGCAGGATTTGATCATATTTCGCAGTTTAATTGGGCTGTTGGTATTTTTGATGAAGCGCACAGATTAAAAAATGCATCTTCAAAAGCTGCTTCTACTCTTAGAAATGTTAATTTTAGTCACAAAGTTTTACTAAGTGGTACGCCTTTACAAAATAATATAACTGAATTGTGGTCATTATTAAATTTTATTTCTCCATCAGAATTTAATGACAGTGCAAAATTTTTATCAGATTACAAATTAGAACAGGCTGCTGATGTTGAAAAATTACAAGGACTTTTAAGACCTTTGATGTTGCGTAGAATGAAAGAAGATGTAGAAAAAACAATACCGATGAAAGAAGAAACTATTATAGAGGTTGAACTTACAATGATACAAAAAAGATATTATAGAGCGATATTGGAGAAAAATTTAGATTTTTTAACTAAAGGTCATAAAGATTCAGCACCTAATTTATTAAATGCTATGATGGAATTAAGAAAATGTTGTATACATCCTTATTTAATTAAAGGAGCTGAGGAAAAAATTATTGGTGATTTTGTTAAGAGAAAGAAAAAAGAAGCTGTAGATGCACCCGTTGTAGAAACGGGAGACTTTTCTGAACTTTCTTTTCCTTCAAATATTAATGCGCAAAAGATTGTTATTGCGAATAACATTGTTACTGATATTGACGAATATTATAAAATTTTAATTCAGAGTAGCGGAAAACTTGTTTTATTGGATAAGCTTCTTAATAAGTTATATGGACATCACAAGGTACTAATTTTTTCTCAAATGACTAAATGTCTCGATTTACTTGGTGAATATCTTGCTTATAAAAAATATAAATTTGAAAGAATTGACGGCGGAGTTAGAGGAGATCACAGACAAGCTGCTATTGATAGATTTAGTGACGCAAATAGTGATGGATTTGTATTTTTATTGTGTACACGAGCAGGAGGTGTTGGAATAAATCTAACAGCAGCAGATACTGTTATTATATTTGATTCTGATTGGAATCCACAAAATGATCTTCAAGCTCAGGCTAGATGTCATCGTATTGGACAGACAAACGAAGTTAAAATTTATAGATTGGTTACAAGAAATACATATGAAAGAGAAATGTTTGATAAAGCTGGAATGAAATTGGGACTGGATAGGGCTGTACTACAAAAAATGACTTTTGAAGGTCATAAAAATGAGAAGGTAAAAAAGAAGGATGCCATTGAAATGTTATTACGAAAAGGTGCGTATGGTGTACTTATGGAAACAGATGAAGCCAGTAAAAAGTTCTGTGAGGAAGATATTGATCAAATTTTAGAAAGAAGAACTAAAGTTATAAAACATTCAGATGGAGGAAATGTATTCTCAAAAGCTTCATTTCAGGTCGATGAAGAAATAGACGATCCCGACTTTTGGGATAATTTACTTAACAAAAAACGCAACGAAGAAAATGAGGGAAGAGTTAAGAGACAAATGCGGAGACTTGCTAGAGATGAAATTTTTACCGAAGATCAACAATTAGAAATTAGTAAGCACATTAATTTACCTGTTCTTGGCGATAATGAGATAGAAAATAACGAAAATCAAATTCTTAAAATCTTTTTTACTTGTCTAAGAGATGGAATTACTCCATTAGGACTTTCATTTAGTGGATCTAAATTAGTAGAAAAAGGTGAGGAACCTTCTGTTGTAAAAGACGTTTTACTATATTTTAAATATTTAATAAAATATTTGATTGACCAGTTACCGAACCAAAAGATTAGAGCAGATTTTTCGCATTGTTTTGAACAAGTTTTAGATGAAAATTACGATCCCAGCTTTTTCGAAAAATATAAAGATTTGTACAATAAATTCGGCGAAAAATGTTTGTTGAGAATTCAGTTATTATTTATTTTGAATTCGCTTTTACAAACGGAATCGTTAAATGTTGAAAAAACTAGAGGATGGAATCAAGAAGATGATAAAAAGCTTATTGATTTAGTATTTAAATATGGATATGGAAATTATCCTGAAAAGATTAAAAATAAGTCAGATGATGAGTGTAATCAAAGACTTAGAAAAATAGTATCTACGCTTAACAGAATGAAAGAAATGGCAGAGATTGACAGTATTAATTATAAGGCGATAATGAAATTTGGACGAGTGACAGAGTTAAATGAAGATAATGTATTAAAATTTATTGGTGATAGAGATATTACTGCTCTTAAAGAGAACATTAATAATATATTAAATACATCTAAAAGATCTAGATCGCAAAATGATGCAAAATGTTATGAAAGAATTTTACTTCTCGATAAATTAGCAGAAGTGAATGATTTTTTCAATGTACGAAAAAGTAACGTGCCCCGAGGATGGACGAATGAAAAAGATATTGCATTAAGAGAGTATATTTTAGAAAAAGGACTGACTAACACTGAGGAAGAATTCGGCTTATCTGAAGATATGGCTGTAAAAAGATGTGAATCTATTATTAAAAGCGTAAAAGAAAAATCTGTAGAAGAATAAAAGTTTATTATTATTTTGAATGTTTTTAATTAATTTTTATAAATACTAATAAAAAATAGGTTTTTATTGTAGAAATAAAATATGGAATAAATGGCTTTGGTTAATTTTAACTTCATACAACAACAGTTCTATAAGTATATTAAAATATTTTTCGTAAGTATAAAGAAAAAACACGAGTTTTTAATATCAGAAAAACATTTTCCTTTTTCAGAATTTGTTTTAATACTTTAAAAGGAATTAAAATTTGATGTATCTTCTAATATACTAATAGATGCTTCCTAAGACGTTCAATAGATGAAAATGATACTGAAAACAACCAATTAAATAAAGCCATATACTTTAGCTAGAACTAAACTTTACACTGGTTTACTTAAAATTATTATTTATAAAAAAGACTTGTAAACGCTACTAACCTAATATTTCTGATAAACTTGTCTATATCTTTACTGTTCTACATTAAGTCGTTATATTATAAAAAACAAATATTATAAAGTCTCAATAAAATTTATATTTCAAACAGCATTTAATACCCCATGAGCAAGAATTCTACACATAAAAATTTATCAGATATAGAAAAAGAATTAATAAAAACTAAAGATTGGCGGTACAAAGGTGAGGTAGATAAATTTAAAAGACCAGTTAACTCTTTGTTAACAGAAAAAGATATCAACTATGATGTTGCAGAAAAATTAGAACCAATATCTAACAAGCAGAATATAGAAATTATGAAAATGACACTTCAAAGACTTAGAGAAGGCACTTTTGATAATTACGATTTTACTGTTACACAAATAGAAGAAGAAGAACTTGAATACAATGAAGAAGAGAATAAAGATGTAGTAGAGCTATACAATGAAATAGAAAGTGATTTGCTAAAAATAAGTGATTTTGGTAGCTTTGGATTTATGCCAGACACAGAAGTAAAAAGTTTTTTGAAGGCAGAAGTAAAACAAGATAAGAAGCGTAAAAATGTTAAATCATTAGAAAATATAAAAAATGTCACTGTACTTAAATAAATTTATTTTTTTATGTTTTTATCCAATTTTTTAAATAACTCTGATGCAGGAATGTCTTTCAAATCTTCAATATCTTCGATTGAGCCCTCGTCTGACAGCGTATCCTCATCTTCCTCTGAAATATCCGATTCGTCTTCTTCAAGTAATTTTTTTTGCCTTTCAAAGTCTTCTGAACTATCAGATTTAAATTCCTTGACTATTGAAATATCTTCAGTTAATAAATTGTCTTGTGAAGAATCTTCATTTTCAAGATTATCAGAATTTTCTAATTGAAGATTGTCATCCTTTTTTACACAAGCAGTTTGGTTTTCTCTGTAACCTTTGTCTTGAATTTTATTATTTTCTAGTAACAAATATTTCTTATACATTTTGTCAATTTTCTTTTGATTATTCTCTAATACCGTATTACATAACTTTTCCGACTGATAAAAAATTTGTTCAGAAGTAAACCCTTCCAAAAATAGTTCGTTACAGTTATATTTCTCGTTAAGTTGTTTATAAATTTTTTCTATCATTTCGTAATTATTTTTTTCTTTTTTCATAAAATTTTTACCCTTAAAAATGGGTAAAGTTACAAGAAAAATAAGAGAAGAGAAAAAAAAAGAAAGAAGCCCTAGACGTCTTAGTGCGGCCAAGTATCCTAGTATTACTGAAACTATCCAAGGTACAGTTGTAGATTTAGTGCACGAAAGAGGAAGGGGGGTACCCTTAGCTTATATTAAATTTAATAATGAGACATTTTCTGTTATTGCCACTGAAGGGATATACACCGGTCAAAATATTTTAATTGGAGATAATGCGCCTATAGCCATTGGTAATATTACAAAGCTTAAGAATGTTCCTGGTGGTATGGCAGTACATTCTATTGAATACGAATATGAAGATGGTGGATGTGTAGGAATGACAGGAGGTGCGTATTCTGTCGTAGTCAATCACAGGGAAGAATCTAATGAAACAGTCCTTGGATTACCAAGTGGACAAAAAAAGGTTTTTAGTAGCGAAGTAAGATGCATTGTAGGTGTTCCTGCATCAGGTGGTATAAAAGAAAAACCTTTCCTTAAAGCTTCTGTTGCCTATTACTTTAATAAAGCACATGAAAAGAAATGGCCAAGAGTGCGTTGTGTAGCTATGAACCCCGTAGATCATAAATTTGGAGGGGGTAATCATCAACATGTCGGTAGGCCTACTACAATATCTAAGAGAAGACCGCACGCACAGCTTATGGGTTTGATTGGTGCTAGAAGAACTGGTAGAGTTAAAGGAAGTAAAAAATAAATTTTTTATTTTATGCAATATTTTTTTACGATAAATATCATTTTATGCTATTAAAGATGATCTAAAAATCTTTTGTAAGTTAAATGAATGGTTTGACATTTGTGATTAAATAAATTAACTTATGTTTAGTAGTAATTAATTTCCATTAAATACATTTTGTATTTACATCTCCTTATTTTAATTTACAGCACATTAAAAATTACACATGTGTATTTTTTAATATAAATGCTAAGAAAATACATCTTGTACAAGAAATTTATATTAAATATGCATATAATACATCTTTACGAATTTATTCGAGAAATTACATGCACGACAAAGAACGTAATAAAAAACTTGGCATATAAGTATATTAATACATCTTACAAATATGATAAACTTAAAATAAACATTATAAATAAATTATTAGAAATAATTTGTCGCATGCAGCAGTTCTAAATCCTTCAATTATCAGGCTCAAACTAACACATGAAACAAATATTACATAAAGCGTTTAACAAGATTAAAATTATTTAATCTAAATTTAATAAACAAGAGTAACTAATACAAACGCTTTTTTTTCTTCTTTAAAAGCAACTCCTGCTCACCAGGATTCTGGCGATATAATAATTAATATAAATAACTTCTAACATCCAAATTAATTCTAAATTTTCGACTAAAAAAAGTAACAAGATAATTCTTTAATTTAAGTAAAAACAAACAAAATTAAAAAAAGCATAAATAAAACAAATGTTCCTCCTATGTAATACAGCCATGTTTTAAAATATTGTGGTTTAACACTTTTTATTAGTTTTACATTTTTAAAAATGCTTAACAATTTATTTTCAAATCCGGGCTGTAAATTTTCTAAATCCTTATTTTGATTTTTTAGTACATCGGAAATTTCTAGTGCTACATGTTTTAATGTTTGTACACGTGATCTAAGAATTGTGCCTTCATCATCAGATTCTTGTTCATAAGAACGCATTATAAAGGGTTAAATATAAATTATTACATATCCTAGTATTCAAAATGGTCTACTGTCTTTTTTGTTCAAGAAAATACAAAACTAAAAAGGCTTATAAATCACATTCTGAAAGTTTAACACACAAACAGAAAGAAAAAGAAATAAAAAAGGATGTTATAAGTTTTAGAAAGCTTTTTTTAACAAATTTCAGTTCATTTATTTATAAATATAATACTTATAAAGATTTAGAGGAGGTTTATAGAGGGTATATAAAAGATAATATTATTGGTTACAGAGATGTAGGTTATAAAAATATTGAAGCTATAATTAAAGATTTAACTGATCTTGTCGATGTAAAAGAAAAAGATAACAAATTTTTTGTTAAAGGGTATGATCGGTATGTACAAAACGAAGCAACAGAATGTGTATCTTGTACTTCTAGCGAACCTTTGAGTTTTGAAGAAATTTCTACTTATGAAGAATATGAAGGTAATCAAGAAGATTTACTTAATTTATTAAAAAATTGAATTTTTTTCATTGGTAGCAATAAAACAGTGTCTTAAATTAATATTTAAAAAATTTTATTGCCCTTTTTATGTCCGAAATTTCAAATAAAAAATTTAAATTTGAATTTAAATCTTCTATTTCTTTTTGGAGTGACACAAATAAAGATAATTTTGAAAAAGATTTACAAATAGCAGAAAGCGAATTGTCATTCACATCAGCTGAAATTAATTCAAAAACCGAATCTTTTAAACCATCTAACATTAAATTTATTATTCGCGACATTTTTAAATCTGAAGATAGTATCACATTGTATGGTGATGATGTAGTTTGCACTGTTGATGGCGAATGGTGCTCGATAGATTTCGAAATTAATACTAAAATAACCGTAATGAGCTGCTTATGCTGCGACAAAGATTTACAAAAAATTATAAAAGACAGTTATATACACGTATATGTAAATGATGAAGAAAATTATCTTTTTATTGAAGATGATCTTCTTACAATAACCAATCTTGTGTCTAGTATTCGATGTATTAATAATCCATATCTTAACGGTAAAATAGCTGACATAGGATTCACTTTTAATGATAAATGTTTGGTAAATGGGATTATTTTACATGAAATAATGGAAGATTGTATCTTAAACCAGAATTTTAAACTATCCTACATAACAAAAAGCATTAGTGCTGGAATTAAAAAAAATCTTATGAATATTTACTGCTGTAATACCAGTGAAAAAGTAGTTAGAGATGATATAACTTCTTTAATAGGCAATATTATATCATTTAATAAACAAAATTTAGTTTTTAATGAATGTGAAAAGCGCATTGCTTCCCTTTCAATGAACTTAAAAGGGAATGTCGATGCTGTAGGTTTAGAAAATAATATTGTTTTAGAAATTAAGAGCGGAAAATCTATGGATATTTCTCATAAAGCACAAGTAATTCTTTACAGTCTTATTCTTAAGGAGAAATATAGGACTAATTTTCAATCTTATCTTTTTTACATAACTGCTAATAATTTTGTCAATGTAGATATTAAACATTCTGAAGTTAAGTCTCTAATGATTCTTCGTAATAAATTGGCTATGCACAATAGTATTACTAATTGTAGCTGCTGTGAATATGATCCATGTAGAATTATACAAAAAATTCTTAATCTGTCTGATTCTCATTGGTTAAAAAAAATGTGGAATGCGTTAGAAAAGGAAGAAAGCTTTAGATTAAAAGAAACATGGCATTTAGTTAAATTTAAAAAGCAATGCAATCAAATTGTAGTCTTTGCTTATGATAGTAAAAATATTGTAGTAGATGATATTTATGTAAATATCTACACCGAAGATTTAGTAAAGCTATGTAAAGGTATTATAAACGAGATGGATAGCATTTTTCTACACGTTTCACTTAGTGAAAAAATTAATTTAGAAAAAAATAATAATTATTATATTAGTTTTGGAAATAGTGATGTGTTTTTTAAATTTATGAGATATAGTTTAATATACATTGCCTATTTTAGATATTTACAAAAAAATAAAACAGGCGGATTTTTTTTGCCTGATGAAGATAAAGGATTTTTTGAAGAAGAAGATTCGTTTGAATATTTTAGCAGTGACGAGATAGAAACTTCTAAGGTTGCTATGGGTGATAGTGTTGTAGAAAAAAATAATAATACGATTGTTAAAAATAATGTTAACACTGCAAATAAAACTCGAGATTGTTGTTTAAATAAACATTCGTTTGATGACACATGTACAAATAAATATGACGAAATCGAAAAAGATTTGAAAAAAAAGTATACTGAAAATCTTGCAAGCTCGTCACTCGACTCTGGCATATTTTCATCATTAGATAGACAGATAAATCACGTTATAGATGATCAAAAAAAATTATCCTTAGAAACCAATTCATCATCCTTTGCTTATTTTACTCCGTTGCCACCCGAACCAAAGAGATACAAATATCAAATTCCTGAAATTTATATGTCAAAATTTTTACGTTTAAATGAAAATCAGAAGGCTGCATTATATTCCGCACTGAATTGCGAAAATTATAAAATAGTGCATGGCATGCCGGGAACTGGAAAAAGCAGTGTTATTGTTTTGTTAATTAAGATTTTAGTATATTTAAATAAAAAGGTTCTACTGGTTTGTTACACAAATCTTGCTATAACAAATATATTAAGTAGATTAAAAACTATACGTAGCTACCGAGCATGTAAAGAAAATATTAACTTTTCTAGTGTGCAAGAAATAAAAACTTATTTTCGAAATGTCGATCTTGTAGCAAGCACTTGCTTTGGATTTCGAGATCCAATATTTTTAGAACGATCGTTTGATTATTGTATCATAGATGAGGGATCACAACAACATCTTCTTTTAACTCTTATTCCTATTTCTCTTTGTCAAAAATTTGTTATTTTTGGGGATCATTTGCAATTAAAACCTTTATCTAAATCTTGTACGGATCTTAATATGTCTTTATTCGAATATTTACTTGATGTTAATCATTCAGAATTGACTATTCAGTACAGAATGGGCCCAAATATTATGCGTTTGTCAAATGAACTTTTTTATGATGGCAAGCTTCAACTAGGTAGATCTATAGAAGATTCCGTTTGTTTTATAGATTCTTCTACTATAGAATATTCTAAATTTATAAAGGATGTATATGATACAACTATTCTGTGTTATTTTAATTCACAAGTTAAAATAACGAAAGAATTAACTGATTGTCAAGTAGAAACCGTTGATAGATTTCAGGGTTCTGAAGCCAATAATATTATTGTTGTTTTTGATCCTGTAGTAAAATGCGATGTTATTGAGTCTAAAGAAAGATTAAATGTGGCACTTACACGAGCAAAAAGGAGTCTTATTTTAATAGGCGATTTGACAAAGATGAAAGATATTTATATTATTAATAGATTATTACAAATTTTAAATATTGTGTAATTTTTTCTCTAACACGTTTCAATATTTTTATAAAACGTAAAAAAAAATCAAAATAATGGCGGACCCTGAAACTAAAGAAGAACCAAAAGAAGAAGAAATTTTATTTAGTAGTAATACAGAATTTCCAGAAGAAATTAAAGAAAAGCTAAGAAGCACTTTAAAAGGAAAAACTGAGAATATTGAGCCTACGAAAATGAGTAGTCAACTTAAAGAGATGCTTGATAAAGATTTTGGCTCAGGATGGTGTGTGATTGTTGGAGGACATTTTTCTGGCGCTTTTACTTACATAGGAAATTATTATATTGAGATAACCGTTAAAGATATGGTTATTGTTTTATTTAAAACATTCAAACCTGAAAAATAAATATTTACACTAAAAAGTTTATTTTACTCTTTTAATTTCTAATTCAAAATTGAGTATTGAATACATTTTACCTCCTCCATATGAATCTGCTAAAGTTCTTTTGTCATCAACTGTTTTGTTCAAAAATAACTGGTCATCTTCGGTTAGTACATTAAGGCCTACTTTTTTTACTTCAGATATTTCTCCACCACTGGTTTCAAATAATGATAGTGAGCAACGATCTTTTACAACAGGATTGTAACTTATTTCAAAATCATCATCGTATTTGTCTTTAAGAAGAGTTTTCGTCAGTGTTTCGGGATTTTTAATTGTAATCTTTATATCATTTCTGCACGAATGACATTTCATTTCCCAATTGCACTTATAAACACCCTTTTCTTTGATCGAACTTTCATCTGTTATTATAACTACTTTAGGATGTGTATAATCACAAGCAGTACATGTTACTATGGCAGGATATGTCTGATCACAAGATAATCCTTTTATATTTTCAAATTCTCCTTTAACATATAATTCATACTTCATATTTAAGGGATAATTAAATTACAACAAATTGTAAAATGCAAACAAACCTTATAAACGAAATAAAACAAAATATTTTGAAATTTTTATTTCAATTATTATTGTAAGAAGATCTAAGATTTACAGCTTCATTGAGATATATATTTAGAATAGTATAAGACGAAATTTTTTCTAGTTTTACATTTGAAAGATCTTTCGATTTTCGAAATTTTCTAAACCAAATTTCAACACATTCAAATGACATTCCTAATAAATATCCTAGATCTCTTTTGTTTTTTAATGATGGAAATATTGATTTTCTAAATACACTATATAAAACATTGTTTTGTAAACTTGTCAGTTCATTATACATAATGTTATTTTTGTAACGAATATTCGTTCTTTGTAACTTAACTAGTCCAATAATAGCATCTGCTTCATGTTCCAATTTTTGTAAAAGCATTTTGATGTATTTATGCTAAAATTTTATTAAATGATAATAAATTTATTTTACAAACAAAGTTTTTCTAAAATCAAAAATTTTATTTTAGAAAGATATACATTCTATCATATAATTTATCATGTACATTACAGTTAAATAAACTTTATTTTTATTAAATTTTAATTTAAAAGCATAAAAATAACGGTTTTTTATGATTTGCAATTTTAAAGATTGTGAGGTGGCAATAATTCTTATGAAGTTTAAGTTTGAAAAACAAGAAAATTTTAGAAATTGCAAAAAAAGCAATCATATTAAAACTAAAAAACAAGTAGATTTATTGAATTGTGTATTTAGTTTGGATCCTTATCCTAGGAGAAATATAAGGGTGCTTTTAGGAGATCTTTTTAATTATAAAAGTCAAAGACCGATACAGATCTGGTTTCAAAACAAACGACAGACTTTTAATGTGTGTAAAGAAAATCTAAATAGAACTGAATTAGATGAACTTTGTTTTTTAAATTTGTTGGAAAAATATTTAGACAGTTTATAATAAATTAATTTTCATTTAATATTAATTTATAGGATAATTAATGATTATCTAGAAAAAGTTACATCATTTTTTAATCAAACGAATTATTTTATAATACAATTGTTCCAACATGCTACCAATAAAAATGTACAGGAGTTTAATTTTAATGATTTGTTCATCTAATTATAAAAAAAATATATTTAAGTCCTACAATGGAAAAAGAAACTGAAAATTTATTAAATCTTGGAGCTACCGCCAAAAAAATACTTGAAAATAATAAAGGAATTTTAGCGGTTGATGAATCTCCTAGTTCTATGGAAGATAAGTTTAAAAATTTTGATATATCAAATACAGAGGAAAACCGTAGAAAGCTACGCGAATTGCTTTTTATGACAGAAGGATATGAAAAATTTATTGGTGGTGCAATATTAAATGAGGAAACATTTTCACAGAAAGCGAGTAATGGGAAATTATTAGTTGACATTTTGATTGAAAAAAACGTGTGTGTAGGCATTAAATTAGACAAAGGACTACAAAACTTTGAAGATGAGGAGAGAATATCTGTCGGCCTTGAAGATTTGGAGAATAGAATACAAAATAGTTTGTTTGAAAAGGCTGTCTTTGCTAAATGGCGATCATTATTTATCGCGTCGAAAGATTTACCTACTATGGATTGCATAGATGAAAATTGTAAAATTCTCGCAAAATACGCAAAAATTTGTCAAAAGTATGGTAAGGTGCCAATAGTAGAACCCGAGTTGTATTTTAAAGGTAATTATCAAATAGAAGATTCTAAAAAACATACCAAACAGATTTTAAGTCATCTTATAAGGTATTTAAATGATGAAGATGTTTATTTACCAGGAATTCTAATTAAAATGGGATTTGTTACTCAAGGAACTGAATCAAGCGTACAAAATTCCTATGAAGGAGTAGGACTGGCCACCTTAAATGCCATGATATCTACAATTCCATGTGGAGTACCCGGAGTTGTGTTTTTATCAGGCGGGCATACACAGGAAGATTCTATAGGTTACCTTTCAGCAGTAAACAATTATAAGGTTTTAAAAACTTGGGATATAAGTTTTAGTTATGGAAGAACATTAACTGATGCACCGATAGCAGAATGGAATGGAAAGGATGAAAATATTAACAAAGCACAAAAAGCCTTCTTTAATTTAGCTAAAAGGTGTTATATGGCAAACAAAGGTAAATAAACGATGAAAAAAAATTATTTTTTTAAACTGTCTTTTATTACAAAAACTGTATAATTTTTTACAATACTATTATTTGTGTTTATTATACCACATATTGAAAATTTTTTTGTTTACAACTTTTCTACCCTTAAAATGGAAAGTGACAACAAACAAGAAGATCAAGAAATAGTTGATTTTCTAAAAAATTCTGGTTATGATGAGCCTTTAATAAGAAAAGCATTGTCAATGACTAAATCAAGAAATATGGATGATGTTGTTGATTTAATAATGAAATTAGAAAATGAAAAGATTGAATGTAAAGTAAAACGTGTAGTTAAAGAAGATCCTAAAGTTAACAGAGAAGAGGCTACCAGAATATTAGAAGAAAACAAAAAGACAATTTTAGCAGATCGCCGATATAGAGAAGAACTTATTAGAAGATATCAAGAAGACAAGAAAAAAAATGAGGAAGAATTAAAAGAAGACATTCCAGAAGAAAAAGTGGTTGAAATTAAAGCTGATTGCGTATTCAATATTAGATTTCCTGATTCAAATTCACTTAAATTATGTTTTAAAAAAGATGATACATTAGAAGATCTTTTTAACAAAATTGAGGAATTTTATGGCAGTTCAAATTTCGTGTTGTATAAAATGAGAGATAATGTTCCTATAAATAGATCTACAGAAAAATTACAAAATGTAAAAAAAATTTATCCAAAGGCAGCTTTATATATTGAATAAACATTTTGTAATTTAACCTTGTTGTATTTTATTGTTTATTAATTTGTTTTGTACCCAAAAATTCCTAGTTTTATAATAATTGATTTAATTAGCCAGTAACTTGTAGCTATCATCCACCTGTTTATTTTTTTATATCATAAAACGAGTTTCTCCTTATTAATGTATTTACAGTATTGTATAAATTTTATACACAAAAACAGTTATTTTAAACACACTCTGCACTTCTTTGAAAAGCTTTTGTTTCAGAAGCCTCTAATATTTCAAGCTATAAAATGTTACATAACTATACCCTTGTCATGTCCAAGGTTTCAGAGGAAAGAGAATTAATAAAAAAATATTTTTATAGTAACGAACTATCAGATTTAGAAATGAAAAAAGGATTAAATGATCAATTCTCTTACATTAATACTTTTTTAAAGTATAGACATAAATCAGAAGAATCTCAAATCAAAAGAAAAATCAAAAATTTATCTACCATCAATATTTTGTATTCTGTTTATATTTCATATAAAAATATCGATAAATCTTTTATTAAAAAGCTTGAAAAAATACGAAATGAATTATCAACAAGAAGTGATTTATTTGAAGCAGTGATAGATTTTTTAGAAAATAATGAAATAATTTACGACGATTTATATTTTTGGCATCCTGGGTTAAAATACAGTGATGTTTTTTCTTTAATTTACGATTTAATACCAAATATTGTAGAGGAATATAAAATTTATTTAGTTAATAACTTAATTTTAGGTTTAGAGCCCAAAACACGCATTTTAGAAGTTTTTAAAAATAGACTTAACAAGTCTTTAGATGATTTTGATATCATAAATAAAGACCTGGTGCTGTTTAAAGTGTTTCAAGATTTATATTCAAATCATGAGAATGAAGATTTTGCTTTAGGAATTAAGCGTAAAGAAATTGCTACAAGAAAATCTATTAGAAGACCGCACAAAAATTTAACCTTTAATGTATTGAAATTCTATAAAATAGTAACAGCCTACTTTTGGAAAGAAAATGATTTAGAAGAAGAAAATTGTGAAGAAGTGCTGAACATGATAGGTGGTGTAGATTTAAAAAGAGACTATAATAAAGACATAGAATTAGTCTTATATCCTTCTCTTTCTTTGATAGAAATAGAAATTAAAGGGAAAAAAATAAATGTTAAAATGGCGGTGTTAAATGATTTAATCGTTCAAAATAACAGATCTAAAAACTTTTGGATGCTAAATGGAGTTATAAATGAAAACTGGGAGTTTTTGTAAATAAAATATAAAGAAATTAAAGTTTATTTTTTAAATGCGTTTTGTAGCAAATAATACTGACTTATATTATATTAAACTTTAAAAGAAATAAGGAATATATTAAAATATAAAGTAGTAATATATTTTGTTAAGTTAACAAATAACGTGTCTATTGATAACAAAACTTCATTATAATCAACAGTAACCAACTGCACACACCATCATGATATTTAAAAACGTCTTTGGGTTAAACGTCAATTATTTAAAACACTATTAAAACTATTGGTCATCTGTAAACAAAGAAGATCATTTCTTTTGCTATTCTAAACTGTGTTGATCCCAACATATTTAAATTTATATGGATACATAAGAATGAATAAAATAAACTTAATATTTGTATTGTCGTGTTCTGTATAATATTATACTTTTAGTAAAATATTTCTAGTATTTCTTATCAAATACGGTTAAATTTGTTTTATAAAAGATATTTACTTTATTTAGTTCAGTTTTAAAAAAATTCAACAGCTTTATTTTGAATGCTTAAGATAAATCAGTAAATAAACATAATTCTTAAACAGTAGTTGCAAAAGAAAAGAACAGTAAGTTAATAAATTCGTCTATATGAATATTTAATATTCGTAATAAATTTAAAATCTTTTAAAAAATCATTTTAGAAATAAATTGCGAATAAACTAAAAAAGATTTTTTTACTCTTTTTATTTCTTAAAGAAGTAAAATTTGCAGCAAATTAAAATTAATATTGTTGTAAGAATTAAATACAACTACTAATATTCTTTTTTTCTTTTTAATTATATTTTAAGAACAGTAAAATTAAAAAGTAAACTTTCCACATTCGTATTTTTAATTTTTTCATTAGCCAAATAAATAATAAAATTTAAAGCGATATATTTGCATTAAAACGCCCAAAACAAAATTTGCGACGTTTAAAATTTTTGACTAATTAAGTAAATGACAACATATGACATTGAATAAATTATGTTTTTATATACTCATCACCCCTATGAATATGACTGATGATAGAGAAGAGCGTTTTTATAAAGCAGTTACATGTTTATTACTTGGAATTGAATACTTACCAAATCTAAAAAATATTTATTATTTAAGAACCAGTTCTGGACAACATAGAAATAATTTTATGCGAAATAATTTTTTTAATGCTAGAGAGAGGCAATATTATCAAAAAAATTACTACAATTTTAATCCAAGAAGAGGAAATTACGAATTTCCATATATTAACAGAATTAGAAGAAAAAACAATGAACATTATGACTAGATAAATTTTTGAATAAAATTTATACAAAAATAATTCTGTTTTAAACATATTTTTACTAGAAAAAGAACTTTTTTGTATTTTTGTTAAATTAAAAAAATTGACGGTTAAAATTTTTTAATTAAATAAATTTACATTTTAACAAATTTAACAGAAAAAAATGTCCTAAAACATAAAACAACTTTTTAATTTACATTTATAATTAATTTCTTGATAAATATCATAATTTTTGTAAGCAAAATTATTTACTAAATTTGAGGAATAAAGGAAACACATACTAAATACCTCTAAATATTTAACAGAAAGATTTAACATGTCGTGTTTATTTAATAATTTCTAATTATTAAAGCCAAGTTTTACTCAAACAAAAATTAAAAACCATGAAATTAATTTAAATTATTTAACCGATCGGAAAATTTAAAAGATTTTTTATTTTAGCAAAACCAACTTATTTTTTACACTTTAAGATTAAATTTGTATTAAATATAGTTTTTTTTTGTTGTATGGTGTTATCTTGCATTAGTATAGCTTAAAGTTTAAAAATTTCTTAAGATCAGTCTTTTATTTTTAATCTACTGTACAATTTTATCCTAACGACTTTATTGTACCATTTAGCTATTACATGTAAAAAATTCTTTAATTTTGCAGTCTTTATTTAGTTATTGTGTCGAATAATTAATTATACCGCACTATTTTATTGTTCTTTAAATTTGGCTTTATAAAAATTTTACTATAGATAAAATTTTTTAAAAAAAGATTATTTTATAAATTTAAAGAATAATTTACCTAATCAAATATTTTACGAGAAAATTCTTAATTAAACTAATGACAACTAATCAAATATTTGTTTATATTTACGTTTATCTAGCAAAAGAATAAAATTAAAGATATTTTTTTGGGCTCAGATGTATTAACTGTTTATTATACGACATCTTTATATTGTCAAATAAAAATTGGTTAATAAAAATATTTTTTTTTCATATACACGCTCATTTTCGAAATAAGATATTTTTAAAACATACATTTTTAATTAATCTTTATTGTTGTTTTTTCGATTGCTACTATACTGATTCTAACATAAATATCTGAAATTTAAAATACACTAAGGTAAGGTAAATTTCCACGCGGTTAATTCATATACACAGCTTTATAATGTAATTACACCCTACTGCGTAAATTTTTAATGAGGTATTGCATCAATGTAAAGTGTCGAATTATTTTTGTAGATCGATGCTTTAATAAATTTGTCACTACTGTTATTTTAGTGTTAACAATTATTAAATTATCATAATATTTAAAATTTGTAAACATTTAGTTTTTTTGTATAATAATCTCCTTAATTTTAACGTATTTTTATTATAACGATAATTACTTTGTATTTTTCTTTTTTTGGTAGGCAAAAAAATAAAAATATCTTTGCTTTTTAATTTATCAATACTTTTTAAGAATATTAACAATTTTTATTATACTTAAGATATAAACTCTTTTTGTAATATTTTTGATTAATAAACTTTTCTTGTTTATTATTATTTTTTATTTCTTAAATTATATCCCTTATGAATGCAAAAATAAAAATTCTTAAATATTTAGAAATTACTAATAATTGTTGCTCATCTTTGCAATATATTTCTAAACTTTTAAATATTTTAGATATCTTTGATTTTGAAACCGTTAAGAATTTTTACTTAACATACAAGGATAGAAAAAAAGATATTAAAATAAATAATAAGTTGAGCGTAAGCATAAACTACATTTTAACAAGAAACTTTGAATTTTTAGAGAAAATAGATGATAGTTTTTTTATACATCTTCTTATTGATAACGAGGAATATTTCGAACTCTCGGATACGTTAGAACTAAGACTTATTGAAATTATAAATAAAAGTTCTGTTTTGGATATAAAGTTATATAAGTATATAACCAAGTATCATAATAATCTTATTTTGACAGAAACAAGTGCGAAATATATATTTGATGTATCTAAACTGATGAGCTACACAAAAAATGATATAAAAGTTATAAGACAAATATTATTAAAAAATCGCGAAACTAAGACGAAAGAAGAAATTACAAAATATATTAAAACACAAGGATGTATTAATAACATAATCTTGTATAATTGCTTTATTTTACAAATTTATAATGTTTCATATATTAGCAACATAGACCTAGCTACAGTAAAAAAAATAATCTGCTACAGCCACTTTATAGAACATATTAATAAATCAAGAATATTACAAAGATATTTTGTAAGTTTAAGAGATTTAGACTGCATGTTAAAATATCCTGAATATGCTATTATTGATGATTTAATAAAATATTGCAATGATAAAAGCGAGGAAAAAATATCGTCTTGTTTAGATGGATTACAAGATACTAATGTAAAAAATAATTTGCACAATGATCAAAATAAACATACACAGGTTGATTTTCCCATACAAGAAATACTTGTGATGTATTTAATTAACAAAAAACATACAACTATTTGTGACATACAACAAATTATAAATAAATTGGGCCTAGAAAATAAATTATTGATAGAATTTTTTAAAATTAAAGGTTATGATTTGCAGGAAATAGATCCTAAACGTATAAAATTAAATGATCATGATAATTCTGAAAATGATAAATTAAAAAAAAGCACATCTATTGTCGATAGAGTAAATGCACGTGTGTTGTCTCTACAAAAAATTAAAGATTCTTATCCGATACATAATAATATAGAAATTAGTTTGTTAGCTGATGCACATGACGATATATTGTTTGATAAAAATCGTTTTTTTATGAACATAGATATGTACTTAAAAAGAATACACAATAAAGAATTTTCTTCTGATGAAGTTTGCAATTTAATAGATTTAATTTTTGAAATTTTAGATTTTAAACGTACATGTAATTTAGTATTAGATATACTAAAGAGTTATAGGGCATCAGTTATAGAAAAAATTCAAATAAATTTACTTAAAGTACTTGATGATGGTTTTTTTGAAGTAGAATATTTTGAGAATATAAGAAATTTATATAACAAATTATTAGTATTAAGTAATACATCAAAGACAAAAAAGAACAATGATACAATTTTAATAAAATTGTCTAAATATTGTAACTTTTTTGATAAAGAAATTCATATTGGAAATATCAAAAAATAAACTTTTCTAAAATAGAAAAATATTTATATTAGCTTTTGTTACTTTTTTATACATCTTAAATAAAATTGTTGCTTGAAATTTGTTTAGCCTACTTGATTGTTTTATTGTTAAATTTTTTGATTTAAAATGAAATTTTGATGGCATTAAATGAATTTTTTAATTAAATTTTTAAAAAATTTTTCTAAAATAAAATCAAAAAAATTTTATTAATTTTTTTTAGATTTAATAAAATGAGAATCTTCCAGATGTTTAACTAAAGTACTCTTATTTTTGTATCTTTTAGTGCATCCACCAAAATTACAAGCATAAGGTTTATTTGCATCTAAGCTATCAGGAGAATGTCCTTTGTCAAGATGATACTTTAATGAATATTTACTCATGTATTTTTTATAACATCCGGGATAGTCACAATGATAAACTCGAAACATTTTTCCTTCTCTAAAATAAAAACCTTCTCCATTAATAAAAATAACATTTTTAATTCTTTCTCTTGTTAACTTTTCGTTATCTGACAAATTATATGGATTAATACTTGACAACGACTGTGTCTGATATAATCCAAAATTAGAGAGTGCTGGTTTATAAGTAAATCCGGGAGATTGGTGAATGTCATAATTCTTCTGGTATTTTTTGTTTAAATATTCTTCATACTCTTCTCGCATTTTTCGATGATCCATATTTTGAAAAAAGGAGAATAGTTTTATACTAAAATTTATCAGGTGACGTCACCACCACTCTTATACAAAAATGATTAAATAAAATTGCCGTCTAAATATGTATTAAAAGGATATATAAATGTTTTTTTTAAACAAGTTGAAAATTATTTTAATATTTTAATTTTTTTATTTTACTTATTTTTTTATCCTTTAAGCTTTAATGCTTTATAAATTTATCAAATTGTAGATATTAACGTTTTTGACGTTGATTAAATCATTATTTAACAATTATTTAATTAAGATTATACTTTAATTTTACCATAATTTTTTTCAATTATCTGTTAATTTAATATTTTAATTAATCTAAATAAATAAATTCACAAAAGGATAAATAAATTATACCCTTACTACAATTTAATAAGTGAGAAGGACGATAAATTAAATTTTGTTTAAAAATTATATTGATGTATACAGAAGAATTAGAATATTTACTATTAAAATAGCTTGAATATATAGATAGTGTATTAAACTGTATAGAGTATTTGTTTAAAATTAATATACGTTTTTCTGCACAAAAACAAAACACTGTATAAGCAATATTTTCATCAAGTATTTGTTTGCAAAAGTTTTTTCGTAAATAAATAATAAATATATGTCCTGTTAAAGCAAAAATAAAAAATTTAATTAAGAATTAAAGAAAAATGTAAATGTATAAAAAAGGCTTTTGATATTATTTTCAAAAGTTATTTGCCATTTATTTTATTGAAATTTTTAAAATTAAGGGGTTAGAATTTTTGATAAAAGTTAGTAAATTCTAGTATATTTAACAAGCCTACGCCCCCCTGTTTAAGACAGAATTTTGGATTTGATGGTGGCTAGTATTTAATAATTACTTTTTTTTAAATGCGAACTATACGTTGTAGCAGCTCTTTTTGTGTTAAAATTATAAAATTGTTTCTCTTTTGTTATGAATAAACTCTACTTATATCTACATTCTTTATAATTAAAGCAAAAATATAACTTAAAAGAATATAACTAAATAATGTTTTGTAAAAATAAATAGAATTTTACTATAATGTTATCGCATATACAAAATACTTTACAAATTTAAAAAAAAGGAGGGTAAAAAAATGAGAATTTTTTAATTAATTAATATGTCTAGCTTTCGCTATCTTGTTTGAAACTATATCTTAACTTAATAAACGCATAAGGACTTTGAACTTGATAATTGACAGAATTTTGACTACCCTAAAATTTAAAATTTTTATCCCTTATTCTTTAGATTATGCAAAAGAAGAAAGAGTGCATAGCCTAAGAATATTTATTAAAAATGTTTTTTAGTAATTTTTAAATTTTTAAGACCAATAATATAATTAAAAAGTAATTGATATAAATTTTAATCTATTTTGTTTTAAATAACTCAAAATTTTCTGAAAATTACTTAATTTATATTTAACAAATATATTTGATTTTTATAAAAATGTTTAATTAAATTTATTTACGAAGCAGCTTTTTTTATTTTTTTCCTTCCATAGCTAAAGCTTATCTTCAAAATCTTACTTAGACAAAAAAGAGAATCTCTGTGTCTTTGCTAAACCCAATACTGTCCATTTGTCTTCTATACACTAAAGAGATGCTTTCTAATGTTTTTTAAGAATTATAGATTGGATGTGTGTCTCAATATGGTCTGTTATCTCTATCCTTCTTTTGTGTTGTTTTGACACTTAGTTACTACCCACCCTGTCCCAAGTTAAAACATAAGAATTTTTATATCAATATTTGTATTTTAATTCGTATGGTACAAAGTTCAAAAAAAGTCCGATAATTAATAAAAAAAAAAGTAATTCAATTTTAATAGAAAAAAAAATATTTTTGTAAACAAAATTTCTGTGCTTGTGTATCAAACTTATGTAAACAACCGTACTAAGAAAATAAATATATTTTATTTTAATTTAATGCATTTTTAAACCAAAATAGCTTTTTTGAATTTTCCAAATATATTTGTAATTCTTCTTCTTAACAGAACTTAAATAAAAAGGGTTAAAAATTTTAAATTTTGGGATAGTCAAAATTCTGTAAATTTCAAAGTGCATTAACCTAAACTGTAAAAACTTCAGCATTTTTATTTATAATTACTTTTTCAGACACACATAATTTTTCAATAAGCATTTTATTCAACCTTTCATCATGGCTTTCCTCAAAATTGTGAAATTTAATATAATATTTCCAATCATTACATTGCCATGTTTATAGTTGATCACACAATCGTGTTACCATAAAAACTCATTTCCTAGTATTAAATTATATGTGCAGTTGGCAAATACATAGGGTTCTATTAAAAACTCTTTTTTTAAATTTAGATTAAATTTAAGGCTACACTCACTCAGCTGTAGTACTCTCTTCACAGATTTATTATTTGCAAAAACAGTCTCAATTTGTTTGTTTTCTCAAATTGTCAATTCGCATTTATTTACTAAACCTCTTAAAATATAGATTCTAGTAGCTCCTGAGCCGATTAATGCTAAATGGTTTCGATTGAATATAATTACTTGTACCAATATATCATTTATATTCTCACTTTTCTCCAAAGTAATGGTATTGGCTTTATGACAATCCTTTTCACAGTTTTTATTTAACTTTATTGTATCGTAGGCATTGTGGCGATAATGTTTGCCCCAGCTTTAAACCTTTACTCCTTCTAAACTGGTCTTGCATTCGAACTGTTTCTTGTTTTTGTAAGAAACATCGCTGGTAGGTCTCAAAAATTGCTTTAATTCTTTTATAATAAGCTTGTAAAGTATGTTATTCGCATGATTCGTATAATTTTCTTCTAGTGTGAATGACTAATCCTTCTTCAAACGTATCCCATACCTTACGATTATATTCATCCTTTGAAATTTTATGTGAAATAGCGTAATAATTCACATATTGCTTAATATAGTTTAAATATTTATCAATAAAGCAAAACTTAACTTGTTTGGCATCAGCAAGCTTTTCTCTCCAAATAAAGGTTCTTTTTGTATCATAAGTAATAGTCATAATTCTCTTTATAATCATAGATAGTTTTTCTTTAAATATTTTTTCTCCTAAACTATCATCTGTCAACAATCCCTTAAGAATTGTTGTATACTGTTATGCTGTCCATCCATTTGCTGAACACATTTCTAAATTTGTCAAATCATTAAATCATGTCATATTCCCTGACATCATCAATAATGTTATTTCTTCAAAAAATTTAATCCCCTTGTTTTTCACCGACCACATGTATCTCAGCATCCTTTCATTACAATTCAAACTTCCTTCTGTAATGCTATTCCCTAATGTTTTTTCACCACCTTACGCATAGTTGTGGAAACCTCCAGGTCTTCTACCTGTGGCTAAATAAAATTCAACTTAATTCTTAAAAATGTTCTTTATAATTTACACTAGCTAACGCTATCTTGCTTAAATCTGGACGCGAATTTGATAAACGCCAATATACTTTTTTTAATTTTAAAAAGTAGGCATGTCTTTATGCGTGTTATTGTATCATTTAAAATTATAAAATGCCTTCTTTTTATAATTAAACTTTGTATAGCCAAAATTTTTAATTTAAAAAACTTATTAAAACTTAAAAGAATACACAAAAAATTATTTTATCATTAATAGAATCCCTAAGCTCATTTCATTGCTTTAAAAAAAAATTGAAGAATTTTTCAATTTAAAAAAAGAAGGGTTAAAAAATAAATAAAGATTCAGATTCAAATTTTTTATATATATTGATGACTAGCTTGCTCTATCCCGTTTTCAACGGGCTCAAATATAATGTATGTTTTTTCTTTTTAATGGTTAAATGCGCCTTTATGCGTATACTTATTATTTTTAACTACAAAGTGGCTTTTTTTATTATAAATTAAAATTTGCTATAGACACCCTGTAACAATTTACAAAATTAAATAAAATTAAAGAAAAATGCACGAAAACATTGTGTTGTGCTTTTATAATTAATTTTAATACTTGTGTTATTCTTTCTTAATAAAAAATAATAAGAATTTTACAAATTTTTAAAAAGAAGGTTTAGAAATAATAAATATTCAGATTCAAACTTTTTATATATATAGATAGCTAGTCAATGCTATCCCGTTTTAAATGAAATTGTAAACACGATGTATTCTCTTTTTCTCAATCTGTGTTATATCTTTGGCCTTGTATGTATTGTTTAAAATTATTAAATTCATCCTTTATCAATAATTAAACGTTGTAATAATCACTATTCTATGATATAAATAATTTTATAAAATTAAAGGAAGATGCACAAAAATATTGTGCTGTTCTTACAGAAATAAACTTAATACTTGTGTTATTTTTTCTTAATAAAAAATACAAAGAATTTACTAATTTAAAAAAAGAAAGGTTAAAAATTAAATCAAAAATTTTCCTTATCTTTTTAAGATATAGTAGAGTAGATAGATATTTTTACTCATTCTAATCAAATTACTGCCGTTATTCATAAATTTTATTTAAAAATATTTTTGAGGAACCAAATTGATTTTGTTTATTATATTTTAAAAGCTGTTAACAGAATTCCACACTTTGTTTTTTCAGTTAAATTTTATTAGAAATTATAGACTTTATTTCTACTAATTTTATTTATAATAAATTTTATATAGTTTTATCTAGCTAAATATAGCTTTACAAAAAATAAACTCTTTTTTTTCTGTAGATTTGTTAAAACTTTTACTTTGGTCTAAAAGTAAAACTTCTTCTGTCATTGCTTAATATATCTGTTGCACAACAATCAACACTTTTATATACTGATCTTAACATGAAAGCATTAAACAAGTGATTTATTTTTTTTGCTTATTTCAGAGTTTAAACATAAACATAAAATGTACCAAAAACAACCATACGTCTTTTCTTGTATGAAAAAGTAAAAAACTTTAAGATCAAAAAATTTTTTCTAAATATTTTGCATTTTACTCAAAATCAAATAAAAAGACACATCTATTAATCTTATTTTAATGCTCTAATTATAAAAAATAAAAATTTAAATTACTACGATTTTTTCAAAAATTATTTTACACGTCATTGATTGCCTTATTTTTTAACTATTTTAAGATTTTATAAAAATGTTAAATTATTTATATTCTTGATTAATAAGATATTTATTTATCTATAAATTAAAAAAAATATACACCCTATGGATATCAATGCACATTTTAAATTTTACATTATATCAGCTTATTGTATTTTCACAATTTGCACTATTGTAACAGAGTCTCTTTTAACAAAAAAATTTATGAAATTTGTAAAAAACTCTTTAATTAGCGATCTTACAACAATGGCAGCGTATACTAACCAAATGTTGTGTACAAAACTGCTGATGTTACTAGAGATTTCTTATGCTGCTGATTTTTATTTTAATAAGGATATTAACAGTCTTGTACAGATTTTTATTGTAAAATTAATAAATGGAATGGTTTGGCTAAACTTAGGCAACAAAATTAATACTGATATTGATTTTGCAATTCATATTATTATTACTTTTATTTCTATGTGTCTCATTTTTTGTAGTTTATATTTTGAGTACAGTTCTATTTATAAATATTATAATCGTCATATTAGTTATGATCCTAAAATTATTTCGGTTTACTTATTTCTTCGAATTGTCAATGCTGTACAAAATGCAACAAAAGTATTTTTAGTTATTCGCTCTATAATTAGTATACATATTAGATATTGCGATTTTTATACATTTTATTCATTTATAAAATTTTTGGCTATAATTATAATCGAAACGTACGACAAAAGAGAGAAAAATATTTATAATAAGGTTAGAGCTTATACTACTTTATATTTTTTACTTTTCATGTTTGGTGTTGTATATATGATAGCTACACTTAAAAACGAGACAGTAAAATTCCACTTTATAAGTTTTAATTTTGAAATACTTACATTGTTTAGTTTTATACTTCTTGTATGTTGCACGGTAAAAATGCGAAAAAATTATTAAAATTTGATTTTTGATAGAAGATTTATTTTTACTAGTTTAATAAATATTATATTTTAAATATAATTAGTATGAGCCAGCGATGAGGCATGTTTTAATGTATATTCTTACAGCCTAATTTAATAATACATGAAGTTCTTTAGATTTTTTGTTTTGATTTAAATTAAATCATTTTTTGGTTGCCATTTGGATATCATGCTAATTTAACTTTCTTTTAATTAAAAAAATTCTAAGAAATCAACAATCAATGATATAGATCTTATCAATCGCCAATTTTTCAAACAACATTTTTTCATGCGGAAAAATACCGCAATATTTTATTAAACTGCATACTTGTAGTATAAAAATAAACAATAAATTGTTAGCTGTTGATGCCTTAAATTTTTTTTTTAACATGCAATTATAATAAGATTTTCTAAACTAAATTTTATTGAAAAACGAATTACAAACAGACAATTTAAAGGAAAATTATTACAATAAACTTTGATATAAAAATCGTTCCTTGAGAATACACAAACACTACAATGACAAATAAACTTATTTAATGTAAAAAATTCTTTATTAAGTTATGCTAACGCTTGCTCAGTAAAGTTTTGTTCTACAATACTATCAAGTCTTTTATTTTAAAAATCAAGACCAATAATAAACATTTTTAAGTGAATAAATAGTGTCTTATTTAAAAATATTTTAAACAACATTAATCTCTAAACAATTTTTGAGGCTTATTGCAATTTACCTGAAAATTCAGAAAATTTAATTAATTAAACAAACACGTAAATTTATACAGCTTACAACTAAACAAAAATTTCTTAGATATATTAGGTAGCACATACAAAAATTTTTATAAAATAATTTAGTCTACCAATCTGCCGCCTTATGAGCCATATTTTATTAACTTTTAATTGCTTGCTTTAGTTATTGTAAATTTAATAATTAAAATTACGTTAGATGAAAGCAAAAAAAAATTTTTTTAAAAATTTAAATGGCCAAAATGAATAACATTATCAAAATTAAATACAATTTTTTATGGTCAAAAATGTTTACGCTGTGTCTAAAATCTTTCAATAAAATTTTGTTATCACAAAATATATATTTATAAAAATTCATAGATAAATGCAAAAACCAGCAATTTTAAATTTTATTTTTATTTTCTAGATTTTTTCTTTTGTCTAAATAGAATATGATTTACAGCATAATAAAAAAAAGTTCATTATTACATTTTACTGTAATTTTTATAGATACTAATTAATACAATTATTTCAGAAATTTTTGAACTTATAAAATTTATAAAAAATATTAATTAAACGGCAATGCAAATTATTATGTATAAAGAAATTATTTTTGTTTTCTTTTATGTTAAAGATTATTAATAAGATTAAATATTGATAAAAAACTTTTTAATTATTGGTGATCATTTTTAAAAAACTTCATTGCTAACTCTCTTAAGGTAGTTCCTTTGCAAATATTAAATGCTGAGATGTTTCAATTTAGCTTTTCTTACAAGAGAATAAACATTTAAAATATCGATATACTTAAAATATTTATGAATATTAATTTGTGATAAATATTTATTGAATTTCTCAGAATGGTGTTTTTTTTCTGAACAATAACATTTATGTATAGTTATTGAAATTTTTGTTGTGTCTATTTTAAAAAAATTTTGTAATTTTGGCGTTTTAGTTATTTATTAAAATTAATTTTTAAAAACCGAATTTTCCTTGAAAAAGTAATTTTTAAATTTTTTTTAAACAAAAAATTGAACACCTACAATGGATATAATGAGCATGAAAAGGAACATAAATCAAAGTTGAAAAGTCTGTAGCCAAAGTTGTTAAGTCATTTTTCCTTGCAGAAGTTTTTTTTTATAAAATGTTATAGTTACAAGGTTTTTAGGTTTTTAAATAAATTGCTTTTTGTTAAACAAGTTATGGTTTAAATTATTTGAAAAAGTTAAACTTGTTGTGTAAATAATATAAATTAGAAATTATTTTGAGATACATTGATATATTCTAAACAGAACAGAGTGCTATTAATTTGCTTTTACAGATTTTAGAATTTTATGAACTTTTAAATAAGTTTACAACTTTATTTTTGGCACCCCGATTCTTTTCTACTCGACAATAACTTATTATCAGGGCAAGCAGGATATGATCCGACGAAAATCGGTTATTACATTCTGATTCATTTTTTACTTAAAGAACTTTTTGATGATTTAGTAGAATATAAAATGTTCAGTACACTTTCTTCAGTACAACAATCTGAAGATGGTAATATTACGCAAAAGAAACTAGAAGATTTTACTAAAAAAGCTTAATGATGTTTCACAATTTAAAGACAAGGCAAAACCAATTACTAACAAAGGCATGTGGCTAAGGTTACATGATTATATAATAAGTCATTAAGATAAAATTTTTTATTGATGGTCATATCTAAGTGTAGCTTTAATAATATGTTTTTACAGATTATTCCTAATCAATTTTTATTTGTAATATCAGGACTCTATTTTTTTTGATATTTAAAAGGACTATAAATTTTTTTTTATTTCTGATACCTTAAGAGTAACCAAAAATTTGTTTTATATAAAAAAGACATTGTGTACAAGTTATATTTGAGTTTTTATTTTGGCAGAGCAAAACGTTTAAACAAGCTTTAAATAATTTAGATGTATATTTAATATAAAAAAATAATTAAGTAGGAATTATAGGAGAATTGCTGGCATTTAGTATAATGGCTGAAGAATATAACTTTAAAGATTGGTAAATAAATAGATGTTGATACATTGTTTTTACAAGTAATCAGATTAAATGACAATCGTGATGCGAGATGAAAATTAGAAATTTAAAATAAAACTAT